ATCCTCTACTTCAGGCGTCTCTTCTGTAGATGCTTCTTCTGGTACGTCCTCCGGAGGATCCTCTACTTCAGGCGTCTCTTCTGTAGATGCTTCTTTTGGTACGTCCTCCGGAGGATCCTCTATCACAGGCATCTCTTCGGCACCAGCTTCCTCATTTTGGCTGGAGTCTTCTCCAGCCGCTGGTGCCTCGGCGCCGGCTTCTTGTGATACCTCCTCAACTGCACTTTCTTCCACCTTTTCTTCAGGAACGGGGTCATCCGAGGCGGTGTTTTCCTCTTTGTTGTCATTATCCCCGTTCCCGTCGGCGTCCGCAGTCTCAGGCGCGGGGGGCTCGTCCAAGCCACCCTCTTTTTCTTCCGCAGCCGGAGGGTCAGGGTCGGGCTGCGCATCGTCTGCTGCATCTGCGGTAGCAGCGTCACCTTCGTTGCTGTCTGGCACCCCTTCCATCGCAGCCTCGTCGGCTGCTGCTTCTTCGCTTGCCTCAGCTGGTTCTTCTGGCTTTTCTGCTGGCTCCGCGTCTGCAGAATCGTCGTTGGATTGGTCTTGATCTTGGGCTGGAGGCTCTTCCACATTATCTGCAGGGTTGTCTTCGGTTGGGGTGCCCTCTTCAGATGCTGGGTTTGCAGCGGCGTCAGGCGCCTCTCCTCGTTCATCTACTGCAGATGCATCTGCGCTCTCTTCATTCTCTTCAGGTGGCTGGTCAATATCGGCCACTGACTCCGGAGAAGCAGGACTAGCTCCGACGTCGGACATGGCCTTTTCTAGGACTTCAGTGATTTGCTCAGGGGGAGCATCAGCTTCTTGCATTTTCTCAACTACTTCCACAACTGTTTCTGGGTCCGAAGATTTGTCGCCGTCACTCAATTCAACGGCGGTAGCTTCCGATGAGCCTTCCGGATCTGTCTCTTCGTCTGGACCCTTGGAGTCGTCTTCAGCGGGTTGCTCAACAGCTTCATCCTTTGGCTCTGCTTGCTCGGGTTCTGGGCCAGAATCCGATGCATCTAGCGGCCCGTCGTCGGTATTTTCCGCTGGAACATCATCGACCTTTGGTTCTCGGCCCTCGGCGGAGGCGTCAGTGCCGGTTCCTTCTGCTGGAATGAATCGGTTAGAGCACCTAGTTTTAGATATGCTTGTGTCGCGGATACCTGTATCTCTAGATTCTCCTTCTATCACCCCCTCCTCGGTACCTGCCTGTGCTGGCGGTGTTGTATCGTCCATGGCAGCGGTATCTAGAGAAGACAGTGAGAGGAGGAATTATATGTTTTTTTGTGTATGAACCCTACCGTCGCTTTCTTCGGGGGTATCTTCGGCAGGAGGGGCAGGAGGCTCTGCGACGTCGTCAGATGTGGTGGCTGCCTCCTCATTCTTCAACTGGTCGTCAGTATCATGGTTGCTTGGATCAATTTCGGCGGGTGCAATGATAGGATGTAGGGAGTATGTAACGGCGCTTGGATCAAACGTTTGCCATTGATAAGCAGGAAGTTTGGCGTACTGGAACTGGGACTCGTATGGCAGAGCCATCGCCGATGTCTTTGGGTTCACTGGGTTCATCCAGCCAGGGGTTGACAGTAGTCTTCTTATTCTTTCTCTTTTTAGCCTTTCCCATGGCCGATGCCTGGGGTGTTGAACCTCTCCGCTGTCAGGCCAGATTCTCGGAGCTACCAATCCGCCTCTTTGTGCAAGGATCAGAAACGGTGCGGAGGGGTCGGAAAGCACGATGACGCGACCTGGCCGGCGATATTGTAAGGCAAAACCCCTCAAGAACCTCGTAAAGTGACAGAAATTGTGTATAGGGAAAAAGGAGTGGCTGAAGGACGCATGGTGGTGTGAAACCTGGTTGAACGGAAGAGGGCCTGCAAAGCCCAAGCATGAATCATCCCACCGTGCAGCATGGCCCAAGCATGGGCTCGGCCAAATGATGAACAAGGGACCATGGCATCCCGTTTGGGAACAGCATGGTCCGGCAATTGGACCACGTCAACAAAGAAATGCTGGTCCGGCGCACACTGGGGAGGGCGAGGTCTGCAGAAATCATGCAGCGACGTGCGGGTTGGAAATGATACAAAGCAGCATAGCTCTGACTCAAGGTCAGACAACTGCAACAGTGAGTGGCATAATCCAGCCCAAATGGCCGCAATTGGACGAAATGTGCATAACCAGGGGCCACGATTGGATCGCGTAGAGGGCGGAAGTTGTACCTAGACTGATGCCCAACAAACACGACTGGTCAGCCAGAAGGGAAAATTCTGCGGCCAGAAGGAAGCACCACCAGCACCTCTATCTTCGGGTCCCCTCTCTTTTGGTGAGTGGCCATGTGTTTCGATTTGCTAGAGGGCTATGCAGTGTGTTGGATCCCTCGACGCCAGTTCGTCGAGAAACGTGGAGGAGTTCATTGACGACGGGCACAAGGTGCTGCATCTTTGCCTACCACGGGATGAGCAATGGAGAAAAAGAGGGCTTTAGTGCTCTGTTGGCGCGTCTGTTGGCGTGGGCAGAGCTGGTGAGGGACTGCTGCCATTGGCGATCCGACATGGAGGCGATGGTCATGGCCTCATCGACAGTTCAAGTGGTCGGATATGCGTGGTAAAGCCATGAAAGAATGAGGGAAAAGAAAAGACCCGAGAAGATTTTTGCCCCTGAAGGAACTTTGGAACGGGTCGAGCCGGTGAATAACGGGGTGAACGGTCTGCAGACTTGATGTGCCGCTTGTCAATCTCGAGGAATTCGCCGACTTCCTCCTCTTTCTCTTCCCCTCTTTACTAGAGTGGTTGAGTCGCTGCCTCACTTCCAATCTCCGCATTCTATTTGATGTTCTGGGGGGGGGGGGGGGCCGCAAGGATGATGGAAGAGAGACATGTGACTGGGGTCACGAGGGGAGGGCAGGGAGGGATGTGAGTCACGTGCTGGTACCAGCAGGACAAGTTCCCTTTGCGGTCTTTTGGTCTATCAGGTATCTATCCTTTTGTTCGCATGTTGTTTATTTTTATCTTAGCTGCCGATCCATCTTTTCTCGCCAGCTTTCGCCGTACCGTTTCATGGCCCAAATCACCGAGGCGCTGGACAGTGCCCAAAGGCCCAGGATGGTAAAAAGCCAGCCATTGCCGATCGCCGCAATGAGGGGCGCTCCTACAATGGCGCCAACACATGATAGAATATTTCGGCAAAAGTTATTCAGAGCAACACCGGACGAAGATCGACGTGGCATGAACTCGGTCAGCATCGTGGTTGACATGGCAAAGATGATCATGGACCCCAGGCCGTAAAAGAAATTCGCAATTATCTGTGCCACAGCCGCGTCAACTTTGGTCCCTTGCATATACCGGACTTTCCATATCTTTCTGTTTCAGGTTGACTTACCGGTGCTACCCACATGACGCCTTTCTCGACGGTCCAACCATACCAGATCAACGCACAAGGATAGACTAATGCACCCAGCCACGCGTTTTCGCGCATGCGGTCTTCTGGTCGAAAGATTAATTTTCCGTTCTGATCCACCCGGTTTGCCTTGATCGCCTCGCGCCTCATGATATAATCCATCCAGCGACCGCCAAGTACACTGGCAAGGATATACCCAACCGAATTGGGCAGATAGAGCAAGCCGATGATGAGGGTCGAATAGTCATACGGCTTCCTTTCGAAAGTATACTGGATGCTGATGTTGAGTACGTAGAGTGAGCCGAAAGTAACCGCCGAGTAATACACCGTCAGCAAGACAGGCATGAACCGGAGGTACAGGATGACGCTCAGTGGGTCCAACAACAACATCCGTGCAACCTTCAAGTACTTCTTCGACTTGTTCTGTATCACTTCTCTGGTCGAAGTGCGACTCAATGGAGGTCGATGACTGCCGTTGTTGATGGACGATGCTGCGTCCGCCACGGTCTCTTCTGCCATGTCCTTCGGTGCCTTCAGGGTCTCGGGCAGACCGAAGAAGATCAACACCCACGTCAAAACTGAAATTCGCGTCAGGCCCCATTCTCTCAGCGACGAAACAATCGACTTGATGCAAGCGATGGCAACTTGCGGCTTACCTCCGTATATTGCAAGAGCCCATTGGGTTGCCCTCCAGTCCCAAACTTGGCCGAGAATACCACCCACAATGGGTGCCAGTAACGGGCCGCAAAGGGGTCCTAGGTAGAAGATTCCCATTGCTCTCCCCCTCTCCCGTGATTCCCAGATGTCGGCGATCGTACCCGCACCAACGGCTTGCACGGATGCCGAGGCTCCTCCAGCGAACAGTCGCATAACGATAAGCATGGAGATCGAATGAGAAACGGCGCTCAAGACAGAGAACAAGATGAACAGGGCAAATGAGGTGATGTAAACGGTGCGGCGCCCGGCCGTTTCTGAAAAGGCGGACCACCAGAGGGGGAAAATAGCCATGCTCAACATATACAGCGCAACCGATAGGTTGGTGATAGTCGCCTCGGCGTGAAGGGATCTAGCCACTTCATCAAGGGTTGCTAAAAAAAAAAAAAAAGATTGATCGAGTCAACATTTTGGACAGGTTCCAATAACATCAACGGCAGACGCCAACATACGCAATATAATGGCGCTGCCCACCGGTGCGGCGGCGGCAGCAATGGCCACAATGAAAGTGATGCACCATTTTACGCTATCACTATAATCTGTGGGTTCTGTGACCTCGGCCATGACACAGATCCGGGCAAACAAACCACGCCTCTCGGAGCGCGGAACCTTGACAAGGGGACGTTTGGGAGTTATAGTCCTTGCCAATGCATCTTGGGCGATTTCGACATCCTGCTGGTCGGCGACAGTTGAATGGTCCGAGTGATCAGAATGGAGGGACCGGCTCTCAAGAGTGCCTTCATGCTCTTTCTCTCTTGTCAGTCTTTCCTCCGAGGGCGGGCCGTGTAGGGTATCTGGCGAGGGGGGAAGTTTCTCGAGGCCATCGTGAGCCATGTGCGAGGTCCGATGAAGGATGGGAATCGGTCAGGAATGGACAGGGAAGGTCGAGGATCTGCTGTCCAGGTCATTACTCAAACATGTATATTCCCCCAAATTGGAACCAAAAGAGAGAATCTAAGAAATGGGGACGGAGAAACTGATGTTGGAGATGGGCAGGTTAAAGATACGGTCAGCTGTGTGTCTCTCAGGTCGCAGATCCTCGAAGGCATGTTTCGAACGGACATAGGGTACAAAGGGCGTGGCCAGCAGTTGAAATGGACGTCCGCAGCGGCAAATGGCGTGCATCGCTGGACGAGAACATTTGCAGGTTACCGGTGGCCCAGCATCAAAACACGGATTCACAGCGGTCGAGACAGCCAATGAAGAACCGAAATGGTGGGGTTGAGGATTGCTAGCCGAAGCAGTTTCTGCTGGTCATAGTACGAGATAGATGGAGAGATCGAGGAGATGGTGGTTTGTCGTGCCGTTATTGCCGGGAAGCCAGAGCAGTTGGCAAGCGGATGAGGATTGTCCAGATTGTCTTCCAAAGCGGAAACATTCCCTGGGGCGACGCTTGGCGGGCGAGATGCGATGGCCAGGCAGGGCCAAGAGGGCTCGAGGGCATCGTTCTGACCACCATATCGAGTTATTGCTCCCTAGTCTCGAGTCTTGCAGAGAGGAAGATGGCGATGTTGTATCAGTCAGTTTCTCAATGGGGCAAAAGGTAGACGAAGACTGGGATATTGTTATTGTGCTGCTCGACTCCTTCTGGCCCACAGTCAAACTGCAATTCAGTCCAAGAGGCAACGCGTAATACCGTCACCGTTGTTGTATCATCGGGGCTATGTTGTACGATGTACAAGTCAATATTACCGAGTAGACCTGGCAAGCTGCTCGCTGGCCATCGGAGCCATATAGCCGAGGCACTTTCCTATGTACTGGCTACGTTGCTCGTACCAATGGAGACTGTACACCCAATCCTCCTTCCTCCCTCCTCTCTCGCGTCCCTGCTTCCTGCATTGGCTAACATACAAAGTCCACAAGTAAGAAATTATGCCAAAGACATAAACCTGACAAACAAAAGCCCAGCCTCGTCTCGTGATTTCAGCCACGTTGATTACCTGTGCGATACCATTTGTTTCACTGTTGTTCCTTGGCCTCTTCAGGACCGACCCAACTCGCAGACACACTCAGCAGGCCGGTTTCCACAACCATTTTCATGTATCGTTCCGACTTGTCGCTGCAGTCAGCCTCGGGATTGGCGCCAATGATGAGCTGAACAAAAACAAAAATTGTTAGTGGGACCTACTGTCTGGACTCTGCAGAGGGGTGCGGAGGTTGGCAGCACTGGAGTTTCAGCAGATCCGATGTTCTCCCAGCTGACTCCTCACCACAATCGTGACATTGTGTCGGTGGCTAATATTGCAATAAGAAACACACCCAACATACCACAAGGTCTGATTTGGGGAGTATACATATCGAAACACCTCCGGACAAAAGCAGCCATCCGTCCTCGTCCTGGCCATCAGAGTCGATCCTTCCATCAACCCCTCCCAGCCACTTTATTCCTTTTCAGGCAAATTCGACCAAAACCCAGCGTCGTCTTCGGCCACTGTCCATCTCCCATCCACCGCCGACCATCCGTTCCGCTTCTTACCGTTAACCGATTTGAAGCTTACTTCAGGCCAGCCTGTTCGGCTACATTACCCGGGCTAATCGTACCAACCGCAATCATGGCATCGACAACCGGCACTGCTGAAGTCCGCGAGAAGCTCAAGGGCCACATGGCCAAATACCAAGGCAGCGCCTACACCGAAGGCTGGGCCGAGCTGTGGAACAAAGGAGACTTTTTACCCTGGGACCGTGGATCGCCATCCCCAGCTCTCGCCGACACATTGATCAACCACGCCGATGTCATTGGCAATGCCCTTCTCGCCTCGTCCGCAGATGGGCAGAAGCATCGGAAGCGCGCATTAGTGCCCGGCTGCGGCCGTGGTGTGGATGTTTTGGTGCTCTCAAGTTTTGGATATGATGTCGTTGGATTGGAGTACGCTGAAAAGGCGCTCGAGGCCTGCGAAAAGTATGCGGCCGAGAACACTGACAAGTATCCCGTCTACGATGAGAGCGTCGGTAAGGGAGAAATGAAGTTCCTTCGGGGCGACTTTTACAATGACGGGTGGGTGGAAAAGGTGAGGACAGAGCTTGGTGCTGGTAGTGAGTGGGATGGCAAGTTCGATTTAATTTACGACTATACTGTGAGTGACTTTCCTGAGTCTGTTCCCATTTCACTGGCCTGTCTTCCAACCCAGAGCAAATCTTATCCCCTGGATTGTTGATCTTTGTGTTCCCACGCCGTCCTTCCTCGACGCAAGATCACATACTCACACCTGCCTGTCCAGTTCTTCTGCGCAATGCGCCCGGAAATGCGTCCTGCCTGGGCGAAACGCATGACCGAGCTCCTCCGCACCTCCCCTCAGGCAAATCTTGTCTGTCTTGAGTTCCCGGTTTCCAAGCCTGTCACATCGGGTGGTCCCCCTTATGGCGTTGCTCCAAAGACATACATGGAACACTTAAGCCATCCGGGAGAGGACATTCCGTACGATGAGGAAGGCCACGTGAAAATGAATCCGCTTGCTCCATCCAGCCCAGGTGCGTTGGAAAGGGTAGGGCACTGGCATCCTGCCGACACACACAACGTGGGCAAGGACAAGGATGGGAATGTGGAGGATTATATCTCGGTTTGGCGGCATCGTTGAGATGTTGGATCTTTTTCGTCACTTGGTTGGCTCTGGCGGAACCATCTCCTGGGCTTCAACAGCTGATTATTAAAACTCGTCTGTGCGTCAACAGGTCATGATTCGGCGTGGAAATGAGGTAGTTGCTCAGCTTTGGTCCACTTTCTTCAATGCGTTGTAATGCTCACCGAGCCCAAAGCTGTGTCGGTAATATGCAAGCCAGATGGTGTCACTTGAGCCGTCGTGCGGAGTATCTGATCCAGCAGAGATCCTTTCCACCCGGCCATCCGCTTGGAGCACGTTGATGTCCACATGGTATGATCGCGCAATGGCCTGCAACTCCAACTCGCCGCCCCATTCTGCCGTGTCTCTAATCTTTTTCACATAGGCGTCCAAGGGCTCCTCCATAAACGCTCCAAAATCGTCGGGGTGTTGAGCCATGAACTCCGCCGCCGCGTGTCTGACCTTCTGGTACGGCACCTTTTTGGTGTGGTCAGATTTTGCTGCAAGGAGGTCGGGATGCATGCTGTGTGCGCAGGCGGAGAAGAGACAGTGGCCGTCAGGCCGGATGAGAGTTTCCGAGAGACCCAGCTTGCTCATCTGTTGCTTCATGCTGGAGAGTTCTTGCTCGCGGAGGTCGGGGAGGTTCTCGGCCTCGAGAGCTGCGGCCGCGGCTTGTGCCTCTTGCTCCGCTGCTCGACGTGCCAGTCTTGCCTTTTGGCGGTTTGGTTTTCGAGGTCGCGACTGGTCTGCGGGCGTGGACGTGGACGTGGGCGCGGGCGTTGGTTCTGCGATGTCGCCCTGTTTCACTCGCTCTGGCTCAGGCTCTGGCCCGCGAACGACTTCTCCAACGGCATGGTCAACGATGCTTAGATCCTCCACCGCGCCTTGTAATAGTTCATCCGGATCTCCAGGTTCGAGCTGCTGGATCTCCGCTTGCTGCTTCTCTGCCAGTTCTCGCTCGAGTTTCTCACATTCGTCGTTCACCCCCTTTCTGGTCTTCTTGGTCGCGTTCTTCTTTTTCTGCGTGACCTTGGCCTGGAGGTCTCGCTGTTCCTTGCGGTGTTTCGCAAGTAGTTCTTCCATTCTGCGATCAGGCTGTCTGATACCTGTATGAATTGACTTCACCTAACTTTTTGATTTGGCATAACGGAGAATTCTTCTCCGCGTCCAACTGCACCACCTGATTGACAGTGGCGGCTGAATTTTCAGGGCTTGGACACCCTCTGCATTAACCACGCGAGCCGTGATCTGCTTGCTTGAACCAGGGACACACCGTCACTTTGGATGATAGTACCCAGTACCCAATACCCAGTACGTAGCTCAAGCCACACTTTTTCACCCCAGGGAGTCGCCTTTGGTAAGGCTTCAACTAGCGCCGGCACGTGCAGTGCCATGGCGGCGTGCTTGGCGTTCGTATTTGCTCCCAGGCGGGCGGACTTTGGTTGGCGGGCACCGGGCGGGCAGCCACTCACTAGCCCTCAGCCCTCAGCCCACCCGCGCACTCGCCCACTACTGAGTACCCAGTAAGGGTGAACGGCAATGGCGATGGCTGCCCCTCCAGTGCCCTCCCCTCGATTTCCCCATCCCGCCTTGAAACACAGCGCGCGGCTGCTTCAAACAAGGGATCCAGAACACCTTCATCACAGTCCAAGCTGTTCCAATCCACCTCAGCGGTTAGCAAATGAATATCTTGATTCTCAATTTCATTCCAAATCTCCCGCTTTGATCATATCCCTGTATCCCGGTCCTTTGACTGGCTAGGTCTTACACAAATATCTTCGCGCTACACCTGAAGCGGCCCCCACCTGAGACTCCGACTGGACACGTTCGCCGCAATCCAAAGTGCGCAGTTGCACTCAAGAGCGTCAGCACCGCTCAACTCTATCATTCAGCCGCACAAGAATCGAAGACCAAAAAGTCTGCCTTGCCTCCTTGATCTCCTCCTTGGCCGGCTTCTCCTTTATAACGCCTGAACTGCTCTTCTGACCTTCCGTGCCGCAATCACTTCGCTGTCCGATCCTACTGTCTCTCAATCAGATCAATCAACAATAGTAAGAGCAACAGCAACATGGGGGACCTAGCTGGACGCAAAGTGTTCAAGGTCTTCAATCAAGACTTCATTGTCGATGAGAGATATACTGTGACAAAAGAGTTGGGCCAGGGTGCATATGGTATAGTCTGGTAGGAATAGCCCAGCTGGAGTTGGAGCCTCGCTGACCCGGCTGAAAGTGCGGCGACCAACTCGCAAACCGGAGAAGGAGTGGCCATCAAGAAAGTCACCAATGTCTTCAGCAAGAAGATCCTTGCAAAGCGAGCCCTGCGCGAAATCAAGCTTCTGCAGCACTTCCGCGGCCATCGAAATGTCAGTCGTTGCGATCAATTGTGGAAAGACCTCCCCGGCTGACGAGACCCAGATCACCTGTCTTTATGACATGGATATTCCCCGACCGGACAATTTCAACGAGACTTACCTCTATGAAGGTATGTTGACTGCCTATTGGAGGAGACTGTGGTTGACGAGCACCAGAATTGATGGAGTGTGATCTTGCTGCGATCATTAGATCTGGTCAGCCGCTTACTGATGCTCACTTTCAATCCTTCATCTACCAAATTCTGTGCGGTCTCAAGTACATTCATTCGGCAAATGTGTTGCACAGAGACTTGAAACCCGGCAATCTTCTCGTCAATGCCGATTGCGAGCTCAAGATTTGCGACTTCGGTCTCGCCAGAGGTTTCTCTCAGGATCCCGAGGAGAATGCGGGATATATGACCGAATACGTCGCAACTCGATGGTACCGTGCTCCAGAGATCATGCTGAGCTTCCAGAGCTACACTAAAGCTAGTATGTTGACACCCCGTGGACACTGGATGTTCTGCTAACACGGGCAATAGTCGATGTGTGGTCTGTTGGGTGTATCTTGGCAGAATTGCTCGGTGGCAGACCCTTCTTCAAAGGCCGGGACTACGTCGACCAGCTGAACCAGATCTTGCACTACCTGGGCACCCCTAACGAGGAGACCCTGTCCAGAATCGGATCACCCCGTGCTCAGGAGTATGTCCGAAACCTGCCATACATGCCCAAGATCCCTTTCCAGAGATTGTTCCCACAAGCGAACCCGGACGCTCTTGATCTTCTGGACCGAATGCTGGCATTCGATCCATCGTCCCGTATCTCGGTGGAGGATGCTTTGGAGCACCGATACCTTCACATTTGGCACGACGCTAGTGACGAGCCTGCTTGTCCCAAGACCTTCGACTTTGCGTTTGAGGTTGTCGAGGATGTGCAAGAGATGCGAAAGATGATCCTAGACGAAGTTATGAGATTCCGTCACCACGTTCGCCACCAGCCATCTCAGACTCCGGCTGCCAACATGAACGTACCAATTCCCGAGAATCCAAGTCAATGGAGCAGCCATGAGGATCCAAGACCGCAAGAGGCTGGTGCCTTTACGTCCAATGACCTTGAGCACGAGTTACAACTGGGCGCAGATATGAGACGATAGACATTCCTGGCCTTTTGGACTTTTGCCCTTTTGTTCAGCTAAGAGATGATTTCAACGGAGTATCGATGCAAGAAAATATCAAATAACCCTTGAACACCTGCTCTTCGCTTAATGTTCTGTACCATTCAATCTGCCAGCCTTGTTTGGAGAGAAGAGGCAAATACATGTTCCAGGTCGGATCGTGAGTAGGCGAACCGTTGATGGTAGGAGCAATTTCCTTACTCTCTCCTTGGTTCAGAGTTCACGTTTAGTCGAAGTGAATCCCCGGTTTACATGGACTCCATTTGTTGCTTCAATCTTCCTTCCCGCCGTCGCATCAGCGCTTGGTATCAGGATGGTCGACACTCCCGTTGCGACGAATCGCGTTGTGCATGGTACATGTTCCTTCACTTCTTGCTCGGAAACTGATATGGATGAAAGCTTCATTGCCCTCAGACTCCAGTGCCGGTGCTTATCACGATACTTATACACATTCCGTCACACCTTCGGAGTCCTAAGTTCAGCAGACCGTACCTTTCGACTGGGCGAGGGAAGTGTGCCCTGATTGTCCTTTCTCGGTTTACGGGGCGTGTCTGTGATATTCGCGTCAGGCGACACTGGTGTCGGCAGTGCGTGTCAATCCAACGACGGCAAGAAAACGGCACGCTTTACGCTGAATTTTCCGGCCACGCGCCCTTATGTAACCCCTGTACGAGGCACTTACGCTCTAGATTCGGAAATCGAAGCTGCTTTTTCGTCGGGAGCGTTTTCCAATTACTTCGTGACACCCCCTTATCAGGGCAACACTACGAAGGCCTACATTGCTAAGTTGGGCAACAGCAGTAAAGGGTATTTTACCACCTCTGGTCGTGGCGACCCGGATGTCTCCGCTCAATCTGTGCGCTGCCTGATTGAGAGCCAGGATCATTTGCAGTTCTTGTACGGAATGTCTTGCGCAGCGCCAACCTTTGCTGCCGTCATATCCAATTTGAACAACAAAGCGTTTAGCGCAGGGGAAGGGAAAGCTCGGCTTCTTAAACCCTTGGTTGTATTCCCAGGGCATCCAGGCATTCGACGATACCATTCTGGGACGGTCTCGTGGGTGCTCGGGCCGGGACGTGTACACGGGCCAGCCGACGCCGAAGATTGCGAACGCCGGTTGGGATGCGGTTCCTGGCTGGGATCCTGCTACAGGGTGGGGAACGCCGGGCTTTCAAAAGCTTTCGAGTATGGTGGCCTCGTGAGGTGCGAGAGAGAGAGACATGGGATTACGATTGAGACATGTATTTGAGAGAGAGTGTGTGTGGGGGGTAGATCGAGGAAAAGAGAGGTCCGAGAACTAGGGATTCAGCGATTAGGCAACAGCAAAGAATATCCAGGGTGAGGACAGAGAATGAATAAACGGTCAAGCGGCATTGTGAGTTAGAATAAGCGAAAGTAACACGCTTTTGCCAACACCATTAGCTCCAAATAGTTCCGTGAAGGCATAATTGAAATCGCCTCAAGCAGTCAACCTTTGACGACCTATCTCCTCTTAAACCCATTTTTCTGCCTCGGCTGACTCCCGTAACTCCTCCTGGCACTGTTCTGCTTCTTATCCCGCATGCTCGCACCCAGCTGAATATCGACCCGGGGAGGGGTTGCAAAGCCAAAGCTCTTTGCGACCTTGACCAGGTCGAGTTTGTTGACGTCGAAGACGGAGCGAAGGCTGTGCGAGGCGTAGGCTTGCAGGTATGAGCGGTAGCCGTCTTTGGCGGACTAGTTTAGTTGAGATAGGTCAGTTTGAGTTCGGAGCTGGATAACGACTGTTTTCCTTGATATGGAATAGGGGCGGGAAAACCAAACGGGAAAGGAGTGTATTGATTGAGTAAAACCAAAGCGGAAGAAGGGAGACGGATGGGATATGGCACCAGCTCGACGACAAAAAAATGCTGACTCCCACTCAACTCAAAACTCACCTTGTTCAAATAATAGTTCTGCCCGATCAGCTTCTCGAGCTGGCTCTGGATGTTGACCAGCTTCTTGGCTGGGAAGTCGAACTCGACCACGGGGACGCGGGCTTCTTTCAACTGGCTCAAGAAGCCGACCTCGTTCGGCTGCAGGAACATCAGACTCCTCCCTTTGCCGTCTGCGCCGCGGGCTGTGCGGCCCACCCGGTGGATGTAGTCCCTCGGGTCGTCTGGCGGGTCGAACTGCACGATCCAGTCGACGGCGGGGATGTCGAGGCCCCTCGCGGCGACGTCCGTGCAGATCAGCGTGCCGTGGGTGGCGTTGCAGAATTCAAAAAAGGTGTTTGTTCGTTTCTGCTGCTTGAGGTTTCCGTGCAGCTCGAGCACGGGGAGGTCGATGTAGTTCAGCAGTTCCGAGTGGTACTTGACGCAGTTGCAGCTGCTCATGAAGACGATGACTTTCTTCTTCAGGTTGCGCTTGAGGAAGCTGAAGAGGAGCAGGAAGCGTTTGTCCGAGTCGCAGATCACGTACCCTTGCTCGAGGCCTTCGACCGTGCTGTGCTCCTTTTTGTGGTCCACATTAATGTATAGGGGACCGGGACGGAGGGATATGCGGGCCAGATCTTCGACTTTGGTTGTCTGCGTGGCGCTGAAGAGCATGGTCTGGCGGTGGTCGCGGTCCGGGAGGATCTTGACGATTTGGCGCATTTCGTCTTCAAAGCCGACTTCGAGGATACGGTCCGCTTCGTCGATGACGAGGGCCTTGACGTTTTTGTAGACAAAGCCCTTGGTGTTTTGTAGGTGGTCCAGCAACCTGCCCGGCGTGGCAATAAGTAGGTTGACGCCCTTGCTGAGCTTTTCGGCTTCGGCGCTGCGATTTGCGCCTCCGATTACAATGCCGAAAGTTTGGCTATGGAATTGCATAAGGTCCCGAGCCACGCCGAAAATCTGCAGCGCCAGTTCTCGTGTGGGAGAGACGACGATTACGCCAGTGCCGTTGCGCGGTTTAAATCGTAGAGCGTGCAACATTTCCACAGCCGGGATGAGGAAGGCGAGCGTCTTTCCCGAACCAGTTTTTGCGGCGCCCAAAACGTCCCGGCCTGCCATCAGCGGAGGGATGCCTCGTCTTTGGATCTCGGTCATAGTGGTGAAGCCCATTTCTGTGATGGCTCTCATGGTCTTTTCGGACAGAGCGAGTTCGGAGAAGGCTTGAGGGGTGGTTTCAGTCCCAGGCAGTGAAGGCATCACGTCCGTAGGCAGATCTGAGGGAGTAGAAGTGATCTCTGTGATCCCTGTCGTTGTATCGACTGTTTCTTCGAGTTCAGGGCCTGCTTCGTCACTGTCGTCAACTCCGCTGTCCACCTCACTGTCCGACGACTCTTCCCCTGCTTTTTCCGCACCATCATTCACAGCTTTCCTTGAACCCCGGCCCTCGTCATTATCTTCATCTTCGCTTGAATGGGACGTCTTCCGTCTCTTCTTGCTCTTTTCTTGCGGTTCGTTCGTGGATGCAAGGACTCGGTCGTTCAAGGTAGACGATTCAGATTGCGGTTCGGGTCCTGCTTGTGTGGGCTTCACCCGCACCCTCTTGCGTTTCTTTGACTCCCCCAATTGGGGATCCGTTAGGTTGGACATGCTGCGGAGATTTGGTAAACTCCAACCGGTGGTGAATTGATTTGCAAAATGTCACATTTCAACGAAAATTGCTGCAGAGGCTGGCAATAATTTTTCTGGTTATCGATAACGCCGACTCTAGCTACATTGGGATTAGCCTGGACTCTCTCCCGGCTCGTCTCGGCAATGGGAAGGTCAGCCGAAGCTTCGATAGCTTTTTCTCTAGCCAGCGTCCTTTGTTGCTGGTACATACAAGAATCTCCTCGTGTCCCCAAGTTATCAGATGCTAATATGTGACATCCGAGTCCTCCTAGAGCGTATCACTAAACTTTGAATATCCTTTTCGTTCTTGCTCCATTATTGATCGCCACAAAGGACTTCTAGAACCATGCTCACGGCTATGTCCGCCTCAGAACATCTCTCCCTACCTCCAGGACCCTTTGTCCGCTTTCTGGTTAGCTGATCCCTACGTCCATACAGGAACAGAAGGACGGCGGATATGGTGGACGCCTGAGAAACGTCTGAAATTCTTGCCACGGCTTGCGGTCGTAGAACTGAATTGGGGGGATTATATGGATGCTGTAGCTGGCGGGCTTAGGACAGATGCAGCGCTGGAGCAGGTAGGGCCTCTTATGGAGTGTGGGATGCTGGATTTGTCAAAATCGACGGGGGAATGCAGAAAGTGCAATATGTAAAATATAGAATAGCTTTAGGGCCGAAAGTCTGGACAAGGTGCTGAAGAGGGAGAGCAGGAGGTTGAGGGAGCTCGCCGCGCTCACTCTAAATAAGCAGGTAGTCTTGATGATTTCGTACAAACCACTACAAATGCTCGACGGAAGTGTACCAGGACATTTGGAATTCATCGTATGATCGAACCACTTTTGCCCAGACAAAATGCCGAGCGAGGCTGAGCGCCTTATCAAGTACTGCGGTCCGCGCACCCATCCACCGTCAATCACCCACCTACTGGCCCATCAGCTTCGACAAACGCTATCCCTGTGCGGCCGGGCATCTGTTATTTCAGGGAATTCTCAGTCCGTCCGAGCCCGGAAAGGACACACAGTGTATATTTGACACTCCATTTCTCGCATCTCCAGGTAGGATAATAAAAGTGGTGGTCATGGCCGAACCAGTCCCCCCCGCAGAAGAGCAAGTCTCCCTCCCAACCGCCGAACTGGTCAAAGTCAGCAATCACATCTCACTTTTACCGCCGCTATCTCGAAAGGGCCATGGGCCAGGTCTGGTCATCGTGCTGTCAGCGGACACGCCGAGCTACACCGACGGCGGCGTCGTTTGCGAGAATGGCATCCCGCCTCCCCTGCTGAAATGGGCGGAAGAGGGATTTGCGGTCGTGGAGATTCGAGGCGAGGCATTCACCTCGGGCTCGACCACCACCACCACCACGACTCAAATTCTGGCACAGGCCCTGACTGCGCTTGAAGGGTGTGAGAAGTGCGATTTCAACGGTGGGGTTGGGATGGTCGGTATGTTCTTGCCTTCTCCTCCCCCCTCCTCCTCCCCGTCCTTCACTTCCGCTATGATTTGTCGTTGCCTCAAGGGACTAAAAGTCGCCTTCAAGTCTACGACACTTTCATCTGGAATGAACTCGGTCGCACTGCAGCGATTAGCCCCACCATCAAGGCGGCCGTGATCTACGGCACGGCGGGAGACTTGGTTACCCCTGTCGCAATACCCAGGCTCTGTCACTTCGCGGGATACGAAAAGGCAGAGTCCCATCCGGATGCCAAAATATACACCTATCCCTCGGCCAAGTCGCCAAAGTTCGTCATACCAGGCCTGCAGGAGTTTGACAGTACCAACGAAGCCGTTGCGCATACTCGAAATCTCACCTTCCTAAAGAAGTATATCCGTGGCTTGAACTTCGACCTGGAAGCGATCTGGGAAGAGCACACATATTTTGAATTTGCAGAGCGCTCTGTGTCCAAAACGATGGCAACCATGGTGCAAGAGCCCTATGTTAATCATATTACTACGGTACGATGTGTCCTATGAGTTGCTATCTTATGCGTGTAGATGCTGAATGGGGGACGCAGATGACGGGCGGCATCGGCAGAGCGAGCTTAACGAACTTTTACCGCAACCATTTCATCCCCAAGAATCCAAAAGACATGGAGCTCCTGCTTGTGAGTCGAACAATTGGCATTGATCGTGTCTGTGACGAGTTCATTGCCAAGTTCACGCATGATATGGAAATCGACTGGCTGTAAGAATCATGCCCCCTTCCCATCCAGACTCGGTTCCCAAAAAACTTACTTGTTGTCGGGTAGAGCCCCTGGCATTCCTCCGACGGGACGAAAAGTTGAGCTTCCATGCACATCCGTTGTCTGCGTGCGTGGCGACCGCCTGTATCATGAGCATATAGCCTGGGACCAAGCTTCACTATTGATCCAGTTGGGCCTCATGCCAGAATACCTACCGTATCCCTATGCGCTGCCGGATGGCTCGAAACCGGGACCAGGCAAGAAGTTCGAGTACAAAGTACCCGCGGCTGGTGTTGAAACTTCCATGAAGATGCTCGACAAGAACAAGATACCGTCGAATGGAATGTTTGAATACAAGGTTCGCGAGGTGGATGCTTGAATGTGATCCATCCGACCCGATGCAATTTCGCCCGATGCATTTTTTGTTATGTCTTCATGTCCTAACGGATATGTATGATGCAAACGTAGCCAGATTCATGATGATTAACACGAAAATTCAGAAAAATTGCCACATTCTCCTCATAAAACACGCGGATCGCTGAACGTCAGACCTGCAAGCAACGTTTCCACAAGTCGCAATCGGTCTTCGACGTCTTTGCTCTCTCGCCTCCAGAATCTCAACATTTCGATCACCTTTTCCACAGCCTCTCGCCAGCGATCCGGCATTAGTAACGTCAGTTTTTCGAGTCTGGCAGCAGCGAGAAGGACAAATGCGCTCCTCGTGCAAGACCGTAACATCAGCCAGGTCCCATGATGGCGATAGAAAAAGCCTTGTTCATTCTTTTCGATTCGCTCCACGCAAACGACCAGCGCTTTGTGCACAAACGAGTCCATTGACTCGGTCGAGATTGTGGGCGTCCTTTCAGGGGTATCATAGTTTACCGCCGCGACGATAAAGGGCCAATACATCATTTCGTAGCAGTCGAGGAGGTGGCCTTTCAGTATGAACTTGAGCGAATGGTGCAAGTCACTCTCCTCTCCCACCGAGGGTGCTTCAAGGTCGAGTGCTTGGGGGAGCGATCGAATCCAGTCTGCCGCCTGTTGTTCAAATCCGACCGTAGACTCGGCTGCGTTGGACATGGAGCTCGTGGCTTTGCTGTCATAGATGAAGTTGAGGATTCTGTTTCCCAGCCGTCGAAGGGCAATTTCGGCAAGATAAAAATACCACACTATTTCCCTTTGAGATCGGAGACCCTCGGGAGGAGAGGGAAAGAAGGCAGGATATGTGAGATCCCATATCGAAGTCTCGGAAACATTCAGCTCGAGACGGAGTTCGCTGGCTCAGGTTCAGCATTGCACTACCGGAAAGCGTGCGACGGGCAGGATTGGTTTCCACTTACAGTTCCGATTTGAAGCAAGTCCAGTAGATACTTTCCCGCAAACGCTGTTCCCCTTCCCTGTCGGCTTCTGGGGACTCTTTCTCGGTATAGAATGCTTGGCAGCAGGCGAGAGCCTGGACAAACATTTTCCATGCCTCCATCGGACGTAGTGTTGCCATCAAATATACTCCTGCCAGAAAGAAACATTGCGCTTCCAATACACCTGTTCTGCAAAGCAGGTGGCCCATCCTTTTCTGAGCTGCAGAAAAGTATAACTCGGCCTGTTTAAACTGCGGAGAAGAGCGAAAAGACGAGGCGTCTTGTTGGTGGCCGCCATCAAACGGTCCAACAATCGAGCCGTGAGCATATATCAGGAGCTGTCGACAACAACGACGGTTAGCAACGATGACTAGGTGCCTATACCAGACGCCATCTCACCAGTAGGCACGACTGTGCATCCCATGCAATGCCGTTGAAGCGCGCGTCACGCATGTAGCGATGAATCTTGGCTTCCTCCAAGACCGGATTGTAAATGAAGACATTGTTCATGAACCTTGCCACAAGTTCCTCTTCGGCAACATGCTCATCGAATTCTGTCACGATTGACAGGTTTTGGGTGGCGCCATTACTAGAGTTGAGGAGCCCTTTCAGGTCGAGGTTGGGACTAACATCGTCGAAGACAGACCACGACAAGACTCCTTCAATGTTCATGTGACAGGGGGTAGCATCTTTGGATCTTTCGAGGCTGGGAGAATTCAGCGATTTTAACCGGGATAAGACTCCACGACTGGGGCTGTCGGCTGTATTACTGGGAGCTGCTGGGACAACCTGGGTCCGGGCACTGGGCGCTCTCAAGAGTTCCTCGATGGTGTTCAACTTGTCCAGAATTGCAAGACTCGCGGAATCAAAGCTGCCAGGGTCAGAAGAGGGTCGTCATCGTATAGCACGTCCGAAGATGTGCCGCCGCACAGGACATACGTAGAATGATCTCCTTCGCTATACGTGCACTCTGCGCCAATTGACATGCAGGAGGAACAGGTTGGACGAGCATTATTGCATTTTGTTCGTCGGACTCTGCACTTCTGACAGGCTTGAATGGCTCTCTTTCGCGGATATGAGGACTTTATCCGCGTGGCAGGACGCTTCCGGGAGTCGTTCAAAACATTTTCAGCCTCCATTGCGCCGATAAAAGGGCCATTTTGCTGGACAGTCGCCGGCAAATGGCCAGTATGAAGAGACGAGGAATCATAAGCTGGCTCGCTGGAATGGAGAATGTTGCGGAGCGAGCTTTCCATCTGCATTGCCGATAAGAGGATTGAGCCTTTTCTCCACCGGGACAACTGGGGTTTGAAGATCTGGGGAAGTGATACTGGACTCTGGAGAGAAGGATGGGAAGTTGGATGAGCGGAATGCCGGGGAGTGATAAAAGCCCGTCAGCGGAGTGCTGGACGAGAGGAGCGGCAGCAAGAGCAGGCTCTGGAGGCACGATTTTGTTGCGGGGGGTGGGATGGCCGAGTGGCTAGGCTACTAGGCGCCCACCAGGGTCGGCGAGGGGGGAGCTCCCGGGTGGTGGGGACCACTGCCAGAGGCCTCTAGTTAGCCTAGCAACCTTTGATAGGGCCACTTCATTAGGGAGTCTCTGAAAAAGCCAAGATGCCTCGTAAATGCGGGCGGCCCAGTCCTTCTAGAAGCCCTTGGCTGCGCTTTTCCTGCGCTTTGTGACAGCCGAAAAAACTTACCTCACCGCATGAGGAGATACCATCTATCAACTGAGATGAAGGCGCAATCAATAAGCAGTCGCCCAACCCCTACTCCGGACCTTGGTATGTGTGATTGCAACACCACTTTACCGCTCTGAGCCAATATTCGACTCCACGACTGGCCGAGTCATGCTGGTCATGCCACAAGGATCATGGCCCGGACTCGGCGGGGAAAAGCCATCACCACCCTGCCATGTCCATCGCCTCCGTCCTTCGACGTCTCCTCGTCTCCTCAATGCTACCCAAACTCTTGCCAGCCTCTCCCCAGCAAGATTCCCCCATGTGAAAATCTGCGGAATCCCGGAATGCATACGATACCGTCCTCAAGGATGGATCTGGGGTTGAATGGGACTTCCAGAACATGCATCATGATCATCATATAGGAAAGGAAGCAATACATACATAAACACCCATCGTCCCCTCTACGATTGAAGTTCTGGCTTTCTCAGACAAGGTGGCAACCTCTCTCACCTTGCACATCAGCGTCATCCTCGCACTCCGGTGAACATTCAATTCCCGAAACATGGAGAAATTCCATATCGACGACCACGAAGCCAAGGCGGCCGACTCAATCATTGAACACGTGGCTCCCAAGGTCGAACAGGCGCGAGCAGCTGCTGAAGAAGAGCACCGTCTTTCAGTCTGGGAGGCCCTTTCCAAGAACAAGACCGTCGTCTTCTGGTGTGTGTTTTTTGGCTTCAGCTGTATTGGCTGGTAAGTCTCCATCGCTTCAAGTAACTACCCGCCAAAGTCACCACCTGAAGCCTGACCGACTTTTACCAGGGGCTTCGACGCACAGGTCAATGGCGCCATGATCTCAGTGCCTCAGTTTCGGTATACATTCGGGTAAGTCTGTAGCGAGCCCCCTCTATCGTCTGCTTTTTGTGTAGTGACCCGTCCAGAGGCTAATATGCTGCGAAGCTACATCTACAAAGGGCAACCTGTGATCCCCGCCAGCTGGCAGAGCGGCTTTAACAGCATCTCCAGCGTCGGCCAATTCTTTGGTGGCTTCATGTGCTCATGGATCTCTGACCGCATCGGCCGTCGGCATTCTCTCCTTGTAGGGCTGGCCTTTGTCACAGGGGGCATTTTTGGCGAGGTCTTCTCGACCACCCGACCGGCATTCCTCATTGGCAAATTGATTCTTGGAATTGGCCTTGGATTCTACTTGACCATCGGCCCTCTCTATTGCTCAGAGGTGGCACCGGTCGTCCTTCGTGGTATGATCACAGGTGGCATTAACTTCGCGATTGTCATTGGGCAGCTCCTCTCGAATGCCGTTATCAAAGGATTCGGGGACAGGAACGACCGCTGGGCTTTTCGAGGCCCCTTTGCCATTCAATGGTTGTTTGTTGGTAAGACTACCCTTATGCACACGTTCCGAGGATTATCAACATCTGACAAATCTAATCAGCCATTCTTCTTGTCGGACTCCCATTCGCGCCCGAATCGCCATGGCATTATGTGCGCCGGGGCCGCATGGACGACGCTCGACGGTCTCTGGAGCGTCTGCATGGCGAGGACGTTGACGTATCCCCGAAATTGGCCATGATCGTCAGGACCGTCGAGGAGGACGCAGAACTGTCCAAGTCTGCCAGATGGGACCAGTGCTTCCGTGGCACCAACCTCGTACGAACCACCATTTCGGTTGGCGCCTTTGCCTGCCAACATCTCTCAGGTATCGTCTTCGTATTGGGCTTTTCAACCTACTTTTTCGAGCTTGCCGGTATTCAGACCAAGGACGCTTTCGACCTCGGTGTGGGAGTCACAGCATGCGGTGTAGTTGGCGTCATGATCTCTTGGGCCGCCATCAACACACTGGGTCGGAGAAAGCTGTTCGTCTGGGGCATGATCGGTATGACCATTGTGCTAGTCTTGATGGGAATTCTTGACGTTGTTCACACCTCAGCTGCCCGCTGGGTCCAAGCCTCTTGCACGGTCGTCTATGCACTCATCTATCAGATCACGATCGGATGCATCGCGTTTGCTTTGCTCGGTGAAGTCTCCACACCCTCCCTCCGAGCCAAGACAGTTGGTCTGGCCACTGCATGCCAGGCTGTGTTCGGCACGGTTATGAACATTGTGGTTCCTTACATGGTCAACCCGGACAAGGCCAATCTGAAGGGTAAAGTGGGCTTTGTCTTTGGCGGAGCGTGTCTCTTGGGCACCATCTGGAGTTACTTCTATGTGCCTGAGCTGAAAGGCCGCACATTCCAGGAGATTGACTATTTGTTCCAGAACAGAGTTCCACCCAGGAAAATGGGCAAGTACAATCTCGAGGATGTCAATGATGTTATGTGAACATGACATGTGCACCGGTGGTGTGGTAATGTAGGACAAGATGTCACACTGCGAGTTGGGTATTACGATGACAGGGATAAGAACTACAAGCAGGAGCAGAGATTATCATATGACACGGAAGTGTCCACGGACCAATAACCCGGCCACCATCCGCCTCTGAAGACCGTCCTGTGCTACATATACGGAGTAGTATCCGCTGTCCATCAGGGAGTGCTTCCGGTCACTGAGTGAGGACCGTGCAGACCCATTAGAAAACATGTTCGGCGATCCACAAGTATCTACGCAGCAAACCGACTCGCTCTATAAAAACAGCGAGAGGAAGCATTGCAATGGAACGAAGGCCATTCAAAGGCGCTACAAACAAGCCTTCAACCTGTTGCCAAGCCAACCTTAAATCTTTAAATTCATGTACCACTTCATCAAGGTCTTGGACTCTTCGAGTATCCATCTTGCCACGTTCACCAATGAAAGTTCCGAACTTGTATGATGCTCAGGGCACTCGGGCAGCAGTCAGCAATAAGACACAATGAAATGCGGCAATCGGACACGATAACGCGCTGAAAGACCGAAAATAAAGAGCAGGAAGCCAAAAGATGCCGACAGGCATTCAACAATGGGACTCAAACCCTCAGGGCCCGTTGAGGGTTACTGACACTCTTGGCAACACGTACCAGATATATCTGTCAGGATTGTGGTGTCAAGCACTAGCCCCAGCAATGACACCAATGACTGAATTTGGCTTACGAGCGCTCGGCTGCCGGCTTACGCATGCTCGACAGATCTCTCAATCTCACGCGGAAAGGGGCTTTCGCCGCTCCAAGGAGCCCGCTTGGGCCAAATATATTATCTGGTACATACATATTACTGGGGCCGATACTTGCACCCTCCGTTATTGGCACCTTTTCAGACTTCCTGATAGAGTCAATTTCTTCTGATGTGTACCAGGAATGGATAAAGCTTGATCTTATATGAGGGTAAGACTCCCTGAAGAGTTCCGTCAACCAGAGGAACGTCATCTCCAAACCAATTCCTTCGTTTTCGCATTTCTCAAACACGCCACCACTCCATTGATTTACCATGGCCAGCAATAACGTTGACGACTACGCCAACGAGGACTATGCTGATGAGGACTACGCCGACGAGAACTATGCTGACGAAGATTACGCCGACGAGCACCATGCTGACGAGGGCTATGCTGACGAGGACTACCTTGACAACAATCATGCCGACAACCACTATGCTAATAACGACTATACTGACGACCACTATCCTGATGACCATTATGCTGACGGGAGCTTTGTTGACGATGGCACCGGCCACAACGGCACCGCAGGCAACGGCATTACTGGCAATAATCCTACAGTCAACCATACTGTAGCCAATGACACTATAGCCAGAAGCACCACAGGCAACACCATTACGGCTAATGGCACTGGAGGCAACAATGTTTTACCCAACCACACTATATCCATCCATCCTACCGGCCCTATATCCAGCCTACTGCCCCCTAGCCACACTATAAACAAAGTCCCCACAGGCAATGGCACTACAAGCAATGGCACCACAGGCAACGGCACTACTGGGCACAATGCTCCCATTGATCCGCACTATTACCCCCAGAGCGGGCCTGCGTCGTCATTTGCTCATTTTGATGACCATATCTGTTCTTTTAATGATCTGTGGAATACGTTTCAGCCCGTCATACAGAAGGCTAACACTGGACACGGTAACGCTGACTATGCCGGCATGGTGAGTACAACCTCTGTCGGATCACATCCAGGAGCAGTTGCCAAAAAGGATGGCTCGAATACGTGTGTTTAAGCTTGTGTTGACTTTGTTTCAGGTCAAAACGGCAATTCAAACCGTCAGCGCTTCAAGTGGTGTGCAAGATTATCAACTTCTGTGCATCATCATGCAAGAAAGTACAGGGAATTGCTTCGTTCAGGCAGGTTCTTCCCAGTTCATCATGGTGGTTAAGTCTCTTGGTGTGGATCTGACAAGAAATGATAGACAACTGTCGACCCCGACGGAGCTGGGACCGGTGGTCTTATGCAGTGTTCTGGGTGCCAAGGTTTGAGTGCATCGGCGGTACGTTATACTGATGATGGAAGGCCAATCCATCTCACGTTCATTTGAGCATTGTGCTAACCGAGGACATGATCCTCTTTAGAGCACAAATCCACAACAGTCAGACATCGACAGCATGGTTCAGGCAGGCGCCACCCATTTCAAGCAATGCTTAGATCAGCAAAAAGGAAACTTCTATGAGGCGTTGCGGGTATACAATTCCGGGCACATCGCGGAGAGTGGTGATCTTAGCGATCCTAAGAGTGATGGCACGCCGAAGTACGTCCAAGACGTAGCTAATCGCACACGTACGTTTTTCTCTCCGCCGAAACCTTTGATTGGGGTAGACAGGCCTTTTTTGAACGTTCGGGTTGTCGAGATACTGACTCTGCGAGTTCCAAAGATGGCTGGTATGCGGGCAATGGCGCACCAATGCCACCATCCTAGATGGAGTGACTTCAGTCAGAACAGTCCAACGGTCGTATCTCACATGGGTCAGATCACGTTATCTTTCGGCGAAGGAGTCAGGGTAGATATGTACGTATATACTAGGCGGATGAAACGTTGTCGGGGTATCACCCATCCATCAATTTACGATCCTTTCACTGCTTGGCTGCGGACCCTTTTGCGCCTCGTTCCGCTCTTTCAGTTACGAACTGCTCTCGCCGACGATCGACGCACGAATGCTGGAGGAGGGACTTATTCATCACAAGAGAAGGGGTAGGAAGATGTGGCATACTCGGGACTCTGTGTGGATGCTTTCCTTGGCAGTTGTCTAGAACGACCTTTTCCCTCGTAGAGGCAGCGATCACAAATCATCCTACTGGTCCGACAACAACCAAGAGCTCTTCGGCTGTTTGGTGTCTCCGCCCAGCCTACCTGCCCAAACTAGGAGGTGCCATTTTCCACATCGGGATGTGGTCAACTATTCCGCTGCCAAGAGACAGCTTTGGCATTATCGCTAAAGGGCCACACGAAGTCTTGGGAGCGTGGGTTGAACTGCCCGTTCACCAACAACAGGCTGCCCTGGTACAGCTGCTCCTTACCTCAGCTCTTTGTCACCGTTGCTTAACGGCTCCTAAACGGCTGCATTGGCACAATCCGAGATCATCATCCCTTTTGAAAGCGCCTCCCTACACGAAACCCTTGACCCGGGCGACACCGCTAGCTACTTGTCAGCACTCATGGCCGGTCCAGTTGGGAAATTGTCGTCTTGGGTGTGGTTGGGTCACTTCGCTCTCCCACTCGTTTAGCTTGCGATCAAAGCCAACAAGCTGCTCGGCACCACGGGAGAGATTCCCATCCACTCCTTTCTTGAGTCAAACGCAGCAGCAATACGAACTGAACCCTCTCAAAAGCCTATAAGAACGTCTAGCTCCCGCCCGCGAACTCTTGCCTCTGCATATCGAATTACAGCTGCGCTCTTTCCACGGAACCCAAATTGTTCAATGATGTCAACGTCCCCAACTTTACGGCTGCCGCCAGGGAAAACGACGCACCCGTGTTCCTAATGCGAGACTGGAATCAACTTGACGTCGGCAGGTTAGCTATCAACACTGGGACTGAAGCCTCGGACCCGCACTCTATGCGATTCTGCATCGTTGATTCCGAAGGGCTACGGACTCATCATGACCGACGGGGCTGTCAAATTCATTTTTCCGACCAGACAAGGCCCGCCGCCTCAGGATCATGGGCTCAGTGAGAAGGAGCGACGATCACATGCTGCTCGAGTTGGCCATCTTGGGAAAAGTCGAGCTGCTAGTGGCCCCTCTGCCATTCATCATTCTGCACCACGAAGCCAAGCTATTTACAGGATGCATTTACCGCGACGGCGCCACACAAGCAGCCCCAGTTTTGGTTACAATGTCAGCTCGAACTCCAGCTCCAACTTCAAATCAGAGTCGACGTGCGACTCTTCGTCGGATGAAGAGAGACGCCCAACGCCGCCAATAGTTGTGTTGAAAGGCAACTCCGACCCATTCGCCACACTGTCAGTGGTCGTCACACCGCTTGTGAACCAGGTTTTGACGTTTATGCGAGAGGCGCTGTATCCAAACCTGTACTTCAACCCCTTCTTCCGCCGGTTGTATGGGGACTCTAATGGTCCCATTAACGTGCTGCATGATAGCAGTTGGTTACCGGCGCAGACGGCGAGGCAAGGTTGGGGCTTTGCCGCTGGGAGCCTCAACTCAGAGGGTCAGGCCTTGGCATGCATCGCGAGCTTTCTTCACAACATGGCCACGCTGCTGCCCGAGGATGGACGACTCAAAATGAGCCGGCAAGCCCTGATTCTCACGACCAAGAGTTCAGAGCTCCTCCGGAAGTCGTTGGAGAACACACCCAGCACTGGAGGAGGTAAGAGCATGCTTCTTCAGGATCAAGGGCTGATTACCCATGTCTTCTGGTTATTCCGCGCGGCCGTGTATTCCGACAACAGCCCATCCGTGGCGGTCCACGGCAAGGTCCTGGCGGGGAGCATGATGCAAGGTTTTAATGACGGCATTGTGGATCACCTGATGATCATCCAGGCTATCAACGACGACTGTGATGACGCTTCGAAAATAACGCGGCGGACTCACTTTGATCCTGACTGGTATCGGCTCACTGTCAAGCCAATCTGGGCTTTAGCGGAGCAAATTCTGCCTCCAATACCCGAGACAGCCTTTGCCAATGTTAACCCGGCCATTGAGATCCCGGAGCTGCGACGCCTCTTCATAGCCTCACGCCATCAAGCGGCGTTCGGCGAGGATGGCATGCAAGTATCGGACGAGGCCTGGGGTCCGCCAGAACAAAAGGAGCTGGCCTTTGCTTGGTTCGTCACGCAGAGCAAATACCTTATGGCCAAAGTCCTCCAGATATAATTTGACCTCCGCGAGAACATCCATCCACCGTGGCGGCAAGGGCCGTCTGGTGGCGGTGGAGGACCCACGAGACCTTCCTCGGGCGAGCGTCTGACCCAGGCCGGCCTGGCGCTGGGCCTACTTTACTATGTCCGCGCGATAGGGCACGAGGCGAAGATCAATGGGCGGGACATCCGCGACGCATCCCCGGGCATTATGCGTCATCTGCGGTCGGTCATGGAACTCATCTCCTCGGTGGCGACCGAGCACGAGAAGCGGCTCTACAGCGACGCCCACGCGTGGCTTTACTATCTGGGTGCATTCGAAGAGCGCCGTAAAATGCCAGCACTGTCCTCTTCATCGAGAGACTGGCGCGCGTCCACCGACGCCGTCGGCCGCAACGGGGAAGCCCAGGCCCCGTGGTTCCAGCACCGTCTTGCCGAGCACGTCCAACAACAGCAACAGCAAGAGCAATCACTCAGGGGAAGCGGTAGCGGCAGCAGCAGAGCAGTCGACCCCCCTCCTCTCCCACCGGGATCTTCGCCCTCTTACCGCCGGTGGCCAGTGTATCGACGCGTCTTCCGCACCTTCTTCCTCTCGGACTGGGCGCAGCCACACGGGTCGACCTGGTTCGATCGCGTCGTTGCGTCGCAGGCGGAGGTGAGTGCGGACTGATGACGCTCTCGCATCGCCGTCATTGTCTCACGGGCCGAATTGCAAAATAAGTGGTACACTCAAAATCCTCTGCTGTTGGAACAGGGATCTGGAAAAAAGTTTCAATTTGGTCGTTGGTCGACAATATTAAGCCATGTTCCCAGCAGCTTGGACTGTTCCCCGCTGCCATAAGTCGGCCTCTAATATTAAGATGCTAACGCATGCTCACCTCTTGTCTCTTGTCACCTCTACGCTCTATTCCACGAGAGTAGTTTAGTTTGACGTCGGAAGCTTATCTTGTTCGGCATCACCGTGGCTCTGCACAATCGTAGTCTGTGGCTCTCCCTCGTTGTCAGAGTCTGAGTCGCTATCAGAGACACTGAGGTTCTCCTCTGAGGACTGCACCACCTTCCTTAGTTCTTACACCTGCTGGTCGTCAGGCTCGTTGTCCACAATCGCCATGGCCCCTTCTTAATTCTTCCACCACTCTCGTGACATCGTTGAGAGCTTGGCGCGGACTGTCGTTAGTAGGCATGATCATGGTAGGAAGGACGGCGTTGCAAATAATCGTAAGCTATAGAACTTAAATACATAATAAATGATGGAACATAAACGACGAGCGACGGAACATGAACAATCAACGAGAAACTAAATCCACCAATAATAACGAAGACGCGCATCGAGTAGCGAGGAGCGCTTCCATGGATCCCATTCTATCACCCTCGCGCTTATCCCAATCTTGTCGCCATTGACGGTGCCCGCCGCGATACCAACAGGCGCAGTTGTCAGGTTCGAGACTGCCCGCCATCTTGGACCAGCGCGCAAGCAGTGTTTTGTCAACTTCGGACTCACTTGAGATTCACCTCAGTGATAATGGCAGTGATACATGTGGTGACACTACATAGCTGGTACATAGTGACACTGGCAATCTCACGGTAGCACGATACCTTGAGGGTATTTAAACCCCCACTTGTGCTTGTTGACCTTTGTCCATTTATAGACAAGCACACAGAACAGAGTTGGAACTAATACAAGATTAATCAGAGTTCTAGATTCGGACGATGGAACCATATTTAGATCAGACATCGAAGATAGGTTCTCCCAAAAGGTCAAGCCGTATTTCAATATCGAGAATGAAGATTCCTATGTTTACCACAAAATGGCTGATCTCTAACTTCTCGAAATTAATATACAATATTTAGAGAGTAGTTAAAGATAAATACAAAAGACCCAGAATGCGTTTCGCATGGTCAGGATATCGAATGTTGTTTTTTTCCCCGAAAAATTCGCGACACTCTGTATCAAGACTTCTCCCCTCGTTGCTACAGCCGGAGAGGAGTTGGAACATGGTCCAGGAAGAGTATTCTCTAGGGTGTCTCCGCAAAAAAACCCGCTCACGCATACGGTCCTGGGCTTTGTCTCTCGTTAGCGAGGCTGATGTGGAAGTAAGAACATATCGCAATAAAAGGTCATGTATCCAAGGCCATGAGAGCAGAGCAGGAAATTTGGGAGCTTGTCCGGTCGGCCTCATCCTCGTTAAGCGGTCCGAAAAAAAAATAAGCACACAGGACCGGAACTGTTTTGGCTCAGATATGGAACCGCTTGCCAGTACATACATAGCCATAGGCTCCAGCAGAAAACTTCGAGAGATCACTTTGCAGATGGCACGAAAGGTTGTGCTGCCCGATACAACAGAGATGAGGACATTCCGCACCCAGGATGGTTGACGGAGCCAGTGATCAACCGTTACACCGTTGAGGTCGAGTCTGTATGTCCACCTCGAGAGCGCCGGCCGAAAGACCAAGACAAGCCCAGAAGCGTCAACATGCTTATAAGGTTGGACGCTGGAGAATTCGTCGACTTACACTTGCGGCGGTTTGATTGGGGGTGGATCTCTCCTGCAACGACACCACTCGGGCATATATCCAGGGCTGGAAACTGCGGCACAACTCAAAGTCCCTTCGCTGCTAGCACGGAGGTGGCCTTCGTTGGCGTTGAGCCATTCCGTTCTACCTTGGAAATAGAGGATACTCTGCATTCGATATTATCGCGACCGCTTCGTCCTCTTTGAGCCACCTTTGGCTACATTAGATACGGCTTGTATTCTGAGTCAGATCGTGTCGCTTTTTTCTTTTTTTTTTTTTTCTCAATTGCTTTTACTTCTATTCCGTTGTGCTCCTTCTCGGCCCGAAGGGAAAGAAAAAAAGTCTAGTCAATACCATACACTCTATTGAAAATGAAGTCCTTGGGCGAGAACACCATTCCCTTCCTTCGTGAGCCTGTTGTTCGAGCTTGACACCGGACAAATATAATACGGAAGGACTTTCGATTCGGGTCCTTGAATGCCTAATTCCCTCTATTAAAGCCACTGAATTGCTTGTTTACCGAGTTCCTTACTTCCCTTGACGCGTCGTGCATGGACGTATGGATGGATGAGCGGACGGCATGGGAAATCAAGGGACTCAGTTCAAACATCCTCCTTCTCCTCGAACTGAATCGCGTGCTCCTTCTTGAGGATGGTTTCCGCGTGGCGGTCATGGACCATGCGCGCCGCAAGGGCCGAGTCTCGAATTTCGGGTTTCGCGAAGATCAGATCGATCTCTTCGAGGGTTTTGCCCGTGGTCTGTAGAGTGCAACCCGAAGCAAGGGCGATTCAGTTAGAATAGGGCCTGGCTTGGAGTCCGCAGTTCGCGCGGTTCGATAGAGAAACAGTGAAAGCGAAGAAAAAAAAAGGAAAGGAGGGAGGGGGAAAGAAGAATAATCATGACTTCCGAGGAGCGTTTTGTGTAGTGGTGGTAGAGGAGGAGGAGGAGGACATACCTCGGGACACATAAAGTACACAAACGGCACGGCTACCGCGCAGGATAGGAGCATCCAGATCCAGATTTTCCATCCAACATTCTGCAGTGCGATGCCTCCGGCGAAGACGGTGATGAAGCTGAATAGCCACTCTCCGAATGCCCCAGCCGCGCCGCCGAGGTGGCGAAGTTTGAGCGGTGCGATCTGTGCAAAATCCTCCAGGTCAGCGTGGACTTCGCTCGACACTGCTCATTCGAGAATTCAGACAAGGGGGGAAACCGCTCTTAGCGCTGAGCTTCACATGGCGTGGGAGACTCACCTCGGGTCCATACAACCAAGGGACACCAATCCAGCCATATCCAAACACGAAATTGTAAATGATCACAAACGCCACGGCAGTCCACTGCGTCGCCAGTGTAGGATGCGGCAAACCGATCATAATTACAAACACCAGCATGCAGAGTGTCAGGATGACCGCTGACCAGATCAAAACGCCACGGCGACCGACTCGTTCGATCGTCCAGGGTAAAGGATACGTCCCTAGGGCAAAGCCGGTGTTCATCACCGCAGCGAGCAGCTGAGAGAGGAATGGTGACAGGCCGACCTGTGAGAAGATGACTGTGGAATAGTAGACAGACAGGTTAATACCTATCACATACGTCAGCAAGAAATCCTTCGTTCAGGCGGGCAAGATACGGACCCATCATCTGCTGAATGGAGAGGATCATGAAGGAAATCCTAATCCGGCGACCAGCTCTTAGGTCACTCTTGTCCCAGAATAGATCCAAGGGGTTGAATCTGTGCTCGTCTTCTTCTTCGAGTTTGATCGAGGCCAGGATTTCCTCTCGCATGGCTTGGACGGCGGGGTCTTCGAGCGGGCGATCATGGAGCCGCATCACGATGCTGTCGCCTTCCGCGACGCGACCTTTGGCGTAATACCATCTAGGCGTGTCGGGCAAGAAGAACATGCCGATAATGGACACAGTTGCAAAGAAGGCTTGGAAGGCGATGGGAAACCGCCATGAGACTTGGTTTGTCATGCGTGTCATGCCAAAATCTATCCAATATGCTAGGGCCACGCCACTGATCAGCCAGACGCATTGGATGGCGACCTCAGGTCCTCGTTCTTTCGAAGTGATACTCATCTCGGCCATGTAGGTGGGGACACTGCAGGAGATGAAACCGATGCCGAACCCGCAGAGGACGCGGCCGACGATGATCTGGGCGACCGACCATGACGAGGCTTGGATGCTGGCTCCGACAATGACAAGGGCATCGCCCATCAAGATACAGCCTCGTCGTCCTAAAGGCATACCAAGTACGGTAACTGCCAAGGAGCAGACGGCGGCGGCCAGGGTGTATGAAGAAGCAATCATGGGGATGACATATGTACCCGTGGGATGGCCCATGGCGTCGAGGAAAGGTTTGGTGGTTTGGACGCCTCCGAGGACCCCAGCGTCATAGCCATACATGCAGAAGGACAGAGAACAACATATGCTCATAATCCGGTAGAGAGCTCGGCCTTTGACGGACTTGAGGAATTGCATGATGGGCAGCTTGTTGAGGGCAGTCTAGTGTAGGAAAGAAAGGGATAGAGGGTTCGTGGACAAAGGGTGAAGCCATATTGTTCAGTCGTGGCTTCTCAATATGTATGTCGACTATGACTTGGTACCCCACACAATTGATGCCGAGACCAGGATCCACCTTCGGGGCCAGGTAGTCTATGATTGGTTGAGTGTACGGTACGGAAGCCCACCCCCGCAACGTTGCGGGAATTGAAACCCGGGGAACTCGATTCCATGCACAGAATACCGAGTACCAAGGGAGATAATGAGACTAGTCGGTCTGTAGGCAGGGTGACCGCAATTTCCCGCTCGCATCCCCCATCCACTGTGACGAACGGCATCTGTTTTATTTCGTTCGGAGCCCTGCATCTCGCTGTTTTTCTTGAAGCCACAAACCTGACGAGTAAGGGACCACGTCTTTGCCAGGGGAGAATCGAAAATGTACCCCAGACAGATGTGCATCAGAACCCGTACTCTGCGCATACTTCACCCGATACCTTTAACCCGCCTCGTAGTCCCGAGGCCTTTCGTTGCAAGAGAAGGCGCTCACCAAGCTCGAGCCATGTCGACCGAGAACACCGCCCCAGCGACCAGACTCGGAGTATCCAACGAAGACGCCTATCGCATGAGGTCGATACAAGATTTGATGTCTCTCAAAGACAGGGTCACTGTCGTCACTGGTACGTAAAGAACCGGACTCAGACTGCTCCCTGTTTCTGAACGGCCGAAGGAGGAGCACGAGGCATTGGTTTGGCACTAGCAAGGGGAGCTGCGGAACTGGGAAGCGACATCGCTGTTCTTGATATCCTCGAAAAGCCATCTGATGCTTTTCTTGATCTCGAAAAAGGACTAGGCGTGAGGGCCAAATACTATCGGTTTGTCTGCCTACCAGTGCCATAGTTGCGGGGTATTTTACTGACAGGTGTGCTTCCAGCACAAGCGTCACTGATCCGGATGGCCTAACTCAAAGCTTCAAAGCTGTAGTGGAAGATTTCGGTCGGATAGACAACTGGTAAGGCGAACTTGTATGGGGAGGGGACGCTGTTAACCGCGCTTTGCAGCGTCACAGCGGCTGGCATCGTGCATGACAAACCATTCCTCGACACGACTTGGGACGAAGCGGCCAGGATTCTGCAAGTCAATGTGGGTTTGAGGCATGTCCACGTCGACGAGGCTGCTAACTTTGGTGCAGGTGATGGGCACAATGCTCAGCGCACAACTGGCTGCCAAACAAATGCGAGCCCAGAACACTGGAGGGAGTATCGTGATGATAGCATCGGTGACAGCTCAGTCTGCCCTGCCAACTCAGAGACTGAACATATACGCTGCTTCCAAAGGTGCTGTCAGGTCCCTTTGCCTACAGCTGGCAGTGGAGCTGGCTCCCCTTGGAATTCGAGTAAACACAGTATCACCTGGCTTCATCGCCACCGAGATGACCAAAGGGTTGGCCCTCACAAGACCTGAGTTGTTGACAGTGTTTAAGTCTGCACCGCCACTGGGAAGAATAGGCGACAGAGCTGATCTCAAAGGGATCGTTGGATATCTTCTTAGCGATGCAGCAGCGTATACGACCGGCGCTGATGTCCTCGTGACTGGCGGTGTGCATGCCGGTCAGCTGTAGACCGAAAGGCGCCAGGCCGAACTGAAAAAGAAGTGGCCCACTTATAGCCCTTCGCGTTTAGAACGGAGGTGGCCTTTGTTGGTAATTTGCCTTGGAAACCGTGGTCTCCTGCTATTCATCCAATACTGTCAATTATATTCGATATAGCGGTCGCTTTGACGTTAAGCACTCTTGAGGTACATATTATGTGACAGACTTTGCCACTTATTTTTGAATCTGGGTAATGTAGATTGCAACATGAGTAGTAGGCTCTCTCCACCGGCTAATCCAGACGGCGTCACGATTCTTGAGGGGGGAAGTGAGGCAGTTCGAGGTTGGTGTAACCACTCCAAAACAGAGTTTCGAGGGAAAAGTCGTCGTACGAGGTATCGAAAAAGTTAAACGCAGGGTCTGCCTCGCTCAAATTGAAGCCAAAATCGGAGCTCCCCTGGCTCTGAGGAGATTGGTGTGTCTGCAAGAGATCACTTTCGGCATTCGTGGGTCGCCGCTTCTTCGATGGCGCACTTCCCGCCTCTTGGCCGTCGCTCCATGGATTTTGTCGCTTGACGTTCGACTTCGATCTCCTGAGCAGGTCACTCTTGATGCCCATGATTACTTCGAGTGCCCTTGAAGCACTTTTGAAGGCAAGCCCCAATTCACTCAATGCCTGACAACAGATCTCTAAATTCTTCCATGCACTGTTGCTTCGAATTGGATCCGTTGCTGCACAGGCCGCGAAGACATGGATCAACGTCGCCGTAAAGACGAGGTGGACGGCCTGAACATTGATTCTCCTGAGACTGTACTGGCGGCGATAGGTCTGAATTAGCCTTGCCAGGAAATTGGCCGAGTTTGTGCAGTGGTTGCGACCAGTCGTAATTTCACCCGTGGTGAGACCCGGTAGGGTCTTGGCGGACGCGAAGAATGGTCGGAACGTGATGATCATAATGGTATGATATTGCATGCTAAGACTCCATCAGCCTTTAGAATATGATAAATGAGCGTGCCTACCCACTGGAGCTGGAGAACGTGTGGAAGGTAGAACGCTTTTTTGTCTAGGTTATTGACAGCCAAGCTGGGTGGGAGGTCCCTCTGCCAGCCCAACAGCTTGTCACGCATCTGGTTGGCAAACTGATACAGCTGTCTGGCGTTTGTCGGACCCGTCATACCATCAGGGTATCTGATTCGAGTCAGAAACTTCTTTGCGAAGCACATATAAACTTACAGCGTTTCCCTGATTGCGGTCATGTGTCCACATAATTTCACATTCCAAACGCCCAGCTCGTCAATTGAGTCCACCATGCTAGGCAAATCTATTGCCTCGCTGTCATCATAAGGGGACCAATACCTTGGGACCCGACCTGGGTTAGCTTCTTCCGCAGAGAACTGTACAGTTATATGTTTGTCGTCCAGTGCGACGGGTCTCCCGACGTACAAGCTCCACATCCTGGTATGCGGTCATTGTATTGCCACAATTTTCACAAAAGGAGATGTAAATACCTGTCGTGAACGAAAACTCCGCTCCATATTATTTTCCGAATCATCCCTTCTTCGCATGAGATCAAACCTGCCTGAACGTATGGCTCCGGATCAAGATGAAGGCCTAAATCGACTGCGAGTCTGACGGCCATTCCTGCGCCACCGAGTCAGCGTCAGCCAGTATGATGCCGTAGGGGGACCTTGTACCGCTATCAAGCCAGCCACGTGCATCCCTGGTGAGAAGGGCCTCAACGGCACTAAGAATGACCAAGGACTGAACTGTCGACAGAGTGGGTGCGTCCATCTCGAGTTCCAGAAGCAATTTCGATCTGGTGGCAAAAAAGTCCGACAAAGGATCAGGCAAATGAGGATAAGTCCTAGAGGTAAGGGTCGCTCCAACTGAACACCTGAGAAGGATGATCAGCCAACAACCAGTGACAAATTTCATACGAGAAAGCATCAAGCAGGCGAAGTTACTCACATTGCATTGGTCAATACTTCTGAGTATAGCGTACTAACTTGACCTGCGGCTTTGCAATTCATTCGTTCGCGCCAGAAGATGGACTCGTCGACAACATGAATTGAAGGCTCCTCCCAAGTGAAGTACAGTCGCAAGAGGTGGTCTTCGATGCTTTCGTCGACAAAATGACCGACACCTGCTCCGCTAAGCAGATCGGCACCTTGTTCGGACGGAGAGCGGAATTTGGATCGCGACAGAGAGAGCGGTCCATTATGAAGAATGTGCAAGTTAGAAGTAGCCCCGTAGAAACGTAACTGTCCGTCCTCGGCGATTTGTAACGAGCCCATCCTCCCTGATAGCTGATCGAGCAAAGTGTCCTCACTGTGAGTAGGAACTATTGTCGTTTTGAGATCGGAATTCGAACTGTCGGCATGAGGCACGTCCGGAGAAGACTCAGAATAGAAGTAGCCATCATCGAGATGGTTGCCCGCCACGAATGGGGCATTCCGACCATGGTGGCTGCCTTCTCCTGGGCCCAATTCAGTACGTTATTTCATCTTCCAAGCACGAAGAGGGCTTACCCTGCCATTCTGATATACCGAAATCTGGCTGGGGTGTGACCGGGGGAAAGCTCTGGGGCAGGGGTGTCTCTACCGACCATGATGACACAGCTTGATCGTCCACCAAGACGCTCTGAACATGCAGCGGTGGAGGGGGAGGGACATCTATGCCATTGGCGATGAGTAATGACTCGAGTTGCTGGCAATAGCTCGTCAAGGCTTGCAATCTCTCCTTAGGAGCAATTTTCCGTTTGTCCACGCCATGCTGGAAGACGCACTCCTGGCCGTAGAGGACGCAGTTCGAGCATCGAGGACTAATGCCGTCGCACTTTATTTTGCGCTTGCGGCAGCCCAGACAGGCGGTGGTGACATGCTTGCCCTGGCGCTTCGGTAGAGGATCAGAAGAGCTGTTTTGGGTCGACATCAGGCTCCTTTGTCGCTCGGAGACTGCTGGGTCCGGCTGGACGGCATGGATTCAATCAGCGATGCGTGCTCTGACCCCGCGCGAATTGGCGCCCCATAGGCTGTCGTTCTTGTTGATGTCAGTATCGCAGACTAGGGCTCAAGGGAAAAAGGGACGTGCTGATGGGACTCGCTTTGAAGAGTAGAGGCTTGAGAGACTGATGGGCGAAGATAATGGGAGAAGGAGTGTTAGTCAGAGGGCGGAGCGGAGGTGAGGTATGGGGCCAGGGCTGGGCGCGGCACCTTTTGCGGGGAAGCGAAGGCGTCATTTCTTCTTCTTTCCTCCTTCCCCCTTTTCCCTTACCCCTACTCCGCCCTACTAGAGACACGGAACAGGTACGAACAGAGAAGCTACAAAGAGGTCCCTTTGCAGTGAGACTGGCGAGTGAAGCAGTTGTTACTCACACAGGCACCCCTGTCCTCTAACATAACGACGGAACATGGTATCCCTGGGTATACACTGCCAATACAAGTACAAGTCGCTGTCCACCCGCTCTAGTGCCCGTCGTCTATTCCGTCTAGTCGATGTACCTAGGAGATGAATTTTGTCCATGACTCCGGTGCAGTGGTGGGAAGGTCACCGCCGCAGCGATTTTTCTCCCTGCAATGCCCTCTCGGCCCTCAGATATAGGTCTACACACAAGTTTTGAACTGCAACCAGTCCGTCATCCTTGCTGATGTTGCTTAACCGATGCAAAATTTGCAGCATATATCTCGACACACTGAAGTCTGACACGGAACTTTCGTCGAGTGGGTTGAAAATGATGTGGGCGAGGACGACAACCAGTGCTGAAACAATGGTTTCCAGTGATAACCTGCAAATAACTGTTCGTCAGCACAGGGCTCGGTTTCAAGTGTCTGATAAGTACTGCCGGCTAAACTTACCAATTGCAAGCAATATCGTCGCCCGGGATCAATCTCAAAAGGTCGATAAATCTTCGAGCATCCTTGTGCAATATACCCGCTTTCTGTTTCGACATTCCCTCGATCAACCCCTGTGCTGAAAAGGCGTTATTTCTTGTGCCGGGTGCTGGCAAAATGCGAGCCCAGAAGGCGTAGGCAGTCGAAAAATAGGTTGATTCTAGGACGACAAAGTGGACCAAGTCCGACCGATGCAAAGCCGCACGCAGATGTTCGGCGTCGAGCTCGAAGATCCAATTACGACGCCATTCCTCCAGCCTTGAGTTGATCGCACGTAACTCGACATCTGCTGAATGTTCCGACTTTCGAGCTGTGCGCGGTAACGAGAGTTGCTCCCCAAACTCAGCCTGGAGCAAAGCAAGTTCCACATGAAGTCGGAAGATGTTGACCTTGAACTCCCCACTAGCGGCAGTGATTTCCCCAGCTGCATCTGGCTGGTCATCCGTGGGTAGTTCAACGTTGATGAGTCTCGGAGTCAAGTTCGGTAATCTCCCTGCCCTAAGATTCATGTCTACTTCCATGAAGAAAGCAATCCAGAAAACGCGTTGCTGCTGGACTAGATCAACAGTATTAATTAGTTCGATTCCTCGGGGATCATTGACTCGAAGATCCTGGACGACGCGCAGTGCCAGAGAGACAAACGTTTGGGCTGGGTACGGGCGCGAGGAAGTTGATATTACCACGGCCAAGCCGAGAAAACATTGGGCTAGAAGCAAGGACGGTCGTAGTACAAGCAGTTCTGGAACCGCATCGAGGCATTCTTGCAGATAGATTTCGGCATTCTCGGTGTCTTGAGGCACCCCCAACGGACTCATAGCACGCAGGCGGTGTGCAATTCCTAGGACGACCTTTAGTGCAACCCATTCGATCGGCTTCCCGTTGACCCTTCCATTATAACAGTCCTGGAACAATGATGTGATAACTGCTGCATTGAAGAGTGGAATTGCCGCGTTGAAATCCACCAGAAATTCTTGAAGCAAGAAGAGCCCGCCTTGAACTGGCGGAAGCGAGCACTTTTTCGATCCATTATAACGGACCTGAGGGCGAAGTTCCTCATCAGTTGTAGCGAGAGCCGGGGCTGTTATGGTAAATTGCGAATCCGAGCTGGGGTTCCACTCCTGAGTCACGTCGGTCCCAAGCTGGTTGATTTCTCGGCTTAGAGAACGCGAGAAGTCGCCTTTTATTCCTCTCAGTTGGTTGGAACCGAGCGCTTGCAGCAGTGTCTGGCCTGGCGATGTTTGGGTACTGTCTGCCACTTCCGCTAGAAGCGTATCCGACACATACGAGGTCTGTTCCGCCGGAGATGTGGTCGACGGTAGCGATGAGGGAGTCATGACATCCACCCGTTCCGGGAGGCCGCTCTCTGAAATCTTTGCCGCGACCGACATTTTGATCAGTTCCTCTAGACTCTTCAGGCGCTCTTCAAGATTCTCCATCTGTTTCCTACTCCTTGTTAGCCCGAATCCTACTGGCGGAGGGGAGGACAACAACTTTTTCCGCTTCTCCCGCGGTTTGGTGACATGTGTCATCTGGCACACTGATTTGGACTTCTCGCACGCCGAGCACCTACCGCCTGCTGTCTTCAGGTCGCATTTCCTCTTTTTCAACCGGCAAAGATCGCAGGCCTGAATGACCCGGGGTCAGAACCATCCCCATTGAATGTTCTGAGCATCGCGACCTACCTGGGCCATGTTGCCCGTTTTGGGATGCTGTGCGAGTGTTTGAGACATGTGTATGCCTCCGAGGAAGACGGATGGAGACCGGACTGGGCCCGGCCAGGAGCCTTGCAGACGTACAGCGTTCCCAGAACAGGAACAAATATAACGCTGCTGAAGGTGATTCGGAACTGCAGATCCGACCGGGTGAGCTGGGCAAAGGCAATTTAGACTAGTAGTGGGGAGTGGTGAAGATTGAAGTCGAGGACGAGCATTTGAAATGGACGAGGAAAGCCCATGACGTGGGAATCGGCGTCCTGATTGTGCGATTCTGAGTAATCCGATCCAGACTTGGATCTCGAGCCAAATTCTCAGCAATGACCCCGACGGGCACCACGGGAATATCGCGCTGAGATGCGAGATTCAACTTCGAGAGGCGGGATCGCAGCCCGGCTGACAAAACATGATTGCATCCGGCAACGCGGAGAGTATTTCGCTCCGCAAGGCCGAACTCACAACCGCCAACTCATTTAGGCACCCCAAGACCACGTGCCGGTACCAGTAACTTGTAACAAGTACTGTACTTGTAGTCGATGGGGCTCAGCCTTGCGAGTAAGCACGCCCTGCACGCCCTGCACGCCCCGCACGCCCTACCGAGTATTACGCATGCCAGCCTCGTCTCTTGTTGCCTCGGCTCATTCATTCACCGGCCACTGCTTAATCCTCCCTACTCGGTATTTACCGGCCTTCATTCACTGGACATGACCTGCAGAGGACAATTGTATCCTTCTCGGTAGGTGAGAACTCGTCGCCATGGCATCAGAACTGAATGTTCCCATTGTTGATGTGTGGGCAAATCCGATCGCCCTTGTATGTGTTCTGTCCTTGGTTATGAGATCACTAATCTTTACGCTGCGCTTGCTTAAGAGTCCATTGATTCCCTGTGCGCATGCCGTTTGAGGCTTCTGACGATGGGTTCTAGGATGGTATACCAGAAGCCAAGCGCCTCTTCAGACAAAGTCATGCCGATCCTGCTCTCCTCGCTCGTCGACCCACGCCCCAGGAGTTGGTGGCCATGATGGACTCGGCAGGGGTATCGCAAATCTGTCTGGCATCATGGTGGCGGCCTGGCCAGGTAGTCTTCTCCAACGACCAAGTTGCCGAGTTCACCAGAGCTTATCCTGATCGAATCTTCGGCCTTGCATCCGTGGACTTGCTCGACCCAGTTAATGCCGTCAGAGAACTCGAGCACTACGTGGTGAACGAGGGCTTCAAGGGTTTGCGTGTCGTCCCGTGGCTATGGGGCTTGCCACCCACCGATGCTCACTACTGGCCATTGTACGTCAAGTGTATTGAGCTTGACATCCCATTCTGCACCCAAGTTGGTCACACCGGCCCTCTGTGTCCGAGCGAAACGGGTCGCCCAATACCTTACATCGACACCATCGCACTGAAATTTCCTCAACTGAAAATCATATGCGGCCATATAGGATATCCTTGGACTGCCGAAATGGTAGCCGTCGCTTGGAAGCATGAGAATGTCTATATCGATACCAGCGCATATCTTCCGAAATATTATCCTCCCGAGTTGATTACTTTCGCCAACACGACTGGCAGCAAAAAAGTCATGTTTGGGACAAACTTTCCCCAGCTGACTTGGAACGCATGTGTAGATAGCGTTAGGCGACACCTGTTGGAAGAAGGAGGTTTGCGACGCGAAGTCATGGCAGCATTTATGGGTGGTAATGCAAGGCGGGTATTGAAGCTGGATGCTCCATCGGCGTGGAAGGCGAAAGCTTTGCTATGATAACGTGCACGAAAGATAATTTACGATATGCAAGATGCAAGTAGTGGGCTTTCCAGAAAACTGGACTTGGTTGGAGTTTGTGGAGGCAGCAAGACCAAGTCAGGCTGAAGAAAATGAGCGCTGTGCTCGGCCTTCACCAAAAATGGCGACCGCTCTTCAAAATTCCATCCCGTCGGCTCCGGTGACTCCGTCTTCGTCCCGTTCTCTTTTCACTCGAACCATTTCGCTCTTGAGCAAGGATTTGACAAATGCGTCAAACAGTTCGACGTAGGGTTTGAGACTGGTCTTTTCCCAATCATTCAGCTTCCTCATTGTGACGCCATCCTCAATATACCCGTTTGCTCGTTCGTCAGGTTCGTCGTTACTGCCAAATTGATCAACTTCTCTGAGTAGTTCGTTGAGCTTGGGCACGGAGAGCGGGTCAAAGGACTCGGCTCGGCTCATGTCACCACCGGCTGTGATGGGCACGCATACTCGTCCTGTGCCAGGGTGCACGACAAAGGGACTTTTCAGCAAATGGATTCGCTTCTTGCCGACTTCCACATCCAGCCTCGGATATGTGTATTCGAGGAGAATATCTTGCTTTGCTTCGACCAAGGCCTTGGTGTCCAAGGTCTTGCTGACACCAGTCTTGGCCAGAGCATCGATATCTTCCCATTTCCTGATGCTCGGTCGGTCTGGGCTGCTTGACCACTTCTTGACCAGGGCCTCGTTCAGCGCCTTGTCTGGAAGCAACTGGAGGAGACGGTCTTGTCCTTTCTGAGACATGAAAGGATCCTGGTCGATCAAGACCTGCTGAAAGTATGGCTTCAAAATCTCCAGGCTTCGAGCAATGTGGGGGTGCAGTGGCCGCTTGAGATTCACTCGTTTGCCACCTTGCACACCTCCCTTCAACACTTCGAAGTACCCGGTGATAGCTTTGCGTTTGTCGTCGTCTAATTTTCTGGCTTTCTTATCACTGATCCAGGCGTGGACGCCGCGACGTCCGGAATAAATCCAAATGATGTGTTCAAAGCCAAAGTCTTCTCTCAGGGCAACATCGACGACTTTAATTGCCATTGTGGCGAAGGACCAGCATTTGGAACAAATGTTTGCCTTTTCACAGCATGTACGAATGTCGTCGTAGTCCGTCAAATCAATGTCGAAGACAATCTCTTTACTCAAGGGTCTGAGCATGGAGCTGTTCCTCAGCGTCTTTCGCTCCCTTGGGTTTGTAGTGTAGACTGGACCAATTTCAAACCGAGAAGGAATATGTTGCAAGATGTCTTTGCGTAGCAAGTCCGCTGTAGGGTAGGATTGATATCGAAGATACGCGTCGTTCGGAAGGGTCAATGCGAACTCTCGGTTGGTGAAATCTGGTCCTGGTTTAGGGGAGTGGTTGAGCCACTGGAAAAGGGCTCGAAAGGGAAAAAGTCGGGCATAGAACTGTTTCATTATGGCCGGATCGGAATATGACTCCTGCTGTAAAGTCGCAGTGGCGTTTTCTGATGAGCCCGGTGCCGATTCAGGTGGTGAAGAGGGGATGTTAGCTTCGCTGGACGTAGGGACGCCGCTTCCAAGATCGTCGTCATCACCACCGCCCTCAAATAAGTCTTCCAGTGACACAGGCGGCTGGTTCTCAGACTTTACTACGGTATCATCTTCAATTCCGTCCCGGTCAACGCCGGGTGCTGGTGGAGCGTTGGGGAGGTTAAGATCTTCATTCTGAGAAGGCGAGAGTTGATGCGGTGAAGAATCTCCTGCCATCTTGATGCCTATATTGACTAGTTGTCAGAAGACAGTGGTTTGTACACAAGTTGGAGATATTTGCTCCGTTCACAATCATGTGGCAGATCAAGGCGCGTAATAATTGAACGCGTTCCAGACGCGTTTGATGGCCGTCTGATCCCGTCTCGCCGTGTCATGACTAGTCCATTCTGTCACGTGAGATCGCCATATTCGCCTAATTCTATCAAACTGAATCTACATAGCCATTCGCTCCAGTCGATAGTGTACACAGACTTTGCGACTTGGGTGATAGAAGAATACTGAGAAGGGTCTTGGAGATTAATGGAGCATGCTTTCATTTTGGTGGTAATATGGAGTGTAATTTCCCCAGTGAGATCGATACAGTATCAAGATCATTCTAATCTAATCACCAAAATATCATCAGGGAGGCCTCGTGGCACATGCCGGCGTTTAAGGTGGCGGATATAGAGAAACGAAACAAGGGTATTATACATCAAGGCAAATTCTCTTTCACTTCATTGGCATCCGAGAATGGCCCAGAATCATGTTTGACCAGCTCTGGCCGCAAGGTCGGACTGTTGACGTTCATGTGCTCAGGATTCCGGGCCCGGTTGATAGCATCCTCAATCACAGCACTCAGCGTGGCGCTACCAGTGTGACGGTGTGTTGGCCCACTCGAAGAGCCTTCTTTAGAGCCGTCCAGAGAAAGAATAGCGCTCACGGATGACGACCTTGCTGAGTGATTTGCGGCAAAGGGCTGCCTCGGTATTGCGAGAGGTGAGATCGGTGAGTCATCTAGGACGGTAATGGGAGTTGTGGTGGCTGGAGAAGCCACAACTTCCTTTTCGTCCACGAAAAACGGAATGCTCTCCTTGGAGCTTGCTGCAGTACTGCTCTTTCGAGCAGCTTCTTTAGCAAGATTTGCGAAAGTAGGGACTCTAGCCGCCGGGTTGGCTTTCTTGACCTCAATAGGCCGTGCAGTTACATTTCTCGCGACAATGGAGCTGTTACTGCTTCCCATTTTGGGCATCTGTGGAATTTGTGGAGTTCTCGTGCTTGGTGTTGAGGATGTTCCTGGCGTGTTTGAGCCGGATTTGACACTCACAACATTGGCTTGTGCTCGGAAGGCCTGCTGAGCTGGTATTGGTGGGACAATAGCATCACTTCGGTAAATGGTTGTCGCCACGCTATTGCGAGCCAGACTAGGCGCAAGACTGATTCTCGGGTCAATAGAGGAAGTATCTGACCAGGTAGAATCTCTCAGGTCCTTCGGCATGAAGAAATGCTGCTCCAGCTGGGGTGATGAGGTGGAAGAGTGGGAAGCAATCCCACCAGGAATCGAGGGTACAGGCGGAATCATCAATCCTGGTGAGTCTGGGGGTGACCGGACGGTCACCCCTGGAATGTAGGCGATCTGAATGACATTTGAGGCTCGCGTAAACACCGTGGAGGCTATCGAATGGGCAGATCTGGTGGACTGACGGTCGGCGCGGTGAAGGGTGGATTGGTCTCTCTTTTCCGGAGGATCCCAAGCAATAGCTCGCCGTTTCTTACGCATTCGAAACCGGTAGACCAAATAAACGATGGCAGCCAGGAGGAGAACACCACCCACAACACCTCCGATGATACCACCAACCGGTGTGGACTTTTTGGGCGCCGATTGTCCGGGCAGAGATCCAATTTTCACGCACGTCGTGGATGCGCAGGAGTCGCATGATTGAGCAGTCAAGGAGCACGTCTCATCCACGCTGCATGCCGGGCAGCTTGGAGGATCAGGGGGGCATTGGACGCAGCGCCGAAATAACTGGTGTGCAGGAGACTCGAAAACTGGACTCGATATCAGCTTGATTCAAATATCTCAGTGGGGGCGCATACGTTTGTTGGACGCCATCGCGGCGTCGTTTTCTGCAAGAGTCAAATGTTTATCTCCCACAATAGCAGAGCCACGGGTGAATGGCACTTGGCGAATTGGTCGTATTGATCCCGCGTAAAATTTCTTCTTGTGACTCGTGAAATATCTGCTGTCGTAGCGCTTCCACCTCCACCCTAATGTCTTTCACAGATATCAGGTTGACACAACGTCGGAGAATGCAATACTGAAATGATTATGAATAATGCCGAACGGCTGTGGATCAACCACGAGTTCTTGGACTGACGAAAAGGAGGATTGCGTGGTCGAAAGGAAGCGACTGGACAGTGATGGGCTGGCTGCCTGGCCGAAAACAGACAAAAGAATGTGGGACGAGACAAGGTCTCTACAACATGCCAAAATTCAACTTGAAAAAGACTGAATCGAAGTAGGTATGAAAGACTGGAGGAGCTCGGTGCGAGGGACGAAGAGGGAGTCAAAGAGCAATCAATCGCGGATGAGTTGGGCCAGCAGATCTCTTGTTCTCGACCCTCCAGCCAGGTCCAGCACAGAGCTATGTGGTGGAGAGGATGGAGACAGCCAAAAGAAACGAGCGGAAAAGCACAAGCAAATGGGCTCACTATGGTGACTAGGCATTGACTGAGGCTCGAGGGGGGGGAGGAGGCAGAAGGCGACGGTGACTGATGGGCGAGTGCGAGATGAAGGGGCATTGTCCACGAAGCCTCGGGGCGGTGGACCCCAACTGCGGATGGCTACGGTTGGCTCGCAGGCTCCCTAGGCCTCGCTCAAAGAAAGCTTGGTTCGCCTACTGCCTGCAAGGGGCAAAGCGCCGCCCGCAAAATTTCTCCTTCAAACAAGCTGCCGCAAGGGTCTGCGGTCTGAGCAGCTCGGCAGGTCTGAGAAGCTATTGAAAATCTCCTGACCAGACATGGTCTTTCTTCCAATCAGACGTCTGACGAGGCCCCAAGAGCAACATCTGCCCAACAATGAGCAGAAATCCTTCGCAAACCGGTGACCGACCCGACTACGATGCATCCTCGGTGCTCCATTCATGCTATCTACTTATGGCGATGCGAATCGACAGGCAAGGAGGTTGTTTTTGTGCCCGCCCAAATGAAGCCCTCGCTAAAGTTGCACATCGTCCAGGGCAGTGCACACTGCAAACAGACATTTGACCCATTGTGGAAAGTGATCAGCTATTGAAATGTTGCAGCAGATCCAAGTCACACATATATGGTTTCATCGAGCGCAGTGCGCAGCGGGTGCGCAGCGGTCAACGACACAAAGGACAACCTCTAGAGAACAGTTCTAAGCTTTTCTTCTCTCCTTCGGTTCCCAATAGCACCTGAACATGAATCTCGTATAAAGAGAGGGAAGGAAAAAAGATAATCATCCTATGTACTAGGTGCTCTGTGCACTTTTTAGGCGTGCCTACGATCCACATCCACCCGAGAATAGGGGCAGCAACGAGTTCCGGCCAGCTCACTATGACAACGCAGCCACGCTGGTGATGATAGTTGAATCTCTGCACATTCACGGTCATCATGGTCGCATTGAAATGGTTTGTTCGTCTCTCACTTGAGCACCGCAGATGTCTCCGGCACAGAGTAATAATACCCTAACGCTATGTACTCCAAATCCGGATGGGTGAAGTGCCACCTGTGGCGCAAGACCTGACAGATCACAGGGCTAAATATGGCAACATACTGTTTAAGTCAAGGTCTTACTCTGTGGCGCCCAAATGCATATTCCACGCGAGCGATGTCAGAGACGGTTGGACCTTTTACGAATCAGCTGAACACAAAGTAGCACGTCCTGGACATGCAGTGATCATCCTCATGACTCGGTAAGTCGACTCGACTAGAAGTTTACAGCTGGAAAGTCGCGAACTCGATGCAGGCAGCGAACAACTCTGTCTGGTCCCCTTGGGAAGCCATTTGAACAGAAACTGCGGGGGAATGGAATTTGGTCCAAACCTAGGTAGGTAGAGGGCGCGCGAGGACGCCACCATCGTTGACGCGGGCAAACGCTTGATGGGATCCACTTGTTCGTCACCGGTGTTTCATCGTTGAGATCCAAGATTCGATCTGCTCAGGGATGGGGGCGAGGGGGATGGAGAATGGACGTATACCACCTTCTTGTATGTGTTGCTGTTTGATCCCGTTGGACAGTGACCGCGCTGTATCGCTATGTACAGAGAGACACATTCTATCCAAGGGCATACCCAGGTAAGCAGCAGGAAACTCGTTGCGGTGCGGCTGAAAGTCTTCGTCACTGGGCAAGTGTCAGGGATTCGTTAGCCCAGAAAACCCAAGCAATGTGCTTAGTGCGTGCGCAGCAGCCAGTTAGGCGAGCACTCTGCGCCTGAGACTGGCCTTCTGGGCTCGGTGACAACCCACCAATGTCGCCAACAGTAGGTAGCACCAGCACCCCCAGTCCTTAGTGCCATGCCTGTCGTCAGCGCCTTGTTCCCATTTCCCTGCGTCCGCAGCCCGATTCGCCTCTTTCAGCTCAGGGGACCTTTTAGACCGTTTAACCCTGGCCAAAAAAAAAGGGCTGAGCTGCTTTTCAGCAGGCTGTGCGGGCGGGTGCAACTGATCAGAAAACCAAGAAAACTGAAACACACCTCTTTGTCCCTCCATCTTGCTGGTTATTTCTCCATGAACATTTTGTAAACGTCCTAATCCGATCACAGTCGACACCTCTTGGTCCTGACCCTTTGTTCTCTCCTTTGAGATCTCCAACTTACATTCATTTTCCCTTTTGTCTCCGCATTTAGTCCTCCATATCACCTAGTAATTCACCTTTCGTCCTCCCTCTGACAGCCCGCATCAGCCATCAGCGCACTATCCATCAGCAATTATCTTCCCTCTGATCAGCCCTGGCGGCTGTCAGTCGTACACACGTCCATCGTCTCTCTTAACCGGTGACTTATCTCCCATCACTCGTTGCTCACTGGGTCACCAAAATATCGCTGGTGGTGTCGGGTCTCAGCGCTCGAACCGCCTTTCCTAACACAACACCACCTTTCCAATCGAGCCACGCTTTAGCTTCAGCGCCATGGCAAACCAATATCCTGGCGGTTATGACAACGGCCACCCACTCAATGACATACCGCCCACAAATGTACGTGTTTCCAGACCTCAGCGCTACGAGACAAGTCGGACTAACCTTGTATAGGCTTACAGGCGAACGGAACAGCATTCAGACGACGAAGCAGAGCATTCCTTACTGCACCAGAACGCCGCCTATCAACCCCAGTTTGACGACCCCCATTCTCGCCCATTGACCCCAGGACAAGAGTCGATCTATACTCTGAACGAGACGTACGAAGGCGGAGACAAATCAAAAGTCCCGGTTACAGGGTACAACCCTCAACACACTCAGGCCTATGGGCGTGATGGGGGCTACGGTTTGAGCAACACGCAGGCCGGGTTCCCGACTCCTGGGTATCCTGACCCAACCGAGAGAAGTGCCTCGACCGAAGCATGGCAACAAAGACAGGCTCCCGGTTTCGGCTCAGTCAAACGCTACGCCACCAGAAAAGTCAAGGTGGTCAACAGTGTCCTGAGTATTGACTATCCAGTGCCCAGTGCCATCCAAAATGCCATTCAGGCCAAATACCGGACCGACCTGGAAGGGGGCAGCGAGGAGTTCACCCACATGCGCTACACGGCCGCGACCTGTGACCCCGATGATTTCACCCTGAAAAATGGCTACAACCTGCGCCCCGCCATGTACAACCGTCACACTGAGCTTCTCATCGCCATTACGGCCTACAACGAGGACAAGGTCTTGACTGCCCGCACATTACACGGCGTGATGCAGAATATCCGTGACATTGTCAACTTGAAGAAATCCGAGTTCTGGAACAAGGGCGGACCTGCCTGGCAGAAGATTGTCGTGTGTCTTGTTTTCGACGGAATCGATCCTTGTGACAAGAATACGTTGGACGTTCTTGCCACTGTCGGTGTGTACCAAGACGGGGTCATGAAGAAGGACGTTGATGGCAAGGAGACCGTGGTTCATATCTTCGAATACACTACCCAGCTCTCGGTGACGGCGAATCAGCAGCTAATTCGACCCAACGACAATGACCCCACCTCACTCCCTCCAGTGCAGATGATGTTCTGCCTGAAGCAAAAGAACAGCAAGAAGATTAACTCCCACCGATGGCTGTTCAACGCATTTGGTCGCATCCTGAACCCCGAGATTTGCATTCTCCTCGATGCCGGCACAAAGCCCGGTTCAAAGGCTATCATGGCTCTGTGGGAAGCTTTCTACAATGACAAGGACCTCGGAGGCGCTTGCGGTGAGATTCATGCCATGTTGGGTCGCGGAGGAGTCTTCGGCCGGAAGCTCCTGAATCCCCTGGTCGCCGCGCAAAACTTCGAGTACAAGATCAGTAACATCCTGGATAAGCCGTTGGAGAGCTCCTTCGGCTATGTCAGTGTGTTGCCCGGTGCTTTCTCAGCGTACCGCTTCCGCGCGATCATGGGTCGTCCTCTGGAGCAGTATTTCCATGGTGATCACACCCTTTCGAAACGACTTGGTAAGAAGGGTATCGAAGGAATGAACATTTTCAAGAAGAACATGTTCTTGGCCGAGGATCGTATCTTGTGTTTTGAGTTGGTCGCGAAAGCAGGCTCAAAATGGCACCTTACCTACGTCAAGGCCTCGAAAGCCGAAACCGATGTGCCCGAAGGTGCCGCGGAATTTATTGGTCAACGTCGACGTTGGCTCAACGGGTCCTTTGCCGCCTCCATCTATTCCCTCATGCACTTCTCCCGCATGTACAAATCCGGCCACAACATCATCCGAATGATCTTCTTTCACATCCAAATGTTATACAACATCGCCTCGGTTGTCCTTTCCTGGTTTTCACTCGCGGCATTCTGGCTGACCACCAAAATTCTCATGGATCTAGTCGGTCAGCCCAGCAGCAACAACAACAACCATGCTTTCCCGTTCGGCAACAGTGCGACCCCGATCATCAACACGGTCCTACAGTACACTTACCTGGCTTTCCTTCTTCTGCAATTCATCCTCGCCTTGGGAAATCGTCCCAAGGGTTCCAAAGTCGCTTATGTTATCTCATTCTGCGTCTTCGCCGTCATTCAGCTCTATGTGATTGTCTTATCCATGTACTTGGTGGTCCGGGCATTCACATCGAAGGACGGCACTGACATCGTCACCAATGAGGGCGCCAATGAGTTCATCAAATCTTTCTTCGCCTCAACCGGACCGGGTATTGTCATCATCGCACTGGCTGCTACCTTCGGATTGTACTTTGTGGCCTCCTTCATGTACATGGATCCTTGGCACATGTTCACCTCCTTCTTCCAGTATCTGCTCCTCATGCCATCCTTCATCAACATCCTCATGATCTATGCTTTTAGCAATTGGCATGATGTCTCATGGGGAACCAAAGGTGCGGACAAAGCGGACGTGTTGCCTTCGGCTCAAACCAAAAAGGACGAGAAAGGCAAGGCAACCGTGGTGGAAGAGGTAGAAAGACCCCAAGCCGATATAGACTCTCAATTCGAGGCCACGGTCCGACGCGCTTTGGCACCGTATGTGCCACCGGTGGAGAAGGAAGAAAAAACCTTGGAAGACTCATACAAGAACTTCCGAACTCGACTCGTGGCAACGTGGATTTTTTCGAATGCCTTGCTTTCGGTTATCATTACTAGTGATAGTGTCGACAACTTCGGGTTTACTGTAAGTATCATTCCGCATCTCAATACTGGGCCCGGCTAACCTCCTTGAAAAGTCTAGGGCGACGAGTCGAAGCACTCACTTTTTCCAAGCGCTCTTGTGGGCAACGGCAGCTCTTTCCGTTATTCGCTTCACCGGATGTTGTTGGTTCCTCGGCAAGACCGGTCTGCTCTGCTGTTTCAATAGGAGATGATCGTATCCCAGATGGTAACGGTTGGATCAAAGGTTGGCGTCATGGGGAGTTCCAAGCATATTTGGGTACTATCACGGGGTGAGATCAATCTCCTTTACTACTGAAGTTGGCGGAGACATAAATTCCTGTCTGTTTAGCAATGAATCCGCCATAAAATGGTGTTGAAGTTAGGATTAAATACACGTAAAAAGTTTTGCCTTCTCTGTATTCGGCGGTCCTCCGACAGGAGGCGAGACCGCGGATGCCACCTGTGTCATGTGAGTCACCCAAATCGATGTTGCGAACGAGTATCACTCAACGATGTTTAAATCGGGTCTTCATCTCTCACTTTCTGTGAATCTTCAATAAATTGCCATCTATACCATCTACACCACTTGTAAATTCTCTTGGTGGACTCCCCTCGCTCCTAGTGCTCGTATTTTCCCGCTGCCTGAGAGCAAACCCGTTGCCGATCGACCGTCAGGCTGCGCCCTACCCTCATTGCTCCTTCTGTCACCTCTGAAACCCATTTACCGTACTCGCCCGACTCTTTCGACAAATTCTCGTCTCTCGCGCTCTTCACCACCTCCTTGGAAATTCTCTAGAAACAAATATTCCCAAAACAGGTCGGTCGCCCTGTGGTGACGACGACTCGCCGGCAAGATGATGAAAATATGGTCGATGGTATGAGTGGTTCCAGATGCTTGTTGCGGGTTGACTGATGAAGAGATGCAGAAGCAACAGCAGCAAAAGGATGAACAGGCACAAGGGGTGTCACAGAAAAAGAAGAAGGTCACTGCTGCGCAACTTCGCGTGCAAAAAGGTGAACAACGACGTGAACCACCATTCTGGACGGACATTGGCGTCTCTAATCCTCTTTCTCTCAGATCTAAGTGAGTTGTCACTCGGGTCGACCATGAAGACGACGTTCCCAAACCCCGATGACATCCTAAACTTCACCCTCACAATCGAACCCGATGAAGGGATGTACAAAGGCGGCAGCTTTGTGTTCACCTTCTCCATCAACCAGAACTTCCCACATGATCCACCGAAAGTCAAATGTACGCAGAAGATCTACCATCCAAACATTGATCTCGAGGGAAACGTCTGCTTGAATATTTTAAGAGAGGACTGGAAACCAGTATTGAATCTGAATGCTGTTATCGTCGGCATGCAGGTAAACCATACAATTACGAAATTCGGTATTGTCGAACATACGTGGCTAACTCGATGGACAGTTCCTTTTCCTAGAGCCGAATGCTTCTGATCCCCTCAATAAGGAGGCAGCTGAAGATCTCAGAAACAACCGAGAAGGGTTCCGGCGCAATGCGCGGACAGCAATGGGGGGCGGATCAGTGAAAGGGCAGACCTACGACCGAGTGTTGCGATGATGTCGATGGGATCTGTTGGGCAGGCATGATGATTGAAATGATTGAATGACAAGTCAAGGACAACGGATATACATTGCGAGCCTTTTTACAAGCGTTGCGGTCAACGTGTTGGTAAGGCTAGAGGCGTTATTGAGAGTCATATCGCTGATCTGCTGCGCACAGAGTGCTTCTCATGAAGCCGGATGTGATTTCAAGTTTGCCAGTGGACAGCGCCAGGCAAAGACATCTCGAAGGAGCACTGCACGGTTGGAGCCGCGCAAGCCTCCAGGTACCTGTCCACTAGTTTGCGCTGAGCCTTTGTGGGCGGAAATGATTGTCGGAGTCTCTTCTCGCCCCTCGGAAGTCCGCATGAGGTTGCGCTCACCTTGGATAGAGATGATGACCCCAATTCACTCATCCAGTTCCCTCAGTCAACATACACCCCGATTGATCTGATCACTGCTGAGGAACCACCTTTGCATCATCGCTAATTCGCAGTCCCGCCATACCTGCAGCTCTCCGTGCGAATGTGACGCCTGCATGTTCCGCTGTGTGATTGAAAAGTTCAATGCGTCAGTCCCACCTGTTCGGTCTGATCTCCTACGCCAGGGGATGAAATTCTGGGATTTCTTAACAATATTCGTCCATCTCCTTGGACCAAACAGGTTTTGAATAAATTGCCTCGTAGTGACAACGCCTCCCAGACCTGAATTGACATTCTTTGTCGCCAAGTCATCCTCTGATATCGCCAACGAGAATCCACACCCAGGTAATACACCTAGCTAGTATGTATGACATCTACATTGTCTGTCTATCAAGTAAGATGGAAGTGCTATGATTATTAAAGTGTCAGAATTGTCTATGTTGAGGTCATGAAGATCATTATAGCTGGCGCTACTGGGTTCGTGGGCAAAGAAGTCGTTGTCCAGTCTATTGAGAACTCAAGAATTTCATCAATCATTGTCCTTACCAGGCGCCACATTGACAAAATTCTGAGCCAACATCCCAAGGTACAAGTCATTTTGCACGCGGACTTTCATTCCTATCCAGCAGACCTTATCGAATAACTGCAGGGAGCACAAGGCTGTGTTTGGTACGGGGTTTACACATGAGTCCTATGAATGCGAGGTGAGACTCATCTCATACCCCAGGTGTTTAGGAGGCAAGGTCGAGGATTTCCCCGATCTCGAGACTGCGAGGAAGGTCGGTGTTAATTTCACTTTGACCGCCGCACACGCCTTCGTGAAAGGGATATGTCCAAGTCTACAACCGGGACAGAGATTCCGCTTCGTCTTCTGCAGTGGCAATGGGGCAGAATGGGGTCAGGACAAGAGACTCTGGGTATTCTCCGACACCCGAAAATTGAAGGTACGTCGCTCCGTTCCTGGATCTTTGAGCTTGACAGTTCATTAACACCAAAACAAAGGAAGCCGCTGAACGGGGCTTGCTGGATATCGCCGAGGACAACCGTGACGTTATTTGAGGCGATCGTGCTTCGCCCAGGCGGCGTCATGCCCGATGGGAGTGTTTTACTCGGAAAGATCGCATCGCTCATGGCCCCGGTCGTCCCTGTGACTCAGTTGGCGAAGGCGTTGGTCAGATCTGGCATCGATCCACCATCGGTGAGGGTCATTGAGAATCGGGAAATCCTGCAGCTCGGTTCTTGATGGTAGTAAATGGGCGATTTCAAGTTCACAGGGGCAACTCCTCAGCAAAGGCTGCTGAGAGTGACGTGAAGTGGTCAGGACAATATTGGAAGAGGGATCTTGTTTCTGCACCAAGGAGTGGAATATGTTTTGGCGTCTCATCTCAATTGCCCATCTGGAGGCATTCGACCCCAAGCGTCAGGAGAAAAGCCGGTGTGAATGTATATTCACTCTACTGCAATCAGCTCCATCTCCAAAGTCACACCTGCCGGCAATCGCTTCGCCTCGATAGCACTCCTCGCGGGCCGCTGAGGGAAGTATCCCCCATAGACCTCATTGAACTCGGCGAAATCATCGAGGTTCGCAAAGAAAACCTGGTAGAGAAAAGAAAAACAGAATTATCTTGCGATTAGCTTTTTTCCATAAAGTTTCCACTGACTTGCAAAGAGTCTCAATTATGAGAAAGGAGCATCGAAACCGGGCAAGCTTGAACGTACGGTGACCTTTACAACTTTCTCCAGGCTGGATCCCGCGGCTTCAAGGACGGTCGCGGCGTTGCGGCACACGGCGTGAGCCTTGTCGCCGACCGTGCCTTCGGTCAGCTTGATCTTCCCGTCCTCCAATGTGGCGGGCATTTGGCCCGAGACGAAGACGAAGCCGTTGGCTTTGATGGCTTGGGACTGCATGAGGTGGAAAGGTGTGTCAGTCAGCTTAGTGCGCCGCAGTCCTCTCCTCCCTTCCGTCGCCAACCCCTGGCCTTGGAAACTGGTATGTGCGATGTAGCAGCCCGGTGTTCACACTCACATATGGCCCAATGGCTAAAGCGGCGGACGGTAGACGTTAGCTAGCTGTCATTCTTATCCTTGACGGAAGATTCTGGAGGCCTTATCAAGTCGTTATGCACGTACGTGGTATGCCCTTGTCAGTGAAGACACTCTCTATCGTCGCCATTATGCCGGTTACTTCAGCGTAGATACTCTAGAAGTGGTGAATCTCCATCATCCTGAGGGGGTGCTTCATCTTATGTGTATCACAGGAAGCAGGTTTGTGGGGCCATGGGTGCTGAAGGGCGTACGCTACAAGTAGTCCGAGTAAGCGCCAGGGTGATTGTGGATCAAGCTTATGTATGCCGCAACAGCTCACTTTGTTTAATTGCTCGCTCGCTCGCTCGCTCGTTGCCTATATCCTGCGCCTGGCACCTGGCGCTCAAGCTCTCTCCACTAGAACAAACTCCTCACGCAGAAAGGGTTGGTATCCAAATATGGCTTATCGACTAGGAAAAGGGCTTCGAAGTTCTGTGCCTTTTACGAAAACACATGGGTCGGGCCGGGACAAGTCTCAACCCTCTTTTAGCGTGGGTGCTAAGGGGCGAGGGAGTACTCCAGTGGTTAGCCAGGAGGTTGAAGGCACACCAAAGAAGAGTTTTCTGAACATACCGAATACACAGTGGTGCCTTTTCATTTCCGTACTGGCGATCTTTACCACTCACGCTTTGACACATGATAGGAACGGTAGTGAAGGAAAATTGTGCCATACACTGGTCCTCTCTGCAACTCTGCTGACAGCAGCTTAACACGCCTTTTGCTCTCGCGTCTCCATGACAGTTGTTCTATCTTACCGCTCAATCAACATGAAGCCTTTTTCCTTTATCAAGAGCTCGAAATAGGGCCAACGGCAACCGACTTGGCAACGTTGGAGATGAGATATCAGGCTTCAGAATATCCATTTGTTGGGCACTGTCGCAATCCAAACCAGGCTTAATGGTACATATGTTAAGCGTTCCAGATCATCGGCTGATTGTCCGACTCTCAAATGTTCAGCCACGTCAAAAGGACACCTTATACGAACATCACGAGGAGATCGATATTGCGTCCGGAAAGTAGCCAAAAACAATTCCACAGATGACATCTCCATATGGCGTGTGAAGAAGTACTAGGATCGATCTAAAACATCACACCAGATGACGACCAAAAGTTTTTGACACTGGCTATCTCTACCCGGCACACATTATGGCGCTGCAATTTGTGAAGCAATTTCCTGCTGCCACTGTAAGCTGTTTCTGGGCCGGTGGTGAACTTGAAGATGCGAAATCTGGATGGTACCTCCACCGTTGTGTTCGAGGTAACTTGAGCTGAGCCCGTCAAAATCCAGTCCTCCCTTACAGCCTTACCTATAAGAACCTCTTCCTTTCAGCAAAAGACATTGCTGCATCATTATGTGACAGCTCACCTCAGGAGGTGTCCAACTGCATGACGACCGAAGAAGGGGTGGTCAGCCTCGTGTTCGTTGTCGAGCGCCCAATGGACGTGCGTCTCAGCCAGCCACTGGTCTGTCGGCGCAATTGCATTTGCATGCCTGTCAATCAACGAGCCCGTTCTGATCATAGAGTCCGCCATCTCCACGGCCTGATTGCCTATGGTAAGAGAGGACTGTGGAATGTTTTCTGCCTTAAAGTCCTCCTTCGAACGTTTACATCATGGCTCCTTCTTTTGGGCCTCGTCGTTTAGGGAACTTCCAGTTTATGTTGCTCCGACAAACTGGGATCAGTTTCTATTCGCCTCACTGTCGAGCGTACGGAAGCTTAGCAAGGAACATCAGACGCAATGGCACATCCTTTGAATATCAACAAGAAGCAAGATAATACTGCCACAGATGGAATTAGAAACGATGCTGCCAGCGTTCCGTCTAATGCCTTCCAGCGTGGTGTGAACAATTGTACGACAACGTCGACTGTTTGCATAGAACAACTACCGTAGCCAGGACTGCTCTGCTCGCAGGCTTCAACGACTTTCAATCATTCGAAGCATCAGAAAAGCTGCTGGGAGCCATAGAGAGGTTGTTTCCTTGGCAATTGTTTCTAGAACGCCCAAATTACAACTCTTGGAAACAAGAGCACCAAGAGCTTATGCAGAAATGGTCCAAAATGACTTCCTGATGGCGGAGAACAAGGCGTGCAGACTCTCGAAGTAGTACATCGCCGGTGTGACTTGTCGTCTGTCTAGCCACGAAGGGAGTCTCGAAGGGGACGGTTTGACAGGGAGATGGAAATACTGTGCGATGGCGAACAAGTAATCAGAGCTTCGCCTAGAATCTCGAATCCCTCGGGGCACAAAGGTGCAGGGTAGTGGCTAGTATTCCTTTATCGGCTTCGATGGAGGACTGTTTAGGACTTATAGTGGGTTGAATTTGTTGGGAGTCCGTCCGTTCATTAATCGCCCTTGGTCATCCTGCTGGCGTCATGCCATTGCGGAAGCGGGAGTCTTTTGTCTAATATTTAATTAATATCTATTAGAAGAGCGATTGCTCTAGCTATCTACTCAGTACCGATGCGAGGAAGCGAAGGCATGGCCTCGGGTTGACCGTTCCCTATGGCAGATCATACAACGTCATGTGGTAAGGCGGCTACTCCGCTCCCTCAAACAGTCTCCACACTTTTCCTCAGATGTTGTAACAGCTCCGAAGTGAAAGAGCGCTGCTCACGAATGAATATGCCCCAGTCGGGGTGTTGTATAAGAACGGTTATCATGCAGGCGGCAAATTGAGTGAGCAGCGTCCTTAGGTCGTCGCCATCGCTTGTATTTTCGTAGATGTACTGAATCAGGAGGAAAATCTCTGGAACTCGCTCCGGAAACAAGTTCAGAGAGGCCAAGGTGCGCTGCATTTTGTACAGGACCAGAGATCTGAGCGGCTCAACAATGTACCTGTCGCAAAAGACATACAATTTTGCTTGCGCCAGGAGGGTCTCTGTAAAGCTTTCCGAGGGCGTGTAATTTTTGTACGCGTAGAAAACAGGGCCACCCCATTCGGGGGAGACGTTGCAAAACTTGGCCCAATCGATCCCTAGCTTTGAGTTTCGATCTGGAAGATTTGGGACAGCCGCAGTCTCGGCCAGAATGTTTGTCGTACGATTGGTAGAGTTTCGAAGACTTTTACGCCTCCTTAACCACGAACCTGGCCGACAAATCTGATCTTTCCAACCTGGATTGTAGCGCTTGTTGTTGAACGGTGGGCAGAGGTCTTCTGCCAACCTGTTCAGCCTCACTCCTTTACTGCTCTCGAAGAATTTTTCGGCACACCCATCAGCGTGGGTGGTTGCTGAATGGCTTGAAGTAATTTCGTCGGTGGTTGGATTTTTCAACTGTGGCGATGACGAGAATTTCGGGTCGACGACAATCTTAGGTGGAGGAACGGAAAAGTCCCCTTTGTAGGCATATTCGCAGAAGCGCAAAAACGTATCTTCGTCGATGTCGTCCAAGATGGCCCGTCTTTCGATGCTCTCGACCATGTTCCCATTGATCAAGGCGGCGAAGACCGGCGAGAGTTGAACGGCCAAATTCGAATGGACATTGTATGCCGTCCGCTCGAGACCCACGAGGAATTGAAAGGTTGGTGAGCGTAGGGACCTATATAATTTTTCCGATAAAAGTCAGTTATGTGACACAGAGAGCACGACGTAATGCTTACTCGCCGAACGAAGGACATTGCATGATCTGTCCAAAATAGCAAAATGTAGACACATCGCAAGATGTGATTGTGATACCATGTCCTCGTTGATTTATTTTTCTATTTTACAAGAGGCAGCTAAGCAATTCTCGCGCGCCCCCATGGTAAGGCTTTTCTCCTACACGCTCAAACAGCTAAAATGGCTTCATGGTCTCCTGACCATTTGTCGAGGGTGTGGTACAACAAACAAATGTAGCAAATAGAGCTGTTGTTGGGCACGCGTGGTATGGAGACCTTTCTCTAGATGGAAGTGTCAATAAAGTTATGAACTGCCGGATGCACTTTACTCCGTAGCGATTCCGGGTACCGGTACATCGTTCATAAACCAGGAAAAATGGGGAGATCAAATTGTGCAGAGCTTGATGACAAGGCTGGTCCAATTAGGGGGTGGATGAGGATACGATAGGTGGAGCGGGATGGAGATACTAACAACCCTAAGCGAGTCATGTTGCAGAGATGTGACCAATTATTATGGCAGTTGTTGACTCGCGGCAAACTCTAATTTCTCCGAAGTCAACCTGGTTTCCACCTTTAAGCGCTTTCTCTCCCCAACACGACTGCTACAAGCCAACATCGCCATGGCCTCATCTCTGAGATTGGCATTTCCCCTTTGTGCACCTGGATCTTCCGGAGCCGGTGCACATCTCAAACGTCTTACGAATGCCCAGCAGTCTGCGTCCGAGTGTCCTCCCCCCCCCTGATTCCAAGACCCAAATGGTCCGCCCTGATCCATCGACGGATGCGATCAGCCCATGGAAAGCGCTTAGCAAGATCCCCATCAAGGGCTCTGGATACGCAATCGGGCTCAGGTTGGTTTGATTCGAGTCATGAATGGTCAATATAAGACCGTCTTCACCTTCAGATGAAGATGTAGAGCGCTGGGCCTTTTCTATCAAATGTCAACTTCACTTTTGCTTCTTTTCCTTTTCATTCATTAGATCTGCTCCTCGAACCTGCAATCCGGTCGTCCCCTCCTACCAGTCAACCCGCCACCGTTACGCCTTCTCAGTCCTATTTCAATTGTCAACTTCAAATCACTAGTCGTCTTATTATTTTTCATCTTCCTAGACCTCTGGGACAAGCCCAACTACACCTTCATTCCTCTCTCACCAGGATCGACAACTCCAATATGTCTCTTGTGGGAAATTTTGTTTCCAATTACGACAACAGTGCTGGAAGGCAGGGTCCTGGGCTTCCAGGACATTGTCGGAGGGAATCGCAGGTTGACCACTCTCACATCACGTTGCGTAGAAGGTCCCAAGATGCCCGTCGGTCCTCAGATATTGAAGATGCGTCATCCCCAAGGCATCGCACCGGCGAAAAGCGTCGCTCTAGCTCTATCAGCGAAGACCAAAAACTCCCTGCTGAAAGTTGGGATCAATCCAGAAGTTCAGAGAACGATGAGGGTGACGAGCGTGTCAGATACCTGGCCCGGCAGTTCTCACGGACGTCCACAAGGACCGAGGATGCTAATCCTTTTGCTGCCACACCCGGTTCTTCCTTGGATCCCACTTCTGACAACTTCCAAACCCGGGACTGGATCAAGGCGTTGTTCAATCTACAATCAAAAGACGATCGGTTTCTTGCCAGAACTGCTGGCGTAGCATTCCGCAACCTCAGCGCACATGGGTTCGGGTCTGCCACTGACTACCAAAAAACAGTCGGCAACGTCCCTTTTCAAGCCGTCGGTTTGGTTCGCAAGTTGATGGGCGTGGGGCAACACAGAATCGACATTCTTCGCGGGTTCGACGGACTCGTAAACCATGGAGAAATGCTCGTCGTTCTGGGACCTCCTGGTTCGGGTTGCTCGACTTTCCTCAAGACACTCGCCGGTGAGACCCACGGTTTCAATGTCGATAAGGATTCATATATCAACTATCAAGGGATCGCTTTCGAGCAGATGCACAAGCACTTCCGCGGCGAGGCAATCTATACCGCCGAACAAGATGTCCATTTCCCTCAACTGTCTGTTGCTGATACCCTTTACTTTGCCGCTCGTGCGAGAGCACCAAGAAATCGACCTGGAAACGTCTCGGCACACACCTACGCTTGCCACATGCGAGATGTCATTATGGCTACCTTCGGTATTCGACACACCTTCAACACTCGAGTGGGTAATGACTTCATCCGCGGTGTGAGCGGTGGAGAAAGAAAGCGTGTCAGTATCGCTGAGGCTGCCCTGAACATGTCTCCTCTTCAATGCTGGGATAACAGTACCCGCGGCTTAGATAGTGCTAACGCCATCGAGTTCTGCAAAACCTTGCGTTTATCTACCGAAATTCTCAGTGCTACAGCCGCAGTTGCAATCTACCAGGCCCCCCAGGCTGCCTACGACATCTTCGACAAGGTCATTGTACTTTATGAAGGCCGACAGATCTATTTCGGGAGGACCGAAGACGCTAGAGATTACTTCGTTCGCATGGGCTTTCATTGCCCAGAACGTCAGACTACAGCAGACTTCCTGACTTCTATGACGAGCTCCGATGAACGAATTGTCCGCGAAGGTTTTGAGCACAAAGCACCACGGACTCCCGATGAATTTGCAAAGGCGTGGAAAGATAGTCCCGAACGTGCCCAGCTACTCGAGGATATCGGAGAATTTGATAAGAGACATCCTCTTGGCGGAGAGGACTTACACAAGTTCAAAGAATCCAGAAGATTGCAGCAGGCGAAGCGACAACGTGTGGCGTCACCGTATACTCTGTCTTATGGTCAACAGGTTAGACTTTGTCTATGGCGTGGGTTTCGCAGGTTGTTCGCAGATCCGAGTCTCACATTGACTTCAATTATCGGCAACAATGTCTTTGCTCTGATCATCGGTTCGATCTTTTACAATCTCGACGGCACTACCAACTCTTTCTACTCACGCGGCGCCCTACTGTTCTTTGCCATCCTTTTAAACGCATTCAGTTCTGCCTTGGAAATCCTCACTCTTTATGCGCAACGACCTATCGTCGAGAAACATCAACGGTACGCGTTATATCATCCTTCAAGTGAGGCTTTTGCGTCCATGTTGACGGATATGCCTTACAAGATCACCAACACGATCATCTTCAACGTTACGCTATATTTCTTGACCAACCTGAGGAGGGAACCTGGAGCATTCTTCTTCTTTCTCCTCATTTCGTTCACCTTGACTCTAGTCATGAGCATGCTATTTCGAACTATCGCCTCTGTCTCTCGAACCCTAAGTCAGGCTCTAGCACCGGCTGCCATTCTCATTCTGGCCATTGTCATCTATACTGGTTTCGCTATCCCGGTTAATTACATGCTCGGCTGGGCACGTTGGATCAACTACATTGACCCTGTCGCTTACGGATTCGAAGCCCTCATGATAAATGAGTTCTCTGGACGCAATTTCGACTGCGCCGTGTATGTGCCATCGGGTCCGGGATATTCCGATTCGAACCGAGTTTGCTCAACAGTCGGGTCTCGTCCAGGTCAAACATTTGTCAATGGGGATGACTTTATCAACAGCAGTTATAAGTACTATGCTTCTCACAAATGGAGGAATTTTGGCATCTTGATTGCTTTCATGATTGGCCTGTTCTTCACCTACTTGGTGTCGGCTGAATTTGTCCAAGCTAAGAAGTCCAAGGGCGAAGTTCTGGTGTTCCGTCGTGGTCAGGCACCAGCTGCGTTGAGGATGAAGCCTCAAGACGCGGAGACCGGCGGCGTAACATCGACCGTAACGACGGAGAACAATAAAGATTCTAAGGATATGTCGACCGTCATTCAGAGGCAAACTGCAATCTTCCAATGGCGCGATGTTTGCTACGACATTCCACTGAACGGTGGGCGACGTCTCTTGGACCACGTCGACGGTTGGGTCAAGCCTGGCACTTTGACTGCTTTGATGGGTGTGTCTGGAGCTGGAAAGACGACGCTTCTGGATGTCCTTGCTACTCGCGTCACTATGGGAGTCATTAGCGGCGAGATGCTGGTCGACGGTCGACAACGAGACGAATCTTTCCAGCGCAAGACCGGCTACGTCCAACAACAAGATCTTCACTTGGAGACCTCGACCGTTAGAGAAGCCCTGAGCTTTAGCGCACTCCTCCGTCAACCCGCACACATCCCACGGCGGGAAAAGCTGGCGTACGTAAACGAGGTTATCAAACTTCTCGAAATGTCCGAATACGCCGATGCCGTCGTCGGGGTTCCCGGCGAAGGTCTCAACGTGGAACAACGTAAACGTCTAACCATCGGTGTGGAGTTGGCAGCCAAACCGGAATTGTTGCTGTTCCTAGATGAACCGACTTCTGGCCTCGACTCGCAGACGTCTTGGTCTATATTAGATCTCCTCGAGAAGCTGAAGAAAAACGGACAAGCTATTCTCTGTACGATCCACCAACCATCAGCGATGCTCTTTCAACGTTTTGATCGACTCCTGTTCCTGGCCAAAGGTGGACGTACCGTCTACTTCGGTCCTGTAGGAGAATCCTCTAGCACTCTAATCAACTACTTTGAACGCAACGGCGCCCATCGGTGCCCACCCGACGCTAATCCCGCCGAGTGGATGTTGGAGGTCATCGGAGCTGCACCGGGCTCACATACAGAGGTCGATTGGGTCGACACCTGGCGTACGTCGGCGGAATACAGAGGGGTGCAATCCGAACTCTCCCAAATGAAGGCTGAACGCTGTCAGCTCGCCCGAGCGACTTCAAACCGGGCTGACAAAGCCAGCTATCGCGAGTTCGCTGCGCCCTTTTATCAGCAGCTTTATGAAGTCCTAAAACGAGTCTTTGAGCAATACTGGCGCACACCTTCTTACATCTACAGCAAATTGTCTCTCTGTATCGCTTCTGTGAGCATGCCTCTATCACCGACCGGCGTCCCTGCAGCCTGCTGACTCCTCTCTTAGGGCCTCTTTATCGGCTTCTCCTTCTTCGACGCCAAAATAACGCAACAGGGTCTCCAAAACCAGATGTTCGGCATCTTTATGCTGATGACAATCTTCGGCCAGCTTGTGCAGCAAATCATGCCGTTGTTCGTGACGCAACGCTCACTCTATGAAGTCCGCGAACGACCGAGTAAGACGTACTCATGGCAGGCGTTTATGATGAGTAATATTATCGTCGAACTTCCTTGGTCTGCATTCTGTGCCATACTGGTCTTTTTTACCTGGTATTATCCAATTGGCCTGTACAAAAACGCTGAACCGACCGATACTGTCCACGAGCGTGGTGCGTTGATGTTCCTCCTTATCTTGACCTTCTTGTTGTTCACGTCGACTTTCGCACACATGGTTATCGCGGCCATCGAGACGGCCGAGACAGGTGGAAATATTGCCAATCTATGCTTCTCACTTACCTTGGTCTTCTGTGGTGTCCTGGTAGGCCCCAAGGCGCTGCCCGGTTTCTGGATTTTCATGTATCGCGTCTCGCCGTTCACGTACTTGATTGACGGCATGCTCAGTACAGCTGTCGCACATGCCAGTGTCACTTGCGCCACCAACGAGTATCTCCATTTCACCGCACCTTCAGGCCAGACTTGTGCAGAGTACATGAGGTCTTACATGGACTCGTTTGGTGGATATCTCCAGAACCCTTCGGGCACAGGCAACTGCAGTTACTGCCAGGTATCAACCACCGACGCGTTCTTGGCCAGCGTCTCCTCACATCCGCAGTACATGTGGCGCAACTTCGGACTGATGTGGCCATACATCGCCTTTAATGTCATTGGCGCCATATTCCTGTACTGGCTTGCGCGCGTACCGAAACATATGAACAAGGGAAAGAAAGAAGTCGCCAGCCCTGAAGAGAGCAAAGACGGAAGTGTACTAGAGAGGCCTGTCGATACTGTCAGTGGGGAAAAGAGAGGGGAGGAGGAGACGGAGAAGGAGAAGGACGCAAGTGCAAGCACTGTTCCGCCGATGACCGTGAAGTAGGTCGCTCAAATCATGATGAGGTTGTTGGCCGACATCAGCAAACCCGATGACCTCCTCGACAATCCCCGGCTCTGTTTACTCAGGGGCAGTCGGCATCTCTTTTTGTCTGTTCTTAGAGTTATGGCCCTAATTTTGTCAGAGTAAGTGCCAGAAGATTGTCCGGTGGTGCCGCTATCCTAAGCTGACGTCTATATAGTTCTCAATGACTAACCTCTCCCTACACACGGCGACCACTACATTGTCAAAAAGAATGCTTGTACGACCGGGTGTCAAGCCTCTAGTGGGAGATGATGTCTCAATATCTCATCACCCAGAGCACCTAAATTTCATATGTTTTGTCGGTCTCTAGAACGTCGGCTTAGAGTTCAGGCACTGCCACATCAGCCGGACAAGATGGAGTGTATTGAGGCATTTACCTGGCGGGAGGGGGGCCATTGGATCGATTTTTTGGTTTCAGGTGTCTGTATTCGGTGGAAAAAGCCTGATATTTGGTATTTTATGGGCAGGGCTACAAAAGGACATCTCAGCGGCATCTGCTGTGGCGGCGTGGGTGGTCGCCCTGGGCGCACTTAGGGCCATGTATGAGGGGGCACAATAGGTCCTCTTGCCGAGTGCAGATGTCTGATTAGAGCATCGCTCAAACTCCGGATTAGCTGCCGGCCCCGCCCAACCCACTAGCTAAAGCGCCTATACTCGGAAATATAAGACTATAAATCCATATCCAAACCCGCCTGATTTAACTCGTACTTGTACTCCACACCGAGTTCATCGTGATAGCAGCCAGGGTCTGTGACAGGCGGATAACTCCAACTTAGCATAGATGTCGAACATAAGACACTCGGTCGACAACAAATCGTTACTTCACGATACTGGCGGGTGCAATAGTGGGCACGGGGCGTTCAACTGCCGCAGTGTTTTCGAGCATTGCTCCGGCGTTAATGCAGGCACCTGCAGCAGAGCTAACGATTCCGCGAGAGTCTACTGGCCTATCAGTCACAGATATGCATCGTGGGTGCCGATTCGAGATCGAAGATTGCGCTCAGGAATGGACTTTTGACCAGGCCTTGTTTCGACTCTACCCTTGTTCACGCTCTGTACGGTTCGATCGCGGACTGGCCGGGCTGGTGTCAAGAAGTTTTATACACACCGGAAACCTGAAGGTTGGTTCGAGCAGGGTGAGTATATGACCTTAGATATTCGTTCCTCACTGTGTGAAAGTATTGCGCCGCGCCTGGCTGACTATCTATCATCCATTTCAAGGGTCTGTTCGCTACGCTTCACCACCATGCATGCGTTGTCTGCGCCACTGCACGAATGCAATGGGTTTGCAGGAAAGCCACTCCACTCACACTGTATTCGTTGTTGATAAAAGACACTCTTTCCCCCGCTCAGCCGTGTGAGGATCTCCCATGCCGGCTCTTCCCCGTAGCCTTGAGCCCCTTGAGCCCCCAAGCTTCTCGGATCGAAACCCAGATACCGCCATGTCGGACGTTTCTCTCTTTTCCGGGCTGTCGCTCATTCCGTTGCGAGCTCTGGGCATAGCATTTGGCGTTTGGGTTGTCTATCTTGTCTGTCTGGTTGTCTATCGCCTGTATCTGAGTCCTCTGGCCAAATTCCCTGGACCGCCGCTCGCTGCTCTGACACTGTGGTATGAATTCTACTACGATGTCATCAAGGAAGGGAGATATACATGGAAGATACGCGAACTGCATCGCGAATATGGTCAGTATTAAGCGCAGCCTCGGAGATCTATCACATTGGCTAAAACACATATTCCAGGGCCGATAGTGCGGATCAATCCGTATGAACTCCATATGGACGACCCAGAATATTATGATGAAGTCTATACCGGCCCAACGAAGCCGCGCGACAAATGGGCATGGTCCGCAACCATGTTTGGGAATTCGTCGTCGCACTTTGGAAGCGTGCCGCACAGTTTGCACCGAATGCGACGGGCGCCCTTGAATCCTTTCTTCTCGAAGAAGGCAGTGGTCCAGCTCGAGCCCATGATCAGATCGGTCGTAGAAAAGCTTTGTGCGCGACTGGCGGGCTTTCAGCAGACCAAGAAGCCGGTCAATCTGCGCTACGCCTTTGCGGCGTTGACAATGGACGTCATCACCGACTATGCCTTTGCACATTGCTACAATTGCCTTGACGAACCCGACTTTGCGCCCGTGTGGCCCGAGGCTGTCGATTCAGTCTCGGAGCAGAGCCATGTCAACAAGCAATTCCCCTGGCTGCTGCCTGTCATGAAGTTAGTACCGCTGTGGCTCGTGGAACGGATCAATCCACACATCATGCGGCTGATCAACTTTCAGATTGTTCGCATCAAATCCGCTTCCTCTGATGGCGCAGCTGGCTAATGAGACCATTGTAGGGCTTAACTCAGCAGGGTGCGGAAATCATGAAGGACAAAGACACGAGTAACAAAAATGAAAGTCACCCCACGATATTCCACGAGCTCATCCACACAAGCGAGCTGCCTCCGGAAGAGAAGACACTTCAGCACCTCGTGGACGAAGGGCAATCCGTTGTTGCAGCAGGTCAAGTCACAACCACCCACTACCTGAATACCACGGCATATCATGTTCTGGCGAACCTGGATGTCCTTGATAAGCTGAAGGCCGAGCTCGGGGAGGCCATGCCTGATGGAAAATTGTCTTTGTTACAGCGGCTCGAGAGGCTTCCTTATCTCACTGCAGTGGTGTACGAGGGCTTTAGGATGTCCTACGGGGTGACACACCGTTTGCAACGAGTCTCTCCTACTGAAGCTCTCATTTACCACGACTATGTCATCCCCGCCGGGACGCCAGTGAGCATGACATCGATCTTCATGCATGAAAACCCAAAGTACTTTCCGGAGCCCAAAGTGTTCAAGCCGGAGAGATGGCTGAACCCTGGCTCCCGAGATAGACTGGAGAAGTACCTGGTAAACTTCAGCAAGGGCACCCGGGCGTGTCTAGGGCGACATCTCGCCGAGGCAGAGATCTATCTCACCTTAGCGGCCGTGTTTCGCAGATTCGACCTGGAGCTATACGAGACCACCAGAGACGATATTGATGTGGCGCACGACTTCTTTAATCCGCAGCCACGGCGGGGGTCGAGAGGCTTGAGGGTGATTGTGAGGGAGGTATGTAGCATGATTAATTAGAAGAGCTTTCCATGTCCCAAATGAATGTCCCAGAGTGGAGACGCATTGTACACATCAAGACCCATCGAGCATCTGGATCTCGTCGACCCCTACGAGGTACCTATGTGTGTCACGTGCGAGCGAAGTCTGCGGAGTGAAAATGCTGGTGCGGGGCGGGGAGGCTAGAAGGTCTCCGAATGGTCCGACAGCCTCGCCGTTGTCGGAGCCAAGCAAATCGAGTGTAGTGTACCCAGTACCCAGTACTGGGCAGTTGGTGCAGCTCCGTGTTGTGAGTAAGAAGTGAGAAGTGAGCCGCCCAGCAAAAAATTTCCCCCCAAGGTTCTTATAGCTTCCCGAGTAGTCACGCACCTCTCTTTTCTCTCTTTCCTCCTAGATACACACACATACACACACAGAAATGGCTTCCAAGACCTTTGCGCGCACATTGCGCACTGCCTCCAAGCAGAAAATCAGCACGCCCACCGTCCAGAAACGCTCCATCGCTTCGGCGTTGGCGACCAGACCTCTTGTTGCTGCCACGCAGCGCCCTTCGTTCGCAGCTCCTGCCCAGCAGCAAAAGCGCGGTATCAAGACCATCGATTTCGCTGGCACGAAAGAAACTGTCTATGGTGCGCAGCACACTCTCTTGTCGCCTGGGGGTTAACATTTTGCTGATAATTCTGCTATAGAACGGGAAGACTGGCCGCGTGAGAAGCTTCTTGTATGCTGACTCCTCCAATCTCAAACGTACCGCCTCTACTGACCACACTGCCAGGACTACTTCAAGAACGATACGCTTGCTCTGATCGGCTATGGCTCGCAAGGCCATGGTCAAGGTCTTAACCTCCGAGACAATGGCTTGAACGTCATCATCGGCGTTCGCAAGAACGGCGCCTCGTGGAAAGAGGCGGAACAAGACGGCTGGATCCCAGGCAAGAACCTGTTCGAGGTGGACGAGGCTATCGATCGGGGAACCATCATCATGAACCTGCTCAGTGATGCTGCGCAGAGTGAGACCTGGCCCGCCATCAAACCAAAGTTGACCAAGGGCAAGGTAAGATAAGCGCGGCCTGTTTTCGAGGCCGGGGCTGACGGTACGGAACAGACTCTGTATTTCTCCCACGGCTTCTCCCCCGTCTTCAAAGACCTCACGAAAGTGGACGTCCCCAAGGACATCGACGTCATCCTCGTCGCACCCAAGGGCTCCGGCCGAACCGTTCGAAGCTTGTTCCGTGAGGGCCGGGGCATCAACTCCTCCATCGCCGTCTACCAGGACGTGACTGGAAAGGCTGAAGAGAAGGCCATTGCCCTTGGTGTCGCCATTGGCAGCGGTTACCTGTACAAGACCACCTTTGAGAAAGAAGTCTATTCCGATCTTTATGGTGAACGAGGATGCTTGATGGGCGGCATCCACGGCATGTTCCTGGCCCAATACGAGGTCCTGCGCGAACGTGGCCATTCTCCATCCGAGGCATTCAACGAGACCGTCGAGGAAGCCACTCAATCCCTGTACCCACTCATCGGCGCCAATGGCATGGACTGGATGTATGCCGCTTGTTCAACCACCGCCCGTCGCGGTGCGATCGACTGGTCGAGCAAGTTCAAGGACACCCTCAAGCCTCTCTTCAATGAGCTCTACGACAGCGTGAAGAATGGCACAGAGACCAAGCGCAGCTTGGAGTTCAACAGCGCACCTGACTATAGAGCAAAATACGAGAAGGAGATGCAAGATATCCGGGATTTGGAAATCTGGCGTGCCGGCAAGGCTGTTCGGTTCGTGAATTCACTGCCCCTCTCGCATGTATACGAGGCCGCTTGCTAACGATGATGACAGGGCCCTTCGACCTGAAAACCAGTGATGGGTCTCGGTGCACCAGGTGTTGATACCCTTTTATGTGGCTTTTTTTTGGCAATCAAAAGTTGAGCAATGTATCAAATGGCGAGGTCTCTGGATGGGTGAACATGGATCTTGACAGCAATGCGGCCGCTTTGTGCACTTGGGAGATTTAAATGCTCCAATGCCCAATGCCCAATGCTTGCTGAGGGAGTCCGATCTCGGCAGAGCTTCGGACATCTGCACGATTACCAATTTCATGCTTTTGGATCGTGGGTTTTCAATGAAGATTTGTTGCGACGTCAGTTTTCTTTTCCACTGATTCATTCCACTGCCTTTTCTGTTCGTTTACGCAGTTTCTTAGATCAGTCTGCTTAGTCGTTTCATCCATTCTTCGGCGTCTGAGACTTGGACCAAAAGTTGTTCGATGCCGATTATTACACCAGTATCACACAACATTTGAGAGGCACAAGCATTGAGCACACGCCCAAGTAAGCGTCAGAAATACAGAACAGTAGGGCAAAGCGACCTTGAGAAAGGCATGGCAGATCCATCAACCTGCCCGCCTCTAACACCCTCCTCCATCAAAGGCGCCTATACAAAGATCCAACCCTACATCCACAAAACCCCTCTTGTAACGAGTAGATCCCTCAATGCCATTGCCTCATCGCGCGACCCGTCCGCTTTTCTCTCCGACAACCCACCACCTTTTGATTCTGCCGAACCAGATGTCAACGACAATGTCGACGCCGGGCAATCGAGCGATGCTCTGCCCCGCTTTCGCTTGTATTTCAAATGTGAGAATTTCCAGAAGATCGGGGCGTTCAAAGCCAGAGGCGCGTTCCACGCCGTGACGAGGCTGATTGAGGAGTTGGGCATTGACGAGGTGAGGAGGAGAGGGGTCGTCACGCACAGTAGTGGTGAGTCTGGTGGTCAGCGAAAAGAAGATGCTCTAACTCCCTTGTAACACCACACCACATCCAAGCCAGTGCTTCTTACATGGACCCAAGGAAACCACGCTCAGGCCCTCGCCCTGGCGGCCTCCACATTCGCCATTCCCGCTTACATCGTCATGCCCTCGATATCCACCACATCCAAAATCGCAGGCACCCGTCTGTACACCCCGAACGTCATCTTCAGCGGCTCCACCTCGGACGAGCGTGAAGCCGTTGTCGCAGACGTCATCAAGGAGAAAGGCGCGATCTTGGTCCCGCCCTATGATCACCCCGACATCATTCTGGGCCAGGGCACGGTCGGGTTGGAGATGGAGGAGCAGCTGCGCGAACTCTCGGGCACTGGAGAACAGTCGATGGAGGGCGACGGGGCTCGATTTGACGCGGTCATTACCCCCATCGGCGGTGGCGGGCTTCTAGGCGGCACGGCCACGTTCTTCTCTTCCCAGCCCGACACCTTGGTGTTCGGCGCCGAGCCGTCCTTCCAGGGCGCCGACGATGGCCGTCGGGGGCTCCTCCAGAACAAAAGAATCGAGCACGTCAAGTCGCTGACCATTGCTGATGGTCTCCGCACCCCCGTCGGCGTGCTCAACTGGACCATCGTCGCGGACAAGTCCAAAGTGGAGGGTCTCTACGCAGTGAGCGAAGAGGAGATCAAGATGACCATGCGGCTCGTGTTTGAGCGGCTCAAGCTCGTCGTGGAGCCGAGTGGCTGCGTGCCGTTGGCGGTGGTGCTGTTCAACACCGATTTTAGACATATGGTCGCCGAGAGACAGAGAGTCTCGAGGGAAAAACACGGAGGAGCCGACAAGGCATACTGGGATGTCGGCGCGGTGTTCAGCGGCGGGAATACAACCATGAAGGCGATCGCGACGCTGTATGGCGAGGGGAAGGGAGCAAAAGCGGAAAGAGAGGCGGGAACAATCAGCGTAGACGGGACAAAGAAGGTCGAGGATGTTGCGGGATGAAGACGATCCAGGAGATACCTCGGACATAGTGAGAATAAAACATACTCCCTATCATAGTGACCTATAAACCTCTCCTGTTCTAAAGAGCAGACAGAGCAGACATTTCCACAAGTTTTCTGCGCCGCACTGAGTGGATTTCAGGCTCGTCCGCTCCGCTTTCCGTCGGTCGATCTGTCTGTATGTAGCCTCCTCCACTCCGCCCGGTGTAACACGTAAGAGGAGGAAGAGGACTTGAATGATGCATGTACACAGTGGCAACGTGAGGCAATGGTATTGGATAAACTATCTAATGACAGTGATGACAGCTATGAAGTAGGCGCTTAAGTGCCAAAGAGCTACAAACCTCCCCCCCCCCCCTCACACTTGCCCGCAAGAAAATAAGCCCAAAAAGAAGCTCGCTTCCTAGCCACACCGAATAAATGAGCCCCCAGAGCGGACAAAGAGGTACTCGGTATAGAGAAGAAGGGGGCAAAAAGAATATTGATGAGAGGAGTGGGGTTCGAACCCACGCATCTTTCGATAGCAGAGAAGTCAAAGAGTTAACGGAAAGACTTAAATCTGCCGCCTTAAACCACTCGGCCATCCTCCCAATTGTACAAATTAATTTGTTGCTGTCTCGGAGCATAAAATCAGTTAAATTTTCGAGAATCCAATATATGAATAAAAGTCATGAGCTAGCTGGGTGTGAGGCTGACGAGGGTGAAAGAGCCAGTCATAAAGGAATGTTATACGCTAGACATACCGAGATAGGCGCCTGCCGAGGAGCTGGTACAGGACTCGGTACAAGGTCCTTTGAGTACTACTCGGTACCAAGGCTGCCTATTGAGCCTTGCGAGGTAGTCAGATCGGTTGTTTCACCCCGTCCTTGACAATTTCAGTAATCCTCCAGCCCCCCATGGAATTATTTACCTGCTCTAACCACCGCGCCCAACACACGTACACGCCCGTATTGAAAGTCACATACCATGTTGACAGACACCTCTACGCCGAGAAAGTATATGCGGTGTCAATCATGGTGGCTCGCGCCTCATCATTCGCTACGGCCGCATACGGCGAAAAAAAGCCTCGTTGGTGCTATGTGCTCGTCCCTTTCACGGGACAAGGCCTCCTAAAGTAAAGAAGTTTAACAATCTCGGCCACCTTCATGCATTGTCCACATAAAAGGTGAAACCACAGAGACAGGGCGCTCACTGCAGTCCCAAGACATCCTTCAAGATGGCCAACGCCCCAAACAACTGACTATCATGGTACTTCCTCGCGACCACCTGCAGATTAATCGGCGCCTTCTCGAAATTTCCTTCCTCCCACAACTGCTTGACATGCGCGCATGCATCGCTCAGCGGCTTATAGTCCTGAGCATACACCTCGCCCTTCTCGGCCTTGATTGGAGTCGGGATAACCACACCGGGGTAGTCGATGAAATTGTACAGGGACGTGTACGTCCAGTAGAAGGCCGTGTCGTGAGCCGAAGCCGGTCCCACGAAGCAAGGCCCAATGACCACGTCCACGTCCTGAGCGTTCCAGTTTTCGGCAAACGCGATACGGAAGGCGTCTCTCTCCCAGCGCATGTTGCTCACGTCGACGCCGGTCTGCATCCCGTGGGGTTCTGCATCCTTCCAGATCCACGACGAGAGCGGGTGGATCGGTTCTCCGGTCTCGCTGATGTGCTCGGCCATCGCCTTCCCCCCATCTGGCCAGTACATGCGAAGGATCTTGGCCCACGCTCCGGTGGCGTCGTAGGGCGTAAAGTCCTTGACCTCGAGGATTTCCGAGTACTTTGGGTCGGAAAGGAGCTCTTTCGCCCAGGAAACGGCTCGCTTGACAGGCGGCTGAGGATCGATGAAGCCGTCGTTGCTGATCACGCCGACCTTCAGACGTCCACCGATGGGCGTTTGGAGACCTGTCCAGGGCATCGGCACGATCCTCGGATCTTCGAGATGTGGCTTCGCCGCAATAACGTTGCTCGTGAACAGTTCCATGTCTCTCAGGCTGCGGCACATGGGTCCGATTGAGCACAAAACATTGAGCTCTGCCGGAAATGGAGCCGCAATCATATCTTTCATGGGCAAGGTATATGACGTGGGTTTGAACCCGTAGATACCACAGAACGCCGAAGGGCCACGGATGCTGCCGCCAATATCGGTGCCGACGCCCAAAATCGACCCTTTCATCGCTATCAAGGCTGCCTCGCCGCCCGTCGAGCCGCCGGCCGAGAGATGGATGTTGTAAGGGTTCAGAACTCGGCCCCAGTGCGAGTCGGACTCCAGATGCATCAAGGTTTGAGGTTGGTTCGTTTTGCAGTAGAAGACGGCTCCCAGGCTTCGCAGGATCGCCACCAGCTGGCTGTCCTTTTCATTTTTAACGATGCTACCAAAGAAGCCCATGGAAGAATAAGTCCCGGCAATGGGCATGTGGTCTTTGATGCTGACCGGAACGCCATGTAGAGGGCCCATGGTCTTGCCGTTCTTGGCCAGATACTCGTCGAGCGACTTTGCTTGCTCGATGGCTTCGTCCATGAACCACTGGGTCAAGCAGCAGGTCAGTTGATGGGCGACGATGGCACGCTTGCAAAACGCCGTGGCAACAGCGACAGCCGTGTATTTGCGGCCAGCGATGGCCTCCGCGAGACTTGTGGCATCGTAGTTCTCGGTAATTTCAATCTCTTCGGGAGTCAAGATGCCAAAGGTGGTCGCAAGTCCCGATACATCCTGCGGAGGGTTCTTGACTACATCCTCGGGGACGTAGTATTCCTGTGGGATCTTTTCATTGAAGGCTCGAAGCAAAGCAGTTCGCTTTGCTTCGTACTCTGGCGTGCCCTCGGGGACATTCTTGGGCTGAATGACGTTGAACGGCCTGGTCACCATCTTGCTTTGGTCTATATCTGAAAATGTCGAAGACTGGAGATAACAGCCTGGGCCTCGAGAGCTTTTACGATCACTCCTCTGTTTGCCAGCGGCTCGCAACGACGTGGTCGTCGAGAGTCAATTATTCAGTCGATCCACGACAACCAATCTAGGGCGTTGATCGTGCATCTCCGCTGCGCAAACGCTTCTCGCTGGCCACAGATATCCCCAAGTGGCTTGGATGGTGTTCGCATCCCTCGTTCGGGTAAAGCGTCACACCATAGAAAGCATCTCCCCGCAAGGTTTCCCACGGTGGTCCCTCCGTGACGGCGAAAGTTTGCAAGCTTTGTTGCGAAGTGCGAGACTCAGCCAATCCCTTCCATTTGCGCAGTTGATCCGGCTGCTTTGAGACAGGGCTGCAGATAGGCTCCCCAGGCCTCGTCGCAATAGCCTAGCTCCATCATTCGTCCGCCGAGCCCTTCGAGCCATGGACATTGAGGGATGGTCAAGATATCGAACAGGATAACGTGAGTGGAGTCTTTATCAACTGCCTTCCTTGAACGAATCGGAGATTGTCCGTGATTTCTGGAAATCTTGCCCCTATCAGACGCTTATTATTCCCAGGATCTGCGAAATAGTCACCACCTATTCAGGTACTAGGGCACCACACATACTACAGAGTCCGTTCCGAACCACAGCAATTCCGCGCTTTTTTCAACGTAACCGATGGCACATGGCCTTTTGATCACCCTCCAGCATGCCGATAGCGGCCCCTGGCCATGCTCTGGATGAACGCCACCACGCAATGGGAAAGCGCCCTTCTAACCTCCAGGCAGTGGGTGGACATCTCCACCGGTGCCCAGATTTGTTACCGTGGAAGGACGGAGCCTTGTGTTGACGAGGTGACTAGTTTATAAACGGGATGAAAAAGACGACGACAAGCCCCTCCATGGGAAAGCTAGGGTCTTATGTGCAGGCTCGGAAGAGTACAAGGGAAGACATAAGTACCCTGGGGTGTCCTTCCTTTCGCCCTCGCCCATCTCTCCCTTTGATCCCCCCAGGCATTGTCACCTTTTTCGAGACAGAGGTTTCTGCTGTAGTATTTGCTACTGCAGGAAAAGTCGCCAAACCATGACCATCCTCACCGAGACCACGCTGGACTCGATCCCCGGCACGGTCCACCTCGTCGACCTGGACCACAGCATGCACACTCGACATGCTGACGCCGGGGCCGGAGACATCGTCCTCGTTCCCACCCCTTCCAACGACCCCGACGACCCGCTCAACTGGTCTCCGCGAAGGAAGATCCTCTCGACCATCTGCACGAATCTGTGAGTCGCGGTTAATCCTGGCCTGGCCTTGAAGAACCCCTCCCGCCCTCAGAAGGACTGACAAAGACTATTTAGATACACCTGGTTCACCGGCATGTCGGTGTCCACTGTCTATTCTGTCCTTGTGCCTCTCTCGGCGGCATCTGGCGTCTCTGTCTCGACGCTCAACCAGGGCACCGGCTACATGTTTCTGTTCCTTGGCTGGAGCCTGCTCTTCTGGCAGCCATTCTCTCTGAGATATGGCAAGCGCATGACCTATTTGATTTCCATTCTCGGATCACTTGTAAGTCGGGGGGCGTTCCCAGGCATAGCCACTGCCAAAATGTCGTTTTATGTACTGACCTTTGCCGTTCCAGGGCACCAGCATATGGAGGTAAATTGCACTTCCTTTCAATCCGGTCTCTGAAAGTGAATACTGATCACGTGCAGCGCCTATGTGACCAGCAACGGAGAATGGATCGCCAAATGCATCATCCAAGGTTTTTTCAATGCTCCCATCGAAGCTCTGCCCGAGATCTCCGTCACCGATGTGGTATGATTCTTTCTGTCTCCCCGGTACCATGGTGATATAATTACCATGCAGAAGCTGACGGCGTTGGACAGTACTTTACCCATCAACGAGGCACATACATGGGCATCTACGCCTTCACCTTGGCCGGCAGTAATTACTTCACGCCCGTTCTGTGCGGATTCATCGCCGACGGCCAGGGGTGGCGATGGGTATTTTATTGGCCCGCCATCTTCCTCGCAGCCGTCTTCGTCTTTTTGTTCTTCTTCATGGAAGAGACGAACTACACGCGAAAGACTGCAGGGCTCATCGTGGAGGTTGACACGCCGCCGCCAGAACCTGCTGCCGGTGGTGTAATGGACACGACAGCGGATAAGGAGAAGAACCCAACGACCGTTCTCTCGACCGATGGTTCGCGGACGACCGAAGAATACGGCCCGCCCAAGACGTTCGCCCAGAAACTGTCGCTCTGGAACACGCACCCGGGCCAGCCCATGGTGCAACGCGCAATCCGCAGCCTGCAGTACCTGACCTGGCCCGTCATCTTCTACGCGGGCTTCTCGTACGGGTCGTACCTGATCTGGTTCAACGTGCTCAATGCGACGGCCTCGATCATCCTGGGCGGACCCCCGTACAACTTCAAGCCGTCCATGGTCGGCCTGTCATATCTGTCGTGCACCCTCGGCGTCATTTTGGGCTGCCTCATCTCCGGCAGACTGAGCGACTGGCTGACCATCAAGCTCGCCCGTCGGAACAATGGCATCATGGAGGCCGAGCAGCGCCTATGGCCCTTCATCCTCTGCGTCCTGCTCGTCCCCGGGTCCTTGATCTTGTGGGGCGTGGGCGCCGCGCACGGGGTCCATTGGTTTGGCCTGGTCTTCGCAATGGGTTCATTGGCCTTTGCCACGACGTTTGGAGTCACGCTCAGTGTCAACGTAAGTCCCTTTCCGGCCCTTCAATTGCCAAGATGGAAGCAAAGACTGACGCAAAACTTGGCAGTACATGATCGACAGCTACCACGGCATCAGCGGCGACGCCATTGTGACTGTGATCCTGGTGCGGAATACCATGTCCTTTGCGATCAGTTATGGGTAAGTTTGGCCCCCCCTTGTCCCTCAAGAAACTTGGTCGAACCGCTGTCTGATCCGCTCGCCCACAGCATCACTCCCTGGTTGACCAACCTGGGCTACCAGAACTGTTTTATATCTGCGGCATTCATTGGCATGGCCGCCTCGTCCGTCTTCTTCGTCATGGTCATGGTAGGCAAGAAATTCCGCGTCCAAAGCGCTGCGAAGTACTGGAAGCTCGTCGGCGCCGACAGGGAGAAGTCGGAGGCGCTTTGAGCAAGACCAAAGTCGGGTGAACGAGCATTTCTGCTTTTGAAAGGGTTTCTTGGACCGTCATCTGTCTTGACACAACGAATCAATATACAGACCGATGTTTTTTTGGGGGGGGGGGCGCGCGTACACCCCATATTGCGTGTGAACGGGTGCTTGGGCATAGGTTTCAAGGGCCTGCACCTCGTCCACAAGCGTCGTAGGTCCAATTTCTCAGACAAACACGCTTTCCGCCGGAGGTGTACCAAGCATTAGTGTAGTAGAATGCCGGTCAGGTCAGACCCATCGGCCTCGACTATCAATTCAACGCGAGTCGTGGCTATAACGTCGGAACGTTGCCCCGCTCCATTGGAAGAATGTTCCGGGGTGATCCATTCATTTTCATGAGCTTCCCTCGTTGTAGTATGCTTCACTCCATTCAAGCGGGTGCTGGCTTTGCCAAAGGCACTCGGTCCTGTGTGACGAAAGACCGCTCAGAGAAAGCCAAGCCAACGGATTCGGTACGAGAATAAAAAGCGAGGGTTTGGTGTACGTAGCCGGGTCTGGATGGCATACTCATAGCACACAAGCCTTTCACACCGGAACTCTTCTCTGTGAGACCCTGCTGTGCTGCTCCCCTCCATCTAATCCCCATAGGGATCGAACTGTCTGCTCATTGCCGCGTATCAAGTGATGTACCTCCGTAAGCGCTACCGGGCCGGTGCTAGCGGGATAAATAATAACGCAAATCCTTGAATCATGTCAATGAGAGGACGAGTCAGCAAGATTTTTGACAGAGAACTCGCTGATATATCGACTGGAATACTTGGAGAACCATTCCGTCGATACAGAGCTTGATTGAAGCAGCGTCCTGGGAAGCAGGCATCGAATGAAGCTTGCTCAGGTTGGCCGGTCCGAGAAGAATTTAGAGGGCGCCTCGACTCTACGAAGGCACGGCTTGAAGCTCCTGTCCATGGAGAAAGTGAGAAGAATCAAGTCCGCATCACGACGTCTCCGAAGGCCAGAATTAGCCTCCAGGATTGCCATCTGAAATGGTCCTCTTGTTCGGTCGCCATAAGACCAACGGACCTCACCGTGAACGACAGGGCACAATTCAGAATGTCACATAGACGAGAGGTCCGTCACCTGCAAATAATCGTGACCTCACCCATCGCTCGACTCTTCAATCTCTCCGTGAGATCTTTCTCACTTATTCCCAGCTCCGTACAAATCTCGTCGAAACAGTGGGTGCCATCGAGGAATTCCACTATGCGGGAATTTAGAGTTTGATCATCCGCATGAGTTTTTCCAACACCCCTAGAGTGCTTCTGCTTGTGTTTACTCCGCTGCGAAGACTCTTCGGTGAGATGTCGTTCACTGGACATGCTGCGCGTCAAATTTGGATGCTGGAGAAATTCTCCTTCAGCGGGACCATACGGAAAGGTTCCTTTCTGTGTGCGAATGGCATATCGGTGGACCCGATAGAGCAATCCCTTGATGACTCCAAATGTCACAAACCGCCGCATATCGATGTTTGCGAGCATATTTGCATTCTGAGTGTACCATTCTCGCACGGTGAGACCCTGTCGCAGATTGGCGAACAGCTGGACAATCCCGACACCATCGACGGGATCGCCTTTACCCGTCAACGGCCACATTTCTTCATCTTGAAGGGTCGCATTCGTCAAGCCGCTTGTTCGTCGTTCAGGAGCGCCGTCAATGACGGCTTCCTCCTGCGCACCAGGGGCGAATGCTGTGTTGACGTACCTGGCACATTCCTTCTGCATTTCGGGGTCCTTAGCGATCATATTGGCGAATTCGGCGGTCGGGGCGTAAACTGCATTGAAGCTGAAGATATCAAGCAACAAGATACAGCCATAGTACAGTAAGTGTTTGACGCACTTCTTTGTGAGCTTGAGGTCCGCATCTGCAAGAGCTGCAATCCTTTTGACGCTATTCACTCCGTTGATGAAGGGGATGATTCGTAGCATGGTCAGGTCCCAGTTCTCATCCACCATCGTCTCGATTCGAACAGTAAACAGGGGAACATGCCAGGGCTTGACGCTGGCTGGATTTGGCAGCGAGGGAAACAATTTGATGTTCAATGTATTCAATTCATCGATGGGGATCATGCATTCACAGTAATTGTTTAGATCTTCCATCAGCATCTCACACAGGCTGTATATCTTGCCCGAGTTCGGGGGCGAGGCGTCGTCACTCAAAAAGTGCGATTGTTCCTCCAGACTGCGCATCAAGTGTGCCAGTTTCTTCACCACGGACTTATACGAGGGCACGTCAATCGTCGCAGGATCGCCGAGGACAAGGGCGAAATTAAAGATGAATTCGTTGCGCGGGTAGTGCGGGGATGTCAGACATATTGGATACGACAGTACAAGCGTGGGAGGCGTAGTCGACGTAAGCGGTGGAGGTGAGAGGGAGATCAGGTTCCCACAGAGCGATTGGCGAGGGATCACGAAACGGGAGATGGTGGAAAAGGAGAGAAGAGGTATTGTTGACGAGAAGGAGGACGACGGGCCATTGGACGAGGCAGACGGGTCGCTCGCCGTCAAGATCGAGTCCTCAGGCACTTGATGCACGATTTTGGGACCTACGCCTGTGTCAAAACTTGGGAATCACCCGTGGTCGAGGAGGGACGGGGCGGCGCGCCTTCGTGAGGATCGAACTTGCTGTAGAATATCGCTTTGATAGACATGTTGTCGTTGGTTCGACGGTCCTCGCACCGCGTCAGGCGAGTACGTGTACCGTTGAAGAAATGGACCGATTGTCCTCCAGCCCAAGGGATTCACATTCGCAGAATAACAGTCTCGTCGAAAAGAGGAATCAAGGTCGCGGTTGTAGTTAGAAAGAAGAGTGCGCAGGACGAGGTTTGCGCAAGTGATGTCCCGTGACCCACAATCAAGGCTGTAGCCTCGACACCTTCAAATGGGCCATCTTTGTTCGTCTCTTACTCTCATTACTACCCTCCCCCCTTCCCCCCCAAACAACATTCAAAAATAAGTAGCACAGTCTGACAAGAGTAGAGTGATTCACTGTTAGATCGAAGGTGCCCTTCATTCACGTTTCAGTATGTTGGCTATCTTTAGGAATAGTGGCCCTCTTGTCATTCATTCTATACTGTTCATTATATTCGATATAGCGGCCGCTTTGACGTTATTCAGCCCTCTTGAGGTACATACTCCGTGACAGACTGTGCCACTTATCATTGACTTCGACTTGCCCCCAAGTCACCTGTATAAAACATCGTCGACCAATAGTCACAGAACGAGGTCCTTCCGACAACGCTCTAGCCTTCAAACCGGTGATCATTACGATGTCGCTCTGCCTCGCTCGTGCTACCGAACCTCACCACTGCCCGAAACCTCCTCAGCCGATTCCGCAGCCGCGCCTAATGACGTCTTTCTCCATGAGTGTGTTTCATGCCTGAAGGAACAAGAAAACACTCTGCTTGGCCCTTTCAGGCAAGGTGCGGAGATGACAGTGCAGCCGCGCTGGGGCCTTGGAGCGCGAGACGATCGTTTATTCCGCCCCTGAGAGGCTTCTTTGTTTACCCGTTCGGCTCGCGGCTTGTAGCGAGCGATGGACGATGCTCATTCGCTGTCAAGACGGAAAACATGAACAGTTACAAATCCTCTGGAACAGCTTCCTTCCTTGTTCAATGAGTTTCGACATTATCACAGGTGTATCTCAAGCGGATCTGGCTCAAAAGACCGCAGAGATGAGGCCAATATGTGGCCGAGTATCCGGAAGGATGAACCATTATATCAAGGGAGTGGGGGAAGGCTCAAATGCGACTCGAGCTTTCCAGCGACGACCAAAAGAACTTGCCAGCAATGGATCCTGTGAGCAGAGACATCATTCGCGCCGAGGTCGACGCAAACGATAATCGACCCGACACTTTGTCTTATATCGCCACTCACGGACCAGACATCGAGAGAGACTGGTCACGGTCAGACCAGTCATCACCCTTTTCCCGCAATGTCACTCAGACCTATACGGTATGAACGAGAGAGTGCTGTCAGCCAGGATGCTAACGGGAAGAACAGAACGCCACCCAGCATACCCTCCACCCTGTCGAGCTCGAGAGGATAGCTAGATCGCGTACACAACACCAGCTCACTGTGGGCAGCCGCCCGTCAGCCCGTGCAAGACGGCGATCAACCGCCACGGTACGAACATTAGGGGCTGGGAAACCTCTGCCCCCCCAAGATGACACCGAAGGCTACATTGTCGAATTCGACAGCGTCGACGATCCTGAACACCCGCATAACTGGCCATTCGGGTACAAGTATGTAAAGTCCCTCAACCTCCGAGCGAGCATAGTCACTGACAAGCATCTCAAGAGCTCAATTGTCTGTAATCTTGTCTTTCATCACCTTCGTCGCTTCCTTCTCCAGCGCCATTTTCTCCTCTGCCATTCACCAAGTTTCCCACGAGTTCCACGTCTCGACCGAAGTCGGCGTTCTGGGCATCACCCTTTATGTGCTGGGCTTTGCCTTTGGTCCCATTCTGTGGGGCCCTGGTTCTGAATTGCTGGGACGTAAACTGCCCCTCGTCGTCGCCATGTTCGGCTTCAGCGTCTTCGCCGTTGCAGCTGCCGTCGCCAAGGACTACCAGACGCTCATGATCGCGCGCTTCTTCAGTGGTTTCTTCGCTGCGGGCCCGCTGGCTATTGTTCCTGCTTGCTTCGCCGATATGTACGACGACAGCCAGCGCGGCATAGCCATTACTGCATTCGCCATGGCTGTCTTCTGCGGACCCTTCGCCTCACCGTTTGTCGGCGGCTTCATCGCAGACAGCCATTTGCGCTGGCGCTGGACCATGTACATCGCTTCAATTATGGGTTGGCTGTCGACCTTCCTCACATTGTTCCTGCAGGAGTCGTATGCTCCAGCGATCCTCGTCTCCAAGGCGGGCCGCATCCGACGTGAGACAAAGAATTTCGCCATCCACGCCAAACAAGAGGAGATTGAGGTTGACTTTTTGGAGCTCGTTGACGAGAATTTCATGCGACCGGTCCGGATGCTGTTCACCGAACCCATCATCTTCCTGATCACGCTATACATGTCTTTCATCTACGGCCTGATTTACCTGTTCTTGGGCGCCTATCCCATCGTTTTCCAAGGCGTGCACGGAATGAACGAAGGCGTCGGCGGCCTGCCCTTCATCGGTCTGATCATAGGTCAGCTCTGCGGGGGTATCTACATCATGGTCGACCAAGTCGCATACAAGAAGAAGCTCGCTCGCAACCATGGCGTTCAGGTTCCTGAATGGCGACTCCCACCCGTCATTGTTGGCGCCGTTGCCTTCTCGATCGGACTCTTTTGGTTCGGCTGGACAGGCTGGAACAGATCCATCCACTGGCTCGCCCCCACCGCTTCGGGCGTGGTGACCGGATTCGGTATTCTTTGCATCTTCTTGCAGTGCTTCAACTACATCATCGACACCTATCTGATGTTCGCCGCCTCAGCCATTGCCGCCAATTCTCTGCTTAGGTCGTTTTTCGGTGCGGGTTTCCCATTGTTCGCGGATCAAATGTTTAACAATTTGGGCATCCAGTGGGCGGGCACCGTACTGGGCTGTCTTGCCGCAGTGATGATTCCCATTCCCGTGATCTTTTACCTTTGGGGCCACAAGATCAGGGGATGGAGTAAGACTACGGCGACGACGGAGGCGTATGGGAGTGAAGAGGAGGAAATGAGGAAGCAGAAGGATGACATGGAGGTCTGAGCTGCTTTTCTTTTTCGCTGGGCGGAATCCGTAATTATGCCCAATGCAATTGTGAGCGAGTTTGGTGAGATGTATTGTTATTGAAGGGGCGTGCAGGCATTTCTGGCACAATGTCATGGTGGGTGTGGAAACCCTACGAGGTACTTCTGGGTTTGGGAGCGCTTGAAGCTTTATCTTCGCAAGTCTTATTAGTGAGACACGACACTGCACTATAGCAAGAGTGTAGATACTCGGATTAATTATACATGAGCCGGATATCTTAGGTCTCTTATACCTCCTACTACTGCTTCAGATACCATATCCATATATCCATACATACATATGTATATATACAAACACTGAATGCCCCGCGGATGTGTCAAGTTACAATGTTGTAACATACCCTCTTACATAGGAGGCCGCGTCTTAGAAGAAAAAGGGAAAGGGATTCGAAGACAGGGAAGCGGGTGTTGTTCTGGGATCAAGGAGTGTGCTGTTTTTATTTTTATTTTTTTCCTTTCTAGAAAAAAAAAAGATGGAAAAAAGGAAAGATGAAATGCTCTGGACTCGAGTTTCCCTGCCTTGTCCTAGTCCTCGATCGTCTCAAGAGGTCAGCGAGCACTGCTTTTCTTACTTGTTTACATGTTTGCTTGTCCTTTCCATCCCGCTGTTCAAAAATGCACACCGTTCGCACCACTGTAGCTCTTGGTTCTGTGCCGGGTATCATATGCAAAAATGCCACTCAAGGCCATCCAAGTGCCATATCCAATGCGCGCTGATGCTTTATCCCAATGCTGAGAGCCACCAAAGTGGCCACCCGGAGTGAGTGACCTAATAATCGTGAGGAATGTCCACCCAACCACCTCCAGCGCAATGCAACCTTGATCCAATGGAACTCAGGAAATTCGATGCTGTCGTGTCGTGTCGTGCTAGTTGCTGTAGCCTTTTAATGGCAGCGGTGGAGTCGACGTCGTCTTATGCAATGTCGATCCAGCTGCCCGCCAACCCCCCGAAATCCATGCTTGCTTGACCTCTTCCAGACGCCTTGTCATTTCGTGAAATTACCGGATCCGTGTATGAATTCCTAAACGTCGGGAGGTTCACTTCTTCATTTTCGCTTCCGCCTGCTCTAGCAGCTCCAGAGTTAAAGCTTGGGTTGATGGGCCAAGATCAATGAAATCATCCCTCGGAAGATCCCATGGGAGCCTTCTCTTCCCTTTTGGTCTCGGCGATGGTAACTCTGGCTTTTGGCTTTTATTTTTTGCGTCCGTTTGTGACTTGTGCAGTCCTTCCGGAGCCTTGGACCGTAGTGGCGGCGGAGCCATCTGAATCGTCTTTTTGGGCGCCGATGGTATTGTTGCTGTTTGCTTCGGCGTCGCCATTTCGGCCTCTACCTCCTCAGCAAGAGCAATAAGATCTTCGTCCTCAATTTCGTTGAACACAGAATTGAAGCTTTCGGACAGACCTCTTGATGGTGCTCTAAGTGGAGATTCGCGAAAGGGAGTTCCTGGGAGCGAAGCTGTCGGTGGTGAATTCTGTCGCGTTGATAGATCGTCTTGAAAGGACTTCTGTGTGGCGCATAGCATGAGGAAAGTCTCGTTATCTATGCCATCAGTGAAATCTTCGTCCATGTGGATGTAAAGGCGCCGTTGGTTTGACTCAAGAGAAGTTTTCTCTCCTTGATCTTCAGTAGTGGGCTCAGTTGCCTGCATATCCTCTTTCTCCGAAACAGGCTCAGCTCTGATGGTGTTTGACAAGAGGGCCGGCTTCCGTCCAAAAAACTTATTCAATCTCGGTTGACTCGCCGTCACCTTTCCCCAGGTGTCCTCAATACTGATTCTGCCTTCCTCTACCATCTTCTGTCTAGCGACACGATCTCTCTCAAGCTTCTCTTCTCGCTTGCGCTTGTTCTCAGCCCGTTGTCTCTCCTTTTCTACCTCTTTCTTTCGCTTCTCTTCTCGGGCGTCCAATTTGTCTGCGCGTGCCATTTGCGACGCAGTGTATCGGGGCCCTCCGATCCCCTCTTTCTTGTAAGCCCGCTTGGCCTCCTTCAGGGTCATAGGAGGTTTCGCGGGCCGTGGCATCTTGAGGGTAAGGGTGGATTGGGAAGGACGCGTGTAGAGCGAAAGACGCAGTCCACGACACAAAAAAAGGATCCTGGGATCTTGACGCGATGGCTTGGGCTAAACAAATACTGGGTACATAGACGAGATGGCACGTCACTTTAGGGCATGAACGGATATGACGGAAGCATTTCCGCACACTCATCCCAGTGAGCCGGTTAACCTTCCCTGCCATTTCACGAGGCTAAAGGACCCGGCGTGCTGCCTGTTTCGTGCCTGCTCCATCACTGCATTGTTATGATATTCATGATGCTTCACTACCACGCTCGGGCTGTTCAGAGCCCTCGTCCTCCGATCCTATGTCTTCAATAGGAAATGTCAGGATGGCGGCAATGCCTCCCAGCCCCTCCAGCCGTCTCCCGCTCTCATGGTCGCTACTGAGGACTCTGACTTCTCCGCCCTCCACCTCTCTCACTCGATCGACAAGTCTAACCCATCTTCGTCTCGTGGCCACATCCTGGCTTCGAAACAAGGCGTTGCTAATCAAAAGCACTCCTCCGCCGCGACCAACTGCCCCTTTTTCCACGCATGTCTCGACCTCTGTCGGCCCATACCATGCTCGCCCATCGTCCTTGCGTAGGAGAGCATAGAACTCATCCATCAATGCAGTCTCGCGAGCATATTTCGTATCCTTCAATCTCACCAGCACCTCTGGGCTTTTGAGGACCTCGTTGAGACTGTGAAGGTGGCCGGAGCTACTGTGGACGACAACGAAAGCGTTCCGCCTCACCAAGTCTTGTAGCATTTTGTCACCCCTCGTCACTGCGGTTTCGCCGACTTGTTTCAGAAAGCCCGCAGCCGTGAATCCGGGACTCGCGAGCAAGATTGGGAAACTCACGCTGCTGTCTTTGTGTTCCATCAGTCCTTGAAGCTGTCTCAGCAGCGTGTCCAGCACGGTAATGTAGAATTTGGTCAAGCCTTTGTCGTGATCGGCGGATCTTCCAGCTCCTGTCCGCTTCCGCGGGACCGAGACTTCAACTCTCTGCCTCAACACAGTCTGGAATTGTGTGATGAAGCAAATGTTGGCCAGGCCTTCCTGCATGACGACTGCAACTGCTTCGGTGCCCCTTGTAGGGTCTATAGCCTCTTCCAGTTGTGCGCGTGCGACGCTATCCCACCCCCCCGAGCCATCGTCGCCTTCGACAACCTTTTCGAGAGTGAAATTGCGTTGTAGTTCTAGGTCGAGAGTGTGGAATTGCCCTATCTTTGTGTACCTGTTCTCCCGGGCAATCTGACCTGAAACATGCAGTTGTCCAGCCTGCGGGTCGAAATCCAAGGTTTTCACCCGTATTGTGAGATTCGTGTGTACTCGTTGAGACGAGGTAGAGCCCGTGGACGCCGACTCGGTGGTTACTCGACGGATGGCAGAGGCAGTGAGGAGGTCTGTAGGTCGAATGAGGTTGTAAGCATGCCACTAATGGAAATCTCAGAATGAGTGCGACGGGGTGAGGGGAGGGCATGAAAGAAAGTACCATGTCTTCAGGTTCTTCGGGACATAGTGTGACACTCCCGCTACCGTCGTCATTGATATTCTGCTTGACCAGGCGCATCGCGATGACTTCTAATCGTTTTGGTCTAGACAAAAATACTGGTAGAAGCAGCGGTCGGTGAAACGAAGAGACAAAATGCGACCAGGCGTGCGTGGGGTCAGAACTGCGCTGTGTGACCCTGATTCCGCTGGACAGGGCAAACAAACCAAACAGTGGTGGCGAACGGGGAGGGAGAGGACCCTTGGCCGCTTTCACACCAGCGAGCCAGGTATTATTACTTCGTCCTCGAGTCACCGTCCACCCTCGCCATCCGTCTAGACGTTAATTCTTCCCGTGTTCCAAACTCGATCGACAAGACTTCTATACTTTCAAGATCCTCTCATGGCATGAATCCTGTCCAAGTTACCAAGTTTGATCGCAGGCAGCGATGCTTTATCCAGGTCTATATAGGGCGGCTATACTGTTGCACTGGTTCTTCAGGAGGTATTAACACATGTTGATTTTTCCCACCTGATCCAGTCTCAACATTTGCCTGCTATCTCTAACTCCATTCTTCTACTCCATTCAAATGTAACGGCGCGACAATGGCAACCCCAGTCAACCTCCCTGAACTCCTTCGACTGACTGCCACGTCCACATATTCAGCCCCATCTTATTCCCTGAGGTCACAGGCATTCCAGCGTGCAAGGTCTGCAGATTTCCCTTCCCGTCTGCGCCTAGGTTGTCCCAATACACCGCGTTCCCTTGGATCGGCTTGAAAGTGACACCGTCATCGATGGGCCGATCACAATCGACAAACTCGCACCACCACTCTTCCTCCTCTGGCGGTGGCTTCAATCGTGGGAAGTTCGTACCTCCGCCGGTGCAGTTTGCATGGATGTACACGAAGAAGGTCGATGCCACATTACCGCCCACGGCATTGGCGTCGCCGTACCAGTCGTAATGGTCTCGATACTGCCCCGCAATGCCGTAGTTCTGCACGACCAGCGGCTGGAACTCGCCAACAGCCTTGTAAAAGGGAAATGCGCGAGCGCGGTCCTCAATTTCTTTGATGATCTCGTCCTTAGGCAGCTTGGCTGTCGTGGAGGATCGGTAGGCCGAGTCTCGATGGACTTTGCCTTCATCGGTCCAGAGGACCGAGGGCTTGAAGCGCGGTTTGCCATCAAACAAAAGTTCTCAGGGGTCCTAGCCCTTAGGGACTTCAAGTGGCCCACGATGGGGGGAGGTGTGCACCTACGCCAGCTGGACCAGATGAGACGCTTCTTGCGGAGTGATGAAGTTTTTTATATACACCACCAAGGGATCTTCTGATAGCAGGAATGTCGTCGGCCCATTATCAAAGGCAGTATTATTACCTCTCCAGAAAGGCAGAAACTCCCAGTCGAAATACCAGTGGCCGGCGCCGAGAATGATTGCTAGGAGAGGTATCAGGATAAGAGAAAGCTTCCCAGCTGGAGTCATGTTCGCACATCAGAAAGACGAACTCGAGAGCCTGGTGAGAACTCTGAGCAACATCTCAGTGAAGTTGAAAGGCTGGACACAACACTCTGAGATCCGGTGGAGGTCGAGGATGCACAGCTTACTAGATACCATCATGGTCCCGGTAAAAGCGCCGACTGGCTGTTCTTGTGCCCGCTGTTTTCATTCGGCGAGGGAACGTCTCAACTTCTAAAGAGCGAGGATATTGCAACGCGAGCCATTATACATGTTCAAGGCACGACTGCCAGACGTGAGATGGATACCAAGATGCTCTTGCGAATATGGTCAGCAGTCTTCTGCCTGATCAATATTTGCAAGGCTGAGCTTAACTACGCCGATGCCCAAACCCTAAATGTCCTTGTATCGACATCCTCGAGCAAAAACAACATTGTCATTGGTGTCTGTGAGTAATGACACCCTTCTATCTGTCTCCTTCCACTGATAATGTCTTGGGATTTTGAGTTTGTCTGGTATGTTCCTTCCTTTTTAGGCGGAGTTTTGATCCTGCTTGATTCCTCTGACAGTCTCTCGACACAGCCCTGGTAGTACGTTAAAGAAGAACCGATTTGGTCGTTTGATCCCCAGATTGATCAGTGTCCAGCGACCAATGCAAAATCCTGAGTTCTGAATTGGAGCTAGCCCTTAAGGCCTTGCAACCATGGCCGTCCGCCAAATTGCTACTGATCAATTGTGAGGTGGAATCGGATACTTGTTCTTCTTATGGGATAACTTCCTATCCTACTGTTCGACTGTTTCACGGCCCGAAACAGATTCGATATCGAGGCAAATTCCGGGCTTCTTCGTGAGTGTCTGCTTTGACTACGTCGACTTCACAACCATTGATCTTCTTCAGCATTACTACCGAAGTTCTCAAGGTTATCCTGCCACCGGTTTCCCATTCTAATAGGCAGATTTTGGACACAACAAAGTCGTTGGATATCCCGCTGCTTTTGTTCACAGAATCTGAAGATGACACTTCCCAATCATCGACCGTGATAACCCAGGTCGCTGAAAAACTTCACGGCAAGTTTTTCGTCATGACCACCCACGACTTAACTCTGGCTGAAGAAGAAGGCGTAAAACCACCCTTTATAGTCGTCTTGAATTCCCTCGACGAAGTCAAGCCGCTGTACCAGGGCAAGGTTCAAATCGAACCTATTCTCAAATTCGCAGAAATGGCCTCAACGCCACTCATCGGCAGATTGGATCTGAAGTCTTACATCCTCTACACACAGGTTCCATACCCCTTGCTTTCATCCTTGCCGGGACAGATGAAGAGAGAAAGGCCCTCGCCGAATCGCTTAAGCATATTGCTCTCAAGTACAGAGGCAGAGTTAACTTTGTGACTGTGGATACAAAGAGTCTGTCCTTCTTACTCGAGCCTCTTGGTGTTGATCCCAGACGCCTTCCTGCTTTCGCACTGCATCGGGGTGACAACGATGAGGTGTTTGTATACGATCAGAATCGCAAGGTTAATGCAAAAGACGTTGAGGTATTCGTGCAAAGAACGCTGAATTGGCCGGACAAGGAGCTATGAAGCAAACTATCCCTCCTATATTGAGATCGAACTCAAGGCCTCAATCAGCCTGGCGGTTCAACGAGAAGCGAAATCTGCTTTCGAAAAAGCCCTTTCCATCTCCCCAAGTGGCGTCTTCTCTTGGATCTCCATGATGCTATGTTTGTGGTTGGGGATGTCGATTTAAGATGAGGGAAGAATTCGATTGTCACCATTCAGACATGTGCGCTTCCCGGCATATTTCACAGCATTCCTCACAGAACAAATTTGAACCTCGTCTGCACCTCACTCCGGTAGCGAGCCGTTGCTGCCACTCTCTCATACCTTTTATATCCCTCTAGCTCCTACAGAAGTATTGGTGGTGACACTGCAATATGTTGAGCTCATGGAAAGCGTGATCTGGCACCTGGCGCTCCCATATGTGGTACAGTTTGGGCTGTGGATTTTGGCCTCTAATCAAATCTGCCATGCTGAGGCAAGGTTGAAGGGCCGTCATAATCTGAGGCAGCAACCTCGGAAGGATGGTTTTTTTTCCCTTCTTTTTGCTGCAGACAACGCAGCCAATGCATACCATGCAGCATATTTCAACACGGGCGAGGAGGTATTTTGAGTGTCAGCTAGCCGGCGAAACAGGTTGCAAACTGCCCAGTTAGCGCCGCCTTAAGTGGTGCGGCGGCTAGGAGCGATACGAAAGGCTTTCATGGGATCGTGCAGTCGAGAAGTTCCCAGAACAGGGCGAATAAACGGCTTGGAGGGCAAGAGGGACTTTAAAATAAGGACATGGCGATTCTTTGAGATAAAAAAAAAGTGAACATAAACGTGCTCAGGGATCAGTTGTGACAGCGCAGGTGGTTCAGATAGAGAGGGCCGTAGCCTGCTGTGAGGTCCAGGATCCCCGTGGAGCACCAGGAGGAGCTTCAATCAAATTAAATCCCCCACCAAGGGCGACCAGGCTTGTAGGCGTCCCAGCTAATCAAGGCTACTACCTAGGTAGGTTGTCTAGTGGGCTGCCCCAGCCCGCCCAGCCTCCCAGAATCCCAGGCTCCCAGGCTTATTACCTGCTAGGCACGCATTGCGCATTGCAAGGAGGAGACTTGAGAGACTCCACCACTGCATCATATTATGTGATGTCTGCCGCTCAACGCTTCGCCGTCCGTCTTCCGTGCCAGGAACCAATATCAAGCCGTTTTCGCAATCCCCCGCCGCCTACTTTTCCATCACCAGATTGTTCACAGCCTGCGTTCTGCGTCTCGACCCTCGCATTTTTGCATTTACTCTCTTGTCTCATACTCGGTACAGCTTTCTGGCAGCTGTCCTCCTTCTCCATCTGCGCATCACTCAAATCACAGCCCCGACCGCCCCAAGCTTCTCCGTAAGCTATCGCCTTCTGCCTATTACGCCATTGACTCGATTTCACCGCTCGTCGATTCTTTTCAGTCTTTGCAGCGCACTCGCCTGGATCGCCTGTCATGGGAAGCTTCGTGTTCAAATGGTGAGTCAAGGCGCATTGCTAGACGCTATTTTGTCAGCGTCTCTGTATCCCCCTGTGCCCCGGCGTCAGGTTCCAACAGCCCGCTGACACCAGTTTCTAGGCCCCATCCAGAGGCCAACGATGTCCACGTTACGGGCACCTTCGATGACTGGGGAAAGAGCGTCAAACTGGACAAGGTCGGCGACATCTGGGAAAAAGAGGTGGATTTGCCAGAGGCAGACAAGAAAATCTTCTACAAGTTCGTCGTCAACGACCAGTGGATCATCGATCCCGATGCGCCTCAAGAGGACGACGGCCGTGGGAACGTCAACAATGTGCTCCTCCCCGAGCACATCAAGCCTAAGCCGTCCATGGTGCCCGAGGCTGTGACCATGTCCAGCGCGGCCCCTGAGAGCACTACGGCAGCTATGGCTGGTCAAGTGCCCTTGGAACCAAAGAAAGAGGCGACTGAAGGTAACTGGCTGCCAAACCACGCTGATAGATGTCTAAATATCGCAATGCTAACCTTATCGCCCATCTAGTTACACCTGCCTCTGAATCCCACCTCAACAAAGAGCCCACTGGAAGCAGCGTGCCGGGCACATTCCCCGAGACTCCTGCAAAAGAACCGGACTCTTACGGTGTCAGTCCCTTGCCGCCCACCAGCGGCGCAGGCAATCCTATCGATCTTCCCGCAGGCGAAAAAGTTCCCCCTCCCGGCGAAGTCACTGCAAACACCATTGAATCTGCTGTGACCACATCAAAGGAAGACTACGAAAGCGCGGGCTCGGGTATTCCAATCATTGGAGGAGCACTTTCTGCGCTGGGCCTTGCAGGCGCAGCAGCCAAAAAGGAGAAATTAATTCCCGAGTCTTCTCTGCCTATGGGTCCGGATGCCGGAAAGTCACTTGACGCTGGTCCCTTCATCAACTCAGCTGGAGCATCTTCGACCACGGCCGAAATGGCTGGGAAAGTGCCTTTGGAGGAAAGAAAGCCGGCGACGGAGATAGAACCTGGTGCGCAAGCAACCACATCTACGGTACCCGAGGTGGTCAAGGAATCCATCGCAGAGGCACATACTGAACCTGAAGCCACCACATCTGCCGAAGCGGTCAAAGAAAAGGCGGAAGTTGAACAAGAGCTGCTGAAGAGGGTGCCAGGGACTGATGAGGCTGGAGAGCCCGCACCAATGATTGCAGCCGCCACCGCGGAGACGGCACCGTCACCCACTCCAGGTCCAAACAACGGCATCGTCCCTGGGGAATCCTCTACAGCTGCAGCCGCTGTGGCTGACGGCACCGATGGGACAGCCGAGCCTATAGAAGCTGCAAAGCACCCGGTTGAAGCAGAGAAGACAGAAGGGGACACCACTGAATATGCCCCGCTTCACGCAGCAGGCGCAGCTCCTGGAGTGTCGGAATCTGCAGCTGCTGCAGTCTCTGATGGCGCCGAGGATCTTGCCGAAGAGCCTGCGGTACAAATGATGAACAAGAATGAAGCTGAAGCGGCCGCACCACCAGCGGCCGAAGCCACTACCACAACCGAAGCTCCCAAGGCGGAAGCACCTACAACAGCAGCACCGGAATCCAAGGAGGAAGCAACACCAGCTGCGCCCACGAGTGCTACTGAAACGCCAACCAAGAAAGCAGAAACCACGCCAACAAGCACTCCTTCGTCTGCGGCCACCAAGGAGAAAAAGAAGAAGCATCGAGTTAGCTCATTCTTCAAGAAGATCTTTGACTAGATGCCAAAGACAGCCGCAGGATGTCATGCAGACCAGGAAAAGGCCGGCGAGTGAGAGAGCAAGCGAACGTGCACAGTGGAAGTGAAGGGCAAGGTGCGGATTTGTGTGGGGGAGCAATTGGGAATGCATTGCGAAAGGGACGGCGCTCCCGCTGGGGTTTGGACAGCGGATTCGTGTTGATTTGGGACTGGTTTGTCTTGTAGATATCCCCTTCCGTTGTGTTTGTTTGTATTGGGGAGAGAGAGGGACCCTTTTTGGTTCGATAATGGCTAATCCAAATGTGTTTTTGCGGCTGTGGCGGTTGCTCAGTAATTACTGGCTGGTATTTTGGGGGCGGTTCTAAATGTTCTCGTCGATTTCTAGAAGCACCAGAAGGATTCTCGAAGCGGTGGAACATCAGGCTTCTCATCCAGGGCTGCCCCAGACGGCGGTCAGTTACGGGAAGATGCAGGCCCAGTCAAAAAGTCTCTCTCCCTCTCAAGATGCATTGTACCAGATGCAGAGAGGTGTCGTGACGAGAGCTCAACCCTCTCCTCGTCTCTTGTCTATACCTGTCCCGTGCGCCGTCTGGACTTTGATGATCTTCATTGCAAGGAGCGAGGAGCAGTCTGGAGCATTCTCCTAGGTGATCCGGTGGCTGCACGAACATGGCTTTTCGGGGCCAATCGGTGCATGGTTCAATTCGCCCTTGACCGCCTAGCTGATGCAGGAGCTGTAGCTATGACATCGCCTGCCTGGCCTCCGGGCTTTGTGACTGGTTGGGTGACTGAGGGCTTGGATTCAATCGAGGGTGAGGGCGAGAGGGGTTTCCAGCTAGAAATGTTGCGGGCGGGTAGCTTGCGAACTCAGTGGGCGAAGGGGGAGGAGAGGAGGTGCAGCTGGTGGCCGACATGTCGTGGTGGGTTATTCTTGCCGTCTTTTCTTCTTCTTGTACTCGGTATCGAGCTACGTTCCATGCTGGAGGAGTAGCTGAGAAGCCGGACCTCTTGTTTCGATCGAGGAACGTTTTAGAGACGATAGGTTATTGACTGCGCTGCGCTGCTCTACACTGCTCTGCACTGCTCTGCACTGCTCTGCACTGCTCTGCCTGCAACTGTGCAGCTGGCAAAATAGACTTCACCAGCCTATTTCCATCCCCCCCTTTGTCTCTCCTCCATTGCCCTCTTTTCTTCCTTTATATCCTCCCCCCCCGGCTTCGTCCTTCGTCTGCCCGCTTGATCGTGTGCTATCCAATCTCTGCTCTCTGCTCGCTGCTCTCTGAACCACAGTGGTCCTCGGCTACCCCTCCACTGCGTCATCTACGACTCAGAGTTGCTCGTTGCCCCACTTGCTCTCATTTCCTCACAAACTCGAACGAACCTACCACTCCCAGGCACTCCCTCTCGTGGTCTGGTTCGCTCCACCACCGAAGCAGCGCAACTGGTAGTTGTCAGTGCAGTGGACACCGGACAGCTCTTCAAACCAGCAGTGGACAATCAGACGCCGGCCTCGTTGCCTGAGATAGGAACCACACCCCGGTCCATTTCGCCCCTGTCCCCCTGCTTGTCGCAAAGCACACAATCACGCAAGCCGTTCAAGTCTCTAGCTCACGGTTTCACGGACCACATTGGTGACAGGCCACCCTACCCAGAAGAGGGTCCTTCCCTATCCTTCTAAGCACCAAACCGCCGCCAGTTGAAGTCAGTCCACAAGCAAGTATCCTAACCCCCGAGCTTAAGCCAACGACAACAGGCCGTCCCGGGGTGTCGATACCCGCACCAAACGACCGTCCTCCCCACATCCTGAAACCTCGCCCGCAAATGTCCATGTCTCTTCCTGCTCCTCACCAAGCAATTGTTGATGCTCTGATCAAGGACTTGAAACAAGCCAAACCCGACGATCCTCTCCAGTACTGTTCCAACTACTTCAGTCGCCAGCTCGAACTCGAGCGGGCCTTACACAGAGCAGGAAAGTCGACCTCCATCGCCAACGGCAAGATGGCAGACACCGCTGGCCCCTTCAACAGCCGCAGCCCCTTTGCAACCAAAAACAGCATACAAGAGGAGGATGAAGAACGTGACACCTTTGGTTCTCCCACGGATGCCACCTTCAAAGCTCGCGATTCCGGCCGGTCTCCCTTTGGCGGCTCTGGATTTGGCGCCGCAGCGGGGGCCGCAGCTGGAGGCAGCCTGTTTGGTAACTGGCTAGGAAATCAAGCGTCAGAAGACACAGAACCACAAGCTCAGTCGTTGCCCAACAACTATGCTGCAGGACGCCGAACTTCAGTGTCGGCCGAATCCATGCAACCAGACTCGGACTCCGGCAGTTGGAAGCCGCCTAAACACTCCAAGACCCCCGAGCAGTACGAGAGACTCCGACATGCGGTGGCCGGCAACTTTTTGTTCTCCAGTCTCGACGAAGAATCCTTCAATCTTGTGCTAGCCGCGTTAGTGGAGAAGACCATTCCTGCGCCTAATATCAAAGTCATCACCCAAGGCGACGAAGGGGACTTCTTCTACGTCATAGAATCGGGTGAATTTGATATCTACATCAACCCGAGCGGCGCGGTTGAAGCTGGGCCAGATGGCATGGGAAACAAGGTTGCGACCATTGGACCCGGAGGAAGCTTTGGTGAACTAGCCTTGATGTACAATGCTCCTCGAGCTGCCACCGTCGTGAGCTCGTCCAAGGGAGGCTTACTCTGGGCGTTGGATCGTGTCACATTCCGACGAATTCTCATGAATAATGCGTTCCAGAAACGAGAAATGTACGAAGGATTCCTAGGTGAAGTGCCTTTGCTCTCATCTCTCAAGCCCTATGAGAGGGCCAAGATTGCCGACGCCTTGGAGACAGTCAAATACGAGTCAGGTCAAAACATCATCACTGAAGGAGAGCCAGGCGACGCCTTCTATCTGCTGGAGTCAGGACACGCTGTTGCATACAAGCATGGAGTGGATCATCCTGTCAAAGAATACGGTCGAGGTGACTTCTTTGGTGAGCTAGCCTTGCTGGACGACAAGCCTCGTGCCGCCAGTGTAGTGGCAAAGGACAATGTCACGGTGGCGAAACTTGGAAGAGACGGATTCAAACGACTTCTTGGGCCTGTAGAGAGTATCATGAGACGTGAAGAATATGAGAATGCAGAGGAAATGGACCCTCTCACTCAACAGAAGACGGTGACTTAGTGGGGGATCGACAGAGAGTAGTGAGCAATTGAATTGCTGGACCGAGCGATTCGACAAGTCCAGATGCAGAAATTCAGTCTCCAGCCGACGACACGGTGAGGGACTCCAAAACTGAGATGGGTTCGAACATGGGCAATGCCAAGTGGGTATTCAGGTGTCTGCAGGTATTTTTGGTTTGTCGATTGAGGCTGAAGCGAGGGACTCGAAGGCATGAATGAAACAATGGCATACCAAGGGCGGCCATCAGCTAATGAACATGACTTATATCGGCATTTTGCAACCACATGTCTTTCTTCTCGGCCTTTCTAGTTGATTTATCCCTGCTGGTAGCTCGAGTAGCACTTCCATGCACGAGTATCGACTCGCCGAGTATTTGTACTTGGAGTCAGCGATTCGCCAAGCAGTGAGGACGAGCCAAGACGAGCTTGGGACGGGAGTCAGGACGAGCTTGGACGAGTCGCCGGTGAGGGGTTGGCGGCACGTGCGGCACGTGCGGCACGTGGGAGGGGAAAGAAACTACGTCAGCATCTCGGCAGAGTTTCCTCAGTCAGTTTGCGTCTGACACCCTCCAGCACCCTCCTCTCCGCTCACTTCCCTGTCTTTTCCGATGACCATCAAAGTACCGGGTACCTCGTAAAGCCACTTATTAATAGCCAATATCTGTAAGATCAGATCAGGCTGACATCTCCTGGGATTCTTTAAATGCTTCGTCCTATCCTCGTCTCACTTCCATTTCCTTTCCTTCTTTTCTTTCTGTCTTGTTGACACAATGGAAGATTTTGCATTGCTCCGTCTCCGTCGGCACCGTTTCCGGCCGTAAATGCCATGCCCACCCCCTGAACTGAAGGCAATGTTGCGATTACTGATCGTATATCACCGTGCGTGATTGGCCTGAGCAGACCGTCACTCAAAGCAGCGGCTTGGTTGGCTCCAATGACTGGAGCACATTGGAGGTTTGGTGACGTCCTTTGACGCCTTTCTCTTGCTGTTTGAATTCATTTTATTCAGCTTGCGCCATTCTTCCTGGATGAGCTACATCGCCATCTCTGCACCGTCTCCCTTTGGCCCGAGGTATCCCCCTACCCAGGTAGCCGACGTTCACTAACCAAATAACTCTGCTTTTCCTGAATTCGAGTGCTTCAGTCTTGCCCGGTTCTTGATCCGTACCGGCCGGATCGTTCTGAGGCAAGGAACTCGTGTGTTCACAAATCCTGTTGGTGTGGCTCCCTGCAGAAGTTGTTGAACAAATTTCCCAAACGATGACGTGACATTGAGGCGGATCAAACAAGTTGCATTTAGATACAGCATCGGCCTGCTTTGAGCGTGAGTGCCCGTGCTTCTTCCAACGCGGACGGCCAGTGAACTTCAGAGCACTCTTTTCGAAAGTGTCTCCAACCATCCCGGACACATTTGGGCGATATATTCTGCAGAAACTCAGCTCCCATACTCCGCTGTGCTCAAAGCTCACGCGTTCCTCCATGGCAGGCAAAGACAAGGACGATTCCACCGCCGAGACGGAGAAGATGGCGGAATTTGACTCGGACAGTTCCTCCGCCCGCTCGCTACCAGTGCCCATTGCCACGCCTCAGCCGGACCTCGAGAAGATAACGAGCAAAGCTTCACATCGAACCTCCAAGAGTGTACGCTCAAATCATGTCCCTACGACAGCGCAGGACTGGGAGGGGGAGGACGATCCAGACAATCCGCTGAATTGGCCCCTGCCTGTTAAAATCTACCATACCTTGGTCCCTGCACTGCAGTGCTTCACAATGTACGCGGGGTGATGATCCCGAATCTGTTTCAGGGAGGCTAATGTGTAACAGTACTTTTGGCTCCTCGGTGTACACTCCCAGTGAGCACGACCCATTCTCAAAATCGGATGGCTTCCTTCGCTGACACTCTTGTAGGCGTTCCAGAGGTTGCTCGCTACTTTGGCGTCAGCCCTACAGCCGCCATAGTCCCTTTGAGTGTCTACGTGATGGGTCTCGGATTTGGCCCAGTCCTCAGTGCCCCTCTCTCGGAAACCTATGGACGCCGCGCAGTATACTTGTGTTTCTTTCCGCCGTCTCTCCTCTTGTCTGTTGGAGCCGGATTCTCAAAATCGTATGCATCTTTTGTCATCTGTCGCCTCTTTGCAGGCCTTCTAGGCTCGGGATGTCTGGCCGTCGGAGCTGGGACCAATTCCGATCTCTTCTCACATCTTCACCGGGCAGTCGCCAGTGCGGTATTTTTGATGGCGCCATTTTTAGGTCCTGCTTTAGGTGTGTCGCCACCAGAAATGCCCTTGGCCATGTTGAGTCGCCAGTTTGCTAACGTTTTTGGCACATGTAGGACCTACGTTGGGTGGGTTTGCCACCATGAAGAAAGGCTGGCGCTGGTCCCAATGGCTGATCCTTTTCTGGGGCGCCATCGCCTACGCTGTCTCCCTCCCTCAGAGAGAAACGTACAAGAAAATCATCCTGAAAAAGCGAGCGGAGAAGCTTGGTCTCCCGCCTCCTCCGAGCCCACTGCCCCCGGGGATGTCGAAACTCCGATTCATTCTGGTGGTCACTATTCTGAGACCTCTGAGGATGTTGTTCACCGAATCTATCGTCGCCTTCTTCAGCACTTACACTGCCTTCAACTTTAGTGTCCTATTCGGATTCTTTGCCGCCTTTCCAGTCGTTTTCCAGTCACCGTATCCCGAGATTCAGATCTACCACTTCAATACCAGTGAATCAGGGCTAGTCTTCTTGGGGATTGGCTTGGGCGTCGTTGCAGCAACCTTTATTTTCATCTTCATCGACCGCTTGACCTACCGGAAGAAAACGCTCAAGAGGCGATCGCAGGGGGATTTCACACCGTTACCCCCGGAAGAGAGACTTTGGGCTGCCATGTTTGGCTCATTTCTCTTGCCGATCGGACTGTTCTGGTTCGCATGGACGGCCAAGAAAGAAATACATTGGATCTCGCCCATTGTCGCAACTATCCCGTTTGGAATTGGAAACATGCTGGTTTTCTGCTCTTGCGTCTTGTATCTCATCGACACCTACGGCCCCTTGACCGGCGCGAGCGCCGCTGCAGCCAATGGATTTTTGAGATATGTCATTGGTGCAGTGTTTCCGCTATTTACAGTTCAGATGTGAGTGATGGGCCCCTCAGCTATTTTTTTTCCAGCTTCCTACCGACATGTACTAACAGGAGTAGGTATCGCGGTATGGGCGTCGCTTGGGCGACCAGCCTGTTAGGGTTTGTCACAGTCGCTTTGTTGCCTATTCCTTGGGTCCTGTACAAATACGGTCCGAAGATCCGACAGCGGAGCGCATACACATTAACGTCGTGAATTGCCCTTCTACCTCGACTGATGAGAGGCAGAACGCTGTCTGAAGAATCATCTTCCCCATGGGGCTTGCTTTACTTGTTGAAGGGACGAAGTCAAGTGTCCCCGTCGCCTTCCAAGAAAGAAAGAAAGAAAGTGTCTACTGGTAGTCACTTAGGACCCATCCCGGGGTTGACGTGTGGTCATGAGAGAATTGTGACCGACCATCACATCGGAGCCGAGTCCCTCCTTGGTCGAGCATGGTCGAGCAGCAAGCCTAGCGCCTCGTTATTGAGATGTATGAATGCGCGCGAGTGTATATATGGATTCGGATAGACATAGAAATACAAGTAGATAATAGCAAACTAGTGACCTGTCACCTGCCAACATCTCGTAGAGCAGAGCAGAGCGGAGCGGAGCGGAGCAAAGCCAGCACTTCCAACTCAACTGAAGGTCAACTCAGTTGGACTATGAATACCCCCTTGAGATCCGCCTCATGTAAAACACAGATGTGTCCTGGTCCAGATATCTCGCCTCCTGTCCCAAGGCCTTGACTTCAAGATTCGAGAAACGGAGCATGTAGGTGGGTGGTCGGGCAGGTAGGTGAAGCCGTCACAAGAGGGGTTGGAGTCCGGAGAAACCGCTGATGTACATGTACATGGATGTATCATATATCGACGTACGGACCCCATGTAGCTGTGGATATGATGTAATGGACACATATAGTCATACAATCAAGTTTGAAGCGACGAGCCTACTCCCTAGGAAGCCTTTCCTCAACTTTTGCAACGTTTTACAACGTTTTACAACTTCTGCGGCGGCGCCGCCACCGTCGTAGAAATGGGACTCGCTCCCGCTCCCACTCCCGCGCCCGCGCCCGCGACCCTCTCGCCGTCCTTCTTCCCGTCAGCGCCGTCCACGGCTTGCCCTTGTTGAAGACCTCGATATACCTTGCGGTGCAGCTCGAGGAAGATGAATATGCAGATCGTGTGTCTGTGGCATAGCGTAGGGGTGGGCGTGTTAGTGGATCTGTGGACTGGTGGCAAAGGGAATGAATGGCAAGGAAGACAAGAATGGGGATAGAAGGGAGTCGGTCGGGTCAAATGAGTGGGTACGTGAACGAGCGAGTAAGGGAGAGAGAGTGTGTGTGAGAAGAGAGAGAGACTTACGGTCCAAGGCGGAGGAAACTAGGAAGCCAACCCTTGAACATCCATCGTGGGCCCTCGTTCCGGGACACGGTCTTGATAATCTCCACAATGCCCGGCTGCTGCGTGCCCGTCGCCGACATGACTCTCGTCTTGATCACGTCGATGGGGCTCGTAACGGTCGCGGCTGTGATGCCCGCCAGGAAAGACGCCGTCAGCTGCGTGGGCAGCGTGTCGTCGCCCAGCGGCGTGTACTGGCGCAGCAGACGCTTCGCGACGTCGTAGCTGGCCAGCTGGCTTGCCGTCTGCACCGCCGCGCGGCTGCTGTTGGGCACCCAGCCGCGGAACCAGCCTCGGAGGCCCTCCTCGCGCGCCATGCGCACCATGCCATCGACGGCGTGCTTGTAGTTGCGCCGCGCGTGCGCGGGAAGCGCCGAGTCGTGCTGCATGCGCACGTTGAGCACGTCGGCGAAGTTGCCCGCCACGCCGCCTGCGAACCCGGAGACCGACGCCATGGCCACGAGCAACGGGAAGCTGGGGTTGCTGCTCGCCCGCTGTTTCATCTCTTCGTACAGGCCGAACCGCACCGTCGCGTACGTCAGTTGGCGGAGCAGCGACGCCGAGATTCCGCTGTAGAAGCCCAGGACCCCCTCAGTCTGGAAGATCCGGACCACTGTACCTCTCATGGTCTTGGGCGCGCCGCTGCCGATGGTTTGAGCCTGCGTCTGGAGCCGGACCTTTTTGAATATCTCGTCAATGCCATGACTCCCCTCTTGTATGTTTGCGCCTGCGTACCTTGACTAGGAGCAGGATGTTAGCTGGTGGGCATATAGTTCTGGCTCAACCCAAGCAAACACAAGTTTTAAACTCACCCAGATCCAACGGGTGCGTAACACACGCTGCCATGCTGCTTGCGCTCCCTCCGAACCAGAATGGGTATCTGATATTGTTGTTCATCTGCCTCTGACCCTGCCCCTGCTTCTTCTCCGACGACGACGTCGACGCTGCCGGCATAATGAGGGCAGGGCTTGATTCTTTCATAGGGGCGCGCATGTCGGCTCAGCGACCCTGGCACAGGATGCTCTAGAGGCGTAACGAACTATCTGTGAACAAAAGAAATGGCCCAGACCAGACGCATTGCAATGGGGCGCTTTCTCTTTTCTCAGGATCTCTCTGGGAAAATAGCTGGCGGTGGTGGTAGCGCCAGTGCTAGTGGTGGTAACGCGGCACCCCTATTACGGAATCTCAGATAGAGCGAAGCAAAGACATCTGTCGACTGAGGAACACGGTCAGCAGGGGAAAAAACGAAAGGATACGAGTCGTCCGATGTCATATTATCCTAATCCTCGCTTTTCACCTGGCGACTTGCCCTTTATTGTAGTGTATGGAGCGAGATCCTCCGGCGCAAGGCTTTTGACAAAGGCGCGCCGCCCTACCAGTAGTCAGTTCTGTTCCAGACATTAGCCCTAGCCTCCCCGCCCGCCCTTTCCTCCAGCAGCAGGTCCGGTCCTGGTATTCGCGCACCGGCCGGGAGAGGGAGGGGGGCGTACGCCTGCGCGGAATCTCCTTCTTTTCGTTCTTGCCTCGCCTTCCCGTAGGGATTCCCCGAGGTTTTGTCGAGTAGGCCCTGCCTGCCCTGTCTGCATACTGCATGCACTAGGCCAGGATTGGGGGTGTTGCTTGGTTGGGATTGGGATTAAAGTCGTACTCAGTCGGCGTTCCTTTAGTTAGCTTGCCGATTGGTCTTGTGGGGAAATGTCATTTCAATTCATTTCGGGCCCTCCTCTTCTTGTGCTCTGTAGGTATGTATATCTCGGGATCCAGATACGGCATTGTTTGGCGAAAGCATTTGACGTCGATGAGATGATATTTGGTTGGTTGGGCTTTATCTGTCTGTCTGATCTCCTGACGATTAAAACCCGGCACCAGGGATTCTGAATTGATAAACTTGCTCGCTGGCAACTACCCCTACAGGTAGCTAGCTAGCAAGGCTAGTTAATATGGGGGCGTCTGTGGGTCGCCGAAGCGAATGAGGTACAAGCAACAAAATAGCTACCTATGTTGCACATTTGCTCCATATTCCGTATATAGCCTTTCCGCACAGCCGCAAGCCAAGGTCAATCATCAGACTCGCTAGACTCAATCAAGAATCCCTTGGGTCGGACTCGACCACATTAATCGGCCAGCCCTACGCGCATACGAACACGAGGGATGTGTTGGGCGAAAAGCCACTACGGCAGTCGGTTCTGGCGCACATTACACATGCTCTGTACTATGAGAGCAGCAAAGCACAGTATGTGTGGACTATAGTACGTGTGTACCCGTGCCTACAGTAGGAGTCTACGACGGCCGGGTGGTAACTTCAAAGTTACCTCTGATGCTCGGCCCCTTGGGGCCCCTCCGGTGGTATCCTTTGCATTTTCTATAGACAAACAACTGCAGCCCAGCAGCTGGGCCGTAGAAATTGGACAATAATCTCGTCCAGAACTTTTTCTATCGTACAAAACACACTCACAATGCTCGACTCTTGTCGGGGGCGGGGGCTCTACTTGACCCAACCCTTGGGCCCAGCCCAAGTGCCCTTGACCATGGATTTGTAGTAGACCCAGGGGAAGAAGTCCTTCTTCAGATGGTAGAACGCCCGGCGAGGGGTTGCCTGGTCCACGCCCAACAAGCGCCCAAACGTCTCGTGTGGCTCTCCGCCGTACTTGAACTCGGCGAGCATGACTTTGCCGTACTCGGTCAAAAGCGGGCACGACGTATATCCGTTGTACGTCGCGGTGGGCTCCTTGCCTTCAAGGGATTGCATCAGATTCTCAACCAGAACGGGCGCTTGGGCGGTAATCGCTGCGGCGGTCTTCGAGGTGGGCAGACTCGAAGCATCGCCCACCGACCAGACGTTGGCATACTTTGTGTGACGTGTGGTGGTCTCGTCCACATCGACGAAACCAACTTCGTTAGCAAGGTCACTCTTCTTGACGAATTCGTGGGGTCCCATCTTCGGCACGACGTGCAATAAGTCAAAGTGCATCTTGACCTGATCTTTCTTATCGAGACGAGCAAAAATCGCCGTGTTGCCCTCGACCGCGACGAGGTCGTGCTGAAACAGCCCTTCAACACCTCTCTCTATCCGCAACTCGTTGAGCTTGGCGCTGTACTTGGGCACCCCAAACATGCCCGGAAGGGCAGTGGCGAAGTTGATTTGAACCGGTGATCTCTCGCGGTTGCTGATGTCGTACAAGCCTGCCCGCTTCCAGTAGTCCAGGGCAAGCCACATGATTTTCTGCGGAGCCCCGGCGCACTTGACGATGCCAGCAGGCTGGGTGAAAATTGCGGTGCCCTTTCGAAGGCTCGTAACGGTGTGAAACACCTTGTCGCAAGTGTTGTAGCCATAGATGGACGAGACTAAAGAGTTTGGATCGGCAAGAGCTTCAGGTAAGCCCTTGATGGAGTCGAAGTTGACTGTGATGCCCGGCACGACGACAAGTTGCTCGTAGTTGAGGCTGTCGCCATTGTTGAGCGTGAGCAAGTTCTCCTTGGGTGAGAAGGTGGTCACTCCCTCGTTGTAAAACTTGAGTTTGGGATCAATCAAGGACTCCAGCGGCTTTCGCAGCTCCTCCTTGGTTTTAAGACCGCCACCCACCAGCGTCCATCCCGGCTGGTAGTGGTGCCACTGGGCCGGATCGACGACAGCAATGTCGTTTTTGGCAAACTTGCCCGTCCGGAGGAGTTGATGGCTGACAGCGAGACCAGCGCTTCCACCACCAACTACCACGACCTTGTGATTCCGAGTTGCCGGACTCACTGAGGAGACTGTCGCGAAATTTCTGCTTGAGGGGACAATCTGCGCGGTGAGGACCGAGAGTCCATTGCTACAAGCCTTGGACGTCACTCTGGAGCGAAACATGGCCATGGCGGAACTGCGGCGGGATCCTGATGGGCTGTGATGAGAAGAGAAAAGCAAGACCAAAGCCGTGAAAGAGTTTTGCGAAGTCAGCGAGGCAGAAATATCAATCATGTGACGGAATTTTCGGGGTCAGCGTAAGGTAATATACTTTGGATTTCCATCGGAACAGTGGCCCCGTGTTTGGTCCTGCGGGCCCAACGGCCGGAAGGATCCTCGAGCTAGTCGCCGACATGATCCATCTCTGATCACCGGGTGGTTCGACCAGCCGTTTGCCACGCGGTTGGCCTTGGGAAAGACATGCGAGGCTCACGACGTTCAGGGGCAAATACGGCGCAATACGTCAAGGAGTCTGCTGTGACCGGGTGTGATAGCCGTGTAATGACAGGTGTGCCAAGGCCGATAGAATGACGGCGATGTGGACTGTTAAGGGTTCTCACGCTAGTAATGTTTATGGACTAGTGCGAATAATCGGCGTGTGGATCCCCTTCGTCATCTTCTTCCTCTTTGGGGACTATCAGCCCAACTTCAAATACTATACCTAGACGTCTTCGCTCCAGCCTTTTCACTGTCGGCAAAACCACAGCAGTCCCCCAAAGATACCATGATGCAGTCGCTCCGACCTCACATCACCAGCAGCTCCCAGGTCACCAGGAGGTTGCTGTTGACACCAACCGCCGCCACCCCGGCTTCAACCTTTGTCAATTCCAGCAGGCAACTTCGCCTTTCATCCCACCAGGCGGAGCACAAGGCTACATACACCACCCAGGCGTCTTTGGGAAATGGATCTGTCCGCAACGCTTTCCCGAGAAGAGCACCTGTCTGTGGACCTTCTGGCCATCAACCTGCCCGACAGACTCAGTGGGCCGTCAAGAGTCGAGCTTTGTACAGTACCGAAGCCCCGGTGGCCCCGGAACCCATTGTTCACGATGTCTTTGAGACCAAAACAGGCACATGGCAGTACGTGGTCGCGGATCCGTCCACGCTGACCGCTGTCATTATCGACCCTGTCTTGGATTATGATCCAGCCACCCAGGTAGTGACTACCCAGAGCGCCGATGCTTTGATTTCGTTGGTCAAAGAAAAGGGCTATACTGTCGACATGATTCTCGAAACACATGCCCATGCGGACCATTTGACCGCAGCATCGTATCTCCAGAATCACCTTGCCCAAGAGCAAGATCAAATTCCCATTATCGGCATCGGGAAGCGCATCGGCGCTGTGCAGAAATTGTTTGCCGAGCGATACGGAGTTCCCGCCGACGAATACGAGGGCATATTTGACAGACTATTTGAGGACGACGAGACATTTAACATTGGGGAACTGAAGGCAACGGCAATCCACCTCCCTGGTCACACTCCCGACCATCTTGGTTACAAGATCGGAGGTGAGTCTTCACATCGAGCCCCACCAGTTTGCCTTTTTTGGTCCGGCTGACATACATTTGCAGATAACGTATTTTGCGGCGACTCCATTTTCCATGCGGACATAGGCACCGCACGCTGCGATTTCCCTGGTGGCAGCGCTAGAGATCTTTTCAAGTCGGGGCGAAAACTCCTTGCCTTGCCAGATCACGTAAAAATCTGGACGGGACATGACTATCCGCCGGCGGGGCGCGATGATCCCGTGCCATGGATGAGCGTAGAGCAGCACAGGCAACGGAACAAACACTTGAAGGACGGCACTACCGAGGAGGAGTTTGTGACTCGGCGGAACGAACGGGACGCGGGGTTGGCAGAGCCCAGGCTAATGCACCAGTCCTTGCAAATGAATATCCGGGCAGGCAGGCTTCCTAAGGCGACGCAGCAAGGGTTTCGGATGCTCCATCTTCCCCTAAAGCCAAAGACGTTGGAGTGGTGATCTGGCTGGACTGTTGTACTATGAAGTTCTGTCCATATTTCCGCCTTTTTTTGTCGATGTCGATGGAGTTTGTATCACCGCTCCTTCCAAATGTTTGGAGGATCAGTCTTCTTCCTGCCCTCAACGGTAGAAGTGAGATCATGGTCACCAGTGGAAAGACGCAGGTCTCCAGGCCCCATCGGTGCTACGATCATGTAACAACTAGGATTTTAATCTCAATGAATTTAGACACCCCTTGCCTCCAGTAATACGGAACAATGATCAGCTTTGGGCCCCGCCGGGGTCTCACCTTTGCTTGTTACAAGCAACGAAAAATAGCTTTGAGACCCACTGACGTCGCCATGCATTTTTTGATGAAATGTTGGTGGAACCAGTGTCCATGGCCGAAGAGCGGTGCGACTTCGCAGCATTTGGGCCACGTGCGTGCCATAACAGCTCCGGAATAACAATCTCTAGGCTTCTCAAGTACGCTTCAGACAGTGTCATCCGACACCAAAGTGCTTGAAAACAAGAGCTCTGACACTGCCAAGTTTAGCGTATCATGGTGGGTATTTTCAGACAACCCAGAGCAATCATGGTGCCTGCACTGATATCATTTAGATCCCGGACATCCGTGAAAGAGTCCTTTACCTTCCCGCAGATACGAGAGCTAGGGAGTAAAACCTGGAACAAGGCGCCCAAATCATGTGGAGCCGTCAACTACTAAGCATCCCCGGTCTTCTCGTATCTGACTCCCCTTTCAATCTTTCGCAGCCTGCCATGAAAACCAACAGCATGTGGCGAGCCTAATTTCTCTGCGGGAATTTGCCAATTGTTCAGAGACTGAACAAGTCGATCTTTCGAGCCGAGGTCCCAGGGGACAAATAGTGGAAATGGCACGATCGTCACACCACAATGGTGGCTCCTTATCATGGAGAGGAAGAAAAGCCAAGGAAAAATTCCAGAGTTCCCACAGAAAATAGTCGATCTAAATTCTCATGGTCCCCGATCATATTCGCTGGACTGGGAATCTTGCAGGAGCAGATTCTGGCAGGTCCCCGAGGCCAGGTCCAATCTCCAATTTCCCGGAGTTGAGCCAGTTCTTGCCCAAACGGGCGCAATCCTGCTCTTTCGGCTGCGGAACTGCTTCCGCCATTGACTTATCCTTGAAACTTCCAAAATTTGGTATATTCAGGGTGTTTTTGGACTCTTGGGGCTCGAAAAAAGGCGTCAAAATCATCAGATATACACAGAAAAGACGAACAATAGTTCGACGACGTCTATAGAAGCCTCCTCATACGTTATCCGTGCATGAAATACCCATCTCCGGCCAAACGCAGCGAATCTGTTGGCCAGATCACTGTCGCTAGAGCCGCTAGTGCTCGTTAGCGCGGATCACGCCATACCTCCTCGTCGATCCCCCTTTCTGCCTGTAGCCTTGTCAAATGCCAGTTCTCTCTGCTGGGAACGGGGTCTATGGCCCATTTCCCAATGTCTGTTGACCAGTACCTAGTAGACGAGAAGGGCGGTACCAATGGCGCTCCCAAACATCGAAGCCACAGTGACAAAAGAGCTCAGCCCCATCGCAGACATGCCACTGATCCCGTGCCCGCTCGTGCATCCGCCAGCTAGCCTGGCCCCGAATATCACAGCAAAGCCGCCCGCGAGGGCAGAGAGGAGAGAAACATCTCCAGCCGAGGAGACGGCCAGTGCTTCGAGTGTCGCGGGCACAAGGTGCATCGTCAGTCGTGCGCCGGCGACCAATCCCGCCACGAAGACGATGCTCTCCATACCGGGCGCCGCCTTGCCCTCCACCAACCACCAGAACAGCTTGCCGAAATCTTCATACGCGGAGCTCACGCCGACTGGCTTCTTCGCCAGCGTCACCGAGGATGCCTGGCCCAGGCCGATCAGCAGCCCGCCCGTGACGGGATGGAGTAAGTAGTGGTGGCCTCGCGGCGCGTACAGGGTGACCAGAGCAATGATGGTCAGCATTGCAACCTCGTATGTCAACACCGTCGCTTTTGTCGACCACCCCGTAGCCTCCATCACCGTGCTGCTCTTCTTGCCACCCGGCGGCGGCGGCGGCGTCGTCGTCGTGGCCTGGCATATCCGCCTCTCCTTCCACTTGACGAACGCGATCCCAGCGACCAACCCGCCGAAGATCAAAAGCCTGCTCCGGCCAACCTCTGCCGCGGCCTGCACGAGCATCGTCCCGGGACACGCGCCCGTGAGCGCCATGCCGACACCCAGCATGGCTCCTCCAATCACGTTCCCATCATATCTCCCGAACCAGCCAAACGTGCTGCCCGGTTTCACAGACAGTTTGTTGTTATTGGTGGCGTGTTGTCTGGAATTGTGCAGCGCAATGACTACCGCGCTGGACGCCGACGCAGTCAGGAATGTAAGCAGCATGTGGAAGTCCGTGAGTCGGAATTGGTCCTTGATTGTACGTGGAGAGGCGACGCTGGAGAGCGTCAGGGCGGACCCGAAGACGAGGCCCGAGGCCAGCGCGGCGGTGAGGGCGGTCATTGTTGGTGACTTGTTTGTCGTTTGTTCTTCGTTGTTTGTCGAGGACAAGGATGAAGATATGGATGAAGATGAGGAATTCACCTTTGTGCTTGCACGGTCAGGATTTTGCGAGAGGATAGAGAAAGGGATATACCTCACAACAGCAAGATACGACGACGATATTTCCCGTTGTGATCGGGTTCTTCCTGAGCATTTTCATCCCCGCTAGCCGCTTGGGATGGTGGCATATGTATAATAATACTCCATAGCGGGGATCACAGGGCAATTTTTTTTCCCACTCTACAAACCCGATTGCCGCACCATTCCCACCTCTACCTTGCCAACTGCCAGCCAAGTTTTCTTCGCAATAGCAATAGGAACGGGCCCCTTTGCTCGGCTCTCGGTGGGATACGCGATCAGCAAGGGCTTGGTTGAGGATCGGGGACTGCACAGGTACTGCCTAGACTGGTCCCCGACGGTGGAGAATCAAGGAGGGAAAACAGTTACTCGTACTCGAGAGGTGAGGTTGGAGCGTTATGTTGTTTAACGAGCAAATGTGTGAAGCATTCATTTTTTATTTCCTTTCTTCTGAGCGTGCTGCCCTGAAGCGTTTGAGATGGCAGTTTGTCGATAATCCGATCAGTGGTCTTTCAACATTTCAAAGATTGCAGCGTAATAATGAAAGAACAAGCGGGAAGAAAGCATGATTTTTGATAACGTCTATAAATCCGACCCGGAGAAAGCAATGCGAGTAATGGAAATGAGTTGGAGAGCCTGGACCGCCCCTTAATTGCTAGCGTTCATCGTCGGTCAATCACTCATTCTTGCGCAGCGCACGGCGGCCGACACGGCTTGCCCAAGATCTATGTGGAAGAAAGGTCGGTCAAGGCCGAAAACTGGTCGGAGCGGCGCCGCTTTCGTGAGTGCTGCTGTGCCATCTTCCCCCAGTGACCGAACCCGTTGCTCGCAATTCAGGATCACTTCAAGGTCGTCTTCATTGTTTTCGTCCGACTTCACTCTTTCTACTTTGCTCTCGCAGTCTGTCTTCGCCAGCTGCTCCTTCTTTTTGGCCTCAGCGCAAGCGTCTTCAGGCACTGCCCCGGCGAAGGAGCTTGTGAGAGAGTATACTGGGGTCCAATTGCCCAGTGCGAACTGGCTTCTTTTCGCAGGATAGCCAAATCCTGCTGTTGCAAGAGCTCGTCGAGACCATCGGTTCCACAGCGCCGCGAAGTGCCAATCAACCAGGGACGGGGCTGCATGGCGGTCCAAGGCATTCCTTGCGTCGATCAGTCCTTGGACACCTGTGATATCGATGTTGTTCACTGATGAGCAGTCGAGAACAATGGCTCGCAGGATCGGTAAACTTGTGTCTATATTTTGCGATGCTCTTGATTCGCACCATAGCAGTTGGTGAGATTTCACATTCTCCTCTTTCGTCGTGCGTCGAGTGTGTTTGAGAATATAGGCGGTGAGATTGTTTAGGTGCAATGTTTTATTGAGGTAGTTGAAGCCCTCGGGAAAGCGATACACAAACACTCCTGGATAAGGTGACTGGACTATTACCTCCGGATTAGAAGCGTCCTTCCGGTCCATGGGGATATAGGCGTCTCGAACTTCTATCTCAGACTGATTCTGTTGAGGTCTCTCGTTTTGCGCGTCTCCGTCAGCGCCAAGATCGACGGCGACCTGCCAAATTGGTACCCGCCCAAGGAATTGTCCGTTTGTGCGAGCGATTCGAACAATTAGGAGGAATAACGAGAGACCGATAGTGGTATAGATGGATGTTTCCAGCCCGGTAAATATGGCAACAACGACCCCAACGATCCAGATCAGGAATTCGAAGGGGGAAATTCGCCAATATTTGTAGCATGTTTTCGGAGACGCCACCAAGTTCAGCACAGCGTGGATGATTAGGCCAGCGAGCGCCGCTCTGGGGATGTAGTAAAAGACGGCCGTCAGCGCATAGAGTGCTAGCAAGAGAACGAGGGCGCTGAAAAGACCGGCAAGCGGAGTCTTGACTCCAGCTTTGGCGAGAACGGCAGAGGCTCCGAAGGACCCAGTACAGGCATAGCCACCCAGAAAAGGACCCAACAGATTTGCCGTACCTTGAGCCATGATCTCTTGGGATGGGATCACCTGGTAGCCAAATTGCTTGCCAAAATTCTTCGCAATCGCAATATGCTCGATCACCAGGATGACCATCATAATCGGAGTCTGTGGAATAACAAGTCGGACTAGCTCAGCGTCGAGCCTTGGGACTCCTGCGTGTTTGAAACCTGGCCACCCGGTCAGAACCACTGAAGAGGTCGAGGCTTCCGCGACATACCTGACTGTATCGTTCCCACGATCCGAAACTCACTCTCGCCCTTGGGCAATCCTCGATTCACCAGCCAGCTAATGAAGGTATAAAATAGCATGGCAAACGACAGCCGCAAGCACGAAATCGTTGCCCACAAGCGTTGATGTGAAGGTTGGCGGACCTCCATTTTTGCACAAATTCTCTTGATCAAGTCCAGCAGTATGAGACAAGAAATACCGATAGCAGCGTCGAGCTGAGTGTTTCCAAGGTTTCGTAGCGAGTTGATAATTACCTTGTACGGCTCTTCTCGTGTATTGATCCCAGGAATGCCCATCATGACGGGAAATTGAGTCGACATGATCGTTATGCTGGCAGCTGTGATAAATGCAGAAATCGGGATGTATGGTATGACTTCGACGACCCATCCAAGTCGTAGCAGGCCAATTGCCAGGAGCATCGCCCCAGTTATGAATGAGAGTGTTTTTGCAATCTCTTCATTGGTGTAAACTCCTGGGTGTGAGTCCTGTATACTAGTAATCACATTGCCAACGAGGAGTGAACCGACGGCGGTTGTCTGAGAGGTATGTGAGAAATGGCACAAGAATCAGTTTCGGCTGCTACATACACCAATGACGATATCTTTGGAAGTGCCAAACAGCCAATAGGTTGCGGCCCCCGCGAAGGACGTGTACAAGCCAAAGTCCGGGCTTAACGTGGCGAGCAGGGCGTATGCCATTGCTTGGGGCACAACCACCAGGCCGACTGTAAGTCCTGCTATGGAGTCTGCCAATAACCATCGCCAGTTGTAGCGAGGTACCCAGCCGATGGAAGGGAAGAGGCTGTGAAGATATTGGTATGTGCCTTCTTTCGTAGGCACGAGCGATGCGAGCCATTCGGATGCGGATGGTTCATGTTCAAGGTAGTAGTTGGGAATCGCCTTTGTCGTCTTTTCTGTAAGTTCTTCCAGCCGGTTCCTGGCGCTTTGCTGGGACTTGTCAACCAGTATAGCCTGAGAAAGCTTGTGCAGACCAGGAGATAACTTCATCTTTGTGGTTGTGCGAAGAGTAGACAAACTATCCAGCCGGTTCGATCGACCTGTTCTTTGTCTCAGCCGTGCTCAAACGCGCCCACTTGTCTCTTTAGTATAAAAGTTCTGCACACAGTAGAATTCATCGAAGACAAGGCTTTCCCTCCCTCCAGCACCGGAAGAGCGGTCGGTGTCTGCGGGTCGGTGTGTAGTCATGCCATTTTTCTTGGCTGTCGGGGAGTGCGATATGGCAATGCGCATGGTTTCCCCATTTCTGGAAGGACAGCTTCAAACCCATTCGGTCTAGAGTGTGTTGATCCCCGACTTTGTTCGTCTTGTCTCAGAGAAAAAGTTGGTTAGAGGCATTGCTGGGTGGATACGATCGGATGTCGTCAAAAGACAAGACCGGCTGTCGGAGAATCATGAGATTTCCATGGAATCATCTTGAAATGACAGTGGCGATGTCCATCTTGGTGGCCACTGGGAGCAAAAATTCTCCATCGTCGACCGGGTGTCGTGAACTCGGCAGTCGGGGGACAGATGGCACTCGGCTGGCCCAAGATCCATCATCTTGGGATCTTGGGATCTTGGACATCCCTCAGTACTCGTGTAGAACCGGAAGGGGTTTGGGCGGAAGGACCATGATACACCAGAAACGAGAAGATTGAGGGACGGCAAAAGCGGAACCATAGCCAAAAAGAGTGCATCTCCACGTGACCTCCAATTACCATCTTGTCTGTGCTTCTCCTGCTCGTCCCCCTTCGCATCGCCTACAACCCTCTAGGAGAATGGCTGGTACCATACTTCATTCTACATATTGTTCCAAACGTGTCCCATCAACCGGTTCGCCACATCCCTGACATAACTGCCCGTCGCGCCCATCCCATCATTGAGATCATTCACGTTGACCCTGCCCGAATTGTACTCTCTCAACGCCGCGTACCAGTTTCCCTGATGGTGGAAACACTGCTTCAGTCCATCTCCGGACTTGGTCCCCTCAATTCCATCCCTGACCATCTGCAGTATACTCTGCGCGGCATGTAGAGGATTGAACTCCGCGCCGTTGTGAGATTGCATTATCCCCGGATTTCGAACGGTACCGTCTGGCGAGACCGTGGTGCGGACACGCACATTCCCACCGGACTCCTGCATGATGGTGCAGAGGACGACGCGGACGTCGACTTGGGATTCGCGGGCGACAGTTTCGATAGCGGTCTTGATGTCGGCGATTTCGGCATCGGAGTCATGGTATTTCATTAACTTGGAGTTGCTATTCCAGAGCGCAGAATATGAGGCCCACTGCGAAGTGTGCGGGAAGCTTGAGGCGGGTCCACTGTAGTTGGCATAGCCGCCGCCTCCATTCCCACCGCCGCTGCCACCTGGGAGACTTGCGGCGAGTTGCTGAGCCATGACTTGCTCGCCTCTCGACAAGGGGCTAGGACCCTTGATTACCTTGTTGATAGAAATTTCGGAGGACATGCCTGGATTGTCGGAATGAAGATCTTGAACAGATGTGCCGAGGATACGCGCGACGTCACTGAGGTTGAACACCAGTGCCAATGTTTTGATCGGCAAGTTGATAACTTGTCCGACTTCCAGGTCATTGGCCTCGATGTCTGGGTTGGCAGCCAGCACGGCATTGAGATCGAAACCCTCACGCGAAGCAATACCACTGAATGTATCACCACTTTGGATTTTGTAGGATCCGATCAGCGTGCCAGCTACTTTGTAGCTCATCTGACTATTGCCCATTGGCGCTTGGGATGCCATGGTGTTAGCTCTGAGAGATGATTCTGGTGATTCTGCTGAAGATATATATTCACACGAAGGCTGGTCGACGACATGTGGGATGAGAAGGAAGGATCAGATATATATATATATAAGCCTGTGGTGTTAGAAGGTAGTAAGGTTGGACATAGCTGACCTTTTGGTTGCCTGTGTGTCCTCCGCCATCCCCACACGGGAACAAGCAAAAATCTCTGTTGGCCAAAGATTTCAGCTCTTTCATTTAGTAGCCTCACCGGTCATTCGGATCAATGCGTCGTCGTGTCTGAATAGGAAGCCAGGTGATGGACGACTGACTCCCGTCCTCGGCTGGCGGCATGCGTGTGCATCGCGCTCTGAATAACCACCTCTCTGCAAATTAGATCACGTTATGATGATGATAGAGCAACAGGCAGCTCGACGCGAGGCAAGGCTGCACTTTTGGACCTTCAATACTTCTGTGCGGACTTCTAGATGCGAAAGGACAGTGATATTCGACCCTGCATAAGTCCCGAGCGCCGAAGCCGGCTGCGTGCATACCGGTTTGGGGTCAGCGGAATAAGTAAATAAGACTCTTCATACAAAGAGCCTAGTTCAAGTAACATCGATACAGACGTCAGCTTTCACATAGGTATGATCCGCGAATGAACATCTTGTAGAGATTGATACAACATGTTTCGAGTAAGCCTAGTTTGCGTGTGATAAGAAAAGCTCCTTTGCACTCAAAACGAGAAAGCAATGAATAGATCGCGCCTCGCCTCCACGGTGGCTCTGTGGTTAGTACGAGTATGGCTTCAGACCTAACAAGCAGCGCATAAGCATTTTGAGCAGATGTCTTCAGCTGTTCGGTACGAACAGTCCAAGTCCGCGAGGCTTGACCTCAGCACTGTGAGGCCACTATGAGGCGCGTAAATGCGAAATGTCGACTCAGATAGTCTGGTTCGCGTGCTCAGTACAAGGCGGCGACGACATCTAGGACGATAGCGCCGATGCCACAGAGGATACTTCGATACACTCGCACTTCGAAGGTCACATTATTCGTCAGGGAAAGACGACACAGGAAGTATGGATTTTGACTAGGGTACCGTTTCAGCTGGTGAGCGCTTACCCTAGGCCGTGTCTATCCTTCGGCCTCTATGGCCTAAAGTGCCTACAAGTTGAAATGAACATTCAGCCCTTCTTGTGCATGGAGATCTTGGCGTCGAAAAAGGCGGCGTATCGGCGTGGGCGGGCGATATACAATTGCCACGCGACAAGAGAACTCAGGGGAGAGAGGCGATGATAACCGGTTTTTCGCGCAGCTTGCAGGAAGAAAGCTTACAGTTTCCGGTCATCGCGCTCGGGCATCAGAGAGAAAGAGACTCTAGAATGGCAAAATAGATCTCGAGCCAGCTTCAGCCTTCATTGTTACGTATCGCTATATCATTAAGCGCCCCGATCACGATTTCCGTTTCCCGCCTGTCCTTCCTTTAAAACTCCCCTCAAAGCCCGGCCTCCTGACTTTGCCTTGCTTCGAGTGCTTCTCCTCCTTCCTCTTGGCCAAGTTTTCTACCCTTTTCTTCTGTTTTGCGTCTTGCGCCTTCTTCACTCCTTCCAATCTCTCATTCCACTCTCTCTCACTCTTCTTTTTCTGACCCTGTTGCCTTTTTAATGCTTTTTTAAGAAGAGAAGTGTTGTCCCGGACATGTTGGCCGTCAGCTCGCCGTTTAGCATTTAACCACATATCCTTTTCCTCAATATCGCGGCGCTTCTCCTCGTCCAGACCTGCCATACGGGCTTTTTTGGCTTCTGCGAGTTTGAGTTCTGTGGCAGTGTCACGCACGCCTTTCCTTTTGTGTCCTTCCACAGCAGAGGTTGATGAGGGTTCGAAATGTGTGCCGTCTTCGAACGCGATGCGGCCAAACATGAAGTTGTTGGCGGAGTTTGAGTTTGGAGGGGAGCCACTGTTGTCGCCGATCATGGGAGAGCGAGGTGACGCAAGCAGAGAGCCAGAACCACCAGGCGAGAAACGCCTCGCCATCTCCTCATCTTGACGGCGAGCCTCTTCTTCCTTTTCTCGGCGTTTTTGTTCCTTCTTGGCTGCCTTTTTTGCCTCTTCCTTCTGACGTCGTTGCTCTAGCAGCTCTTGTCGGTTCTTCGGCGGACAACCATCGCCGCCGTCGGCTTTACGTTCTGCACGAAATTGGGATATCGCTTCTTGCAGCCTTTCTCGGGGCGTTTTGTTCACCATGTTGTCGCTGGCCGATGGCAATGTCGTTGGACGCGGATCCAAATGTGCAGGTTTGATGGTCTCGTCGACCAATGTGGGCTGCACAGATGATGTCGATGATGTCCCGGACTCGTGCTGCGGGGAGAAGACCTCTTCTGGTTCATCTTCTGAAGAAGCTGTGGAGGGCGAGCTGTCCCGCCGAGTGGCCGCCCCAAGATCAACCGGGATCTGGAGATTTAGTTCCTTCTGCACTTCTTTCGGGATTTCATTCTCAGGAGCATTTAGTTGTTCCACTTCCTTTTTCTTAGCCTTTTGTCGTTCCACCTTCTGCTTGGCCTTCTCTTTTCTCTCTTTCTTCCGTTGTCTTCTTGCGGCCCTTTCCTCTGCCTTCCGGCGTCCTTTGTCTTCTGATGTGTCGTCAATGTTCTGGACATCAGTTGTTTGCTCTGAATCTTTGCTGTCGGTCTTTCGCTTTTTGGGTTTTGAGGCCTGTGCATCCTGGATAGCTTTCGGCTGTTCCATTTCGCTACCTTCGAGCATATTTGGGCTTGTGGCAGGCTCATCTTCTTCGGAGTCTCGCTTTCGCTTCAACGCGGCGGCAGCGGCTCGCTCATCCATAATGTCCTTTGCACTTTTCCAATTGTCAGGGTCTAATTTGGCCATTTTTGCCGCCCGTTTCTGCTCCGGGGTTTGTTTTTTCCTCTTCCATTGATCCTGCATAGAGTATGAGTGAGGCAGCTGTGAGAGATGATGATTTTCGCGGTACATACGCTAACATCCTCTCCATAATAGAGCTTTGCTGGGATGAGGGACAATAGACTGTCAAAGGACCGTGCATGGCTTTTGAGCCGTTCCTATAACGAATCAGTTGAGATTTCCAACCGTGGCAGAGGGCGGTGAGATATACGGCCAATTCGTCAGCGTCGGTCATGATTGCTGGCAGTCCCCACTCAACTCAAACCTCTTCACAGCTTCCTCGCGGCACTGTTCTCTGTTGCCGTTGCGTGTCTGTTTAGGCAGAGGCACAAAGATTCTGCAGGATCTCGAACATCTCGACTGGCGGGTGCTAGTGGAGAAACACGAAGCGCAGGCAAGGTGAAATCTTGGCGGCTCAAGACGAGGTAAATCAACGCCGGGCTCACCTCGGCCCTCACCCGACCGGCGCCGCTTTTAAAGTCGCTCACCTCCCACTCACCTCGCGCTCACCCTTCCACTCACCTCTACTCACCTCTACTCACCTCTACTCACCTTTCCCTCCGCCACGACCCTCCCTCGCCCTGCTCGACCATGATTTCGGCCATGGCGCCAGACAGGGGTCCCGCGTCCGCAAACGAAGAGTGTCACTATTCTCGGAGGCGTCGAAGCGGGTCGTGGGTGCTCTCCCCTCGACTTGCCTGCGTCGCAGGAAGATGTCCCCTCGGAGTATGAAAACGGGCCCCCCTCCCGCTGGGAGGGCGTCCCTGAAGGCCCTTTGCAAAATATTCACCTCTTCCACGCCCTCGAGGAGCGTCTTTGTCCCTCCAGGTTCCATCCTCTACATTGCTTCGCGATTGACCGATCTCTACCGACTTTCCACCCGCCATCGTGAGGATGGCCCGCTCCCGAGTGCCACGCACTGCGGACGAGCTCAGGGCTCAAGCGGTGGCCAAAGGCTACAAAAGAGGCGTGCACACCAAGAAGGACAAGCTTCGCAAGCAAGGGACGCATAACAGCACAACCAAGAAGAATCAAAACGCGACCTTGCGTCGTTACACTATGTATGGGCCGCCTCTGCACCCCCTTCTGCCCCCCTTCTCTTAGCCGCCTATATTCCTGTACCTACCCAGGAGTATGTCGCTGTGTCTACTAATTGATCTACACAGTTGGACGCTTCTGGCATTACAGGACGCTGCCGCCGAGCAAGGATTACCGCCTCCCGACGAGGAAACAGCTCGAGACCACTGTCTTCGACTTGGGTTGCAAGCACCGGAGTTGGCGACCGTGAAAGACTTCATACGTTTCTACGCCACCACAAGCAACCCTCGACTCGACGAAGAACTTCCGACGGTCGACTCAATCAACACTGTGGCTGAGTGGTTCTTTGCGGGTTTCGCACGAGTCACCGGAACTGAGATACAAGAAGAGGACCGAACGGAAGTATATCATGTAAGTGAGCGGAATGCTTTTATTCCTCAAAGGTGACGAGGGCTCATGATTGACAGTTTGTCCGGACAACGCTGGTGGAGGAAGGGGTGGTAGTTAACAAACACCGACTGAAGCATAACTTTAGCGAGGAATCCCTTGTACGCGTCCATCGTACCCTCTGGACTAAGGACGATTTGATCTTCATCCCAGAGCGATATAGGATCCAGACTACCTTCATCACTAACGTATACTGCTGGACGGGTGCCAGGCTATCCGCTTTCTTCACGGGCGGCCTTCGCTATGAGGTGAGAGTAGCTTCGTTTCGTCCGCTCAAGCGCCAGAGCTAATGTCCCTAGGACACTGAGATAGTGCTACAGCGTGCCGGAGACGGCCAACCATGGGCGGCCACTTGGAAGCTTAATCAGCGCTGGGTCAAGAATAACCGTGACCCTGAGAACATCGTGTGCGTAGCTCCAGAACCTCCCCGCTGACCACTTCTCCTCTGGAGTCCTTTTTATGTCTCTTTACCTACCTCACCACCGTCTCCCTGAGTGACTCAATACCTGACTTTGAATTGGTCCTCTAGATTTGGAAGTGCCCACCGAGAGCACAATAAGTTTATCTTCAACGAGACCGGCTTTCTTATCATGATGGCTATCGCCGACGGGGCCTTATTTGGAGTTAGCTCGATTGAAGACCTCCTGCAAAAAAGGATACTCCCAGGGGAGAAGGTCTTGCACCTGAGATACAATGAATCGGCTTTGAAGAAACCTATTCTTCGAAAATGTAAAATGAGTGGCGAGGTTACGGACGAACCTATGCCTAAGTCGGCGTTCGTGGCCATTTGGAAGAGCAATTGTTCTAACGCCGACTTTTTCGAGATCCCCACGATTCACGCAGTCCGACGGAGCCTGGGTCATCAAGTTGAGAGTAAGTCTCTCTGCCGCTCTTTGAAATTTCAATACTCATCTTCCCCATTATCAACATTACTATCTATTTCCCGCGCCCCCTTCCCCCGCCCTCTTCTCCGCGAACAGATTGGTCTTTTATGTAAAATCAGTGTATTTGTACTCTATTATCGCAGAGTGTGGTTTATATTAACCTCAGACTGCAGAGGACTATACTCCCGTTCAGCTCAGCCAGCTCCTGACACAGGCGGACGTCCGCGTTTTCGGCCAAAGCTATCTCGCGAATTGCTCCTCGGTCGATGGACAAGCGGCTTTCTTGAGAGAGATAAGTGATCACCGCCACATTGAATATTTTCAGAGCGTCGAAAGGTTTCTCGAACCAGGCCTTCCTCACAAGCTCCCAGCCCGCGTCGAGGATGAATTAAGTCGTGACCCAGAACTGTGTAGGCTACAAGAGCAAGTCGCTACTCTCGAGCGGAAGGGGACCACAGGCACTGCCATCCAGGAGGCAAGAGGATTAGTGTCAAACTACCGTCGAAAGTTGCATCGAAGAGCGCATCGCAGATTTCAGCTGCAATGGGTACGCGACCGTAGAGACTGGAAAATCCTCACGGACGGAAATGAACGTCCGAAGGACCCTAGTAATACCGACCTGGTTGAGCACCTGTGTGTCATCCTACCTGAACGAGGTCGTCTCGCTCGGTGGATGTGTCAAGACCGGCCACTGTCTCCGGAGTCGATGTGGCAGGCTATCAGCGACTTACACTCATTGTGTACTCGAGATCTCACAGTCCTTTACCTGCCTGGCCTAAACCCGCGTGATGGGAAGTGCCCTGTACAATCGTGTCAAAAGTCAATGGAGGAGTAAGTAAGACCCCTGCTGAAGATTTCCGTTCTTATTTAACGGACATTAATCTAGGCTATCTCGCAGCCAGCGTAACCACCATATTCAGATGTGTATCCGCCGCGATATGGCGAAGAAGCTCGGCCGGCTGCAGACGCATATCCACTATTGCCACATTTGCTTTAACTGGGTGGTTGGAGAGGACGAATGGGAGTCACATTGTGCCTCACACCTTTCGTCGCTAAAGACCAAAAGATGCGGAACGCTCTCCTACGGCAATACACTCATCCGACCCGCCTACTCTCCCTTTCTTCTCGGGAGCAAACTACCAGCCGCGCGCCGGTTGCAGTCTTGGAGTCGCGACTTTGACCTATGGAAGCACGTGAACGACGAACTTGAAGGCCGTCGCTGGCCGATGCCATGTCCCCACCCGCTGTGTGATGATATCACACTCTCGGACGACCGCGATCTACGGTTCCATTTTGTTGACGACCACGAGCTTCCCCGGACCCGGCCTGCGTCGCCTGCGAGTCCCGACCACCTCCGTGCACCTGGACGAACTACCAAGGTGACAGATGAGCATGGCACGCAGAATCGGAAGCGAAAACCCACCTGTGAGGATGATGTTGTTGAATGGCAGCTCACCGATTACGTGCACTCCTCCCTTCGTACGGGACCTTCACCCTCTGCACGCCCACCTAAGAAGGCACGTTCTACCAATTCGACGATTTCGCCGTCACTGCTCTCTGTTATCGACCTGACCGACGGTGGAGATGAGGCTAAGCTAGACACCGCCCCTCTACCCTGGACAGAAGATCCGACAATCGGTGAGCCTGGCGACATAGAGCCTGAGTGGGATGGGGATGATCTCTTCCAAGGAGTGGATGAGCAGCTTGACGACGAGCTGTCTTTAGTCGGCAGTACGACGACGGGCGTAGAGAGAGCCTCGGGTGTTATGTTCGCGCCAGAAGTGATGAACAACAACTCTAATTTGGATGCATTGTTCGATCAATATATCCGATCACCCTCCCCCTCGGTCTCGCCTCCCACGTCACCAAATGATACGGCCAGTGAACTCAGTGGAGCGACACTGATCAATGGGGAACACAGCCGGCCTCTCAGCGCCAGCCCAGATGCAGATCCATTTAAGAGTCCACATCCAGAGGAGATCTCTACGATCGAGGTGGCGAGATTCACTAAGGCTCCTGGCCACAAGAGAAGCATACCTCACATTCGACTGCTGGTCAGCCGGCCTAAAATCACACTCCGTCTTCGACTGCCAGGTAAGAGCGAAATCGGAACAAAGAAAGGGACGAAGGAAGAGAAAAAGAATCAAGGCACTAAGCTAGGGAGGAAAAAGCAGGGGAAGAAGAGTGGAGACAAGGGGAAGAAAGTAAGGAGCCAAAAGGGGCGTCAAGTATAAATGATGGACGGACTTAGCTTCATTGCCGTAAAATATGTGATCTACGTGAAATTGTCTTATATTTAGGTTGGGTTACTGTATCTATAAGAGGCTGGACCTCAACATTTTCCCCGTAATGATGTTGTTAGAAGCACATTGCGCTAATAGAGGCACCCCAAGTGGGACTAATTTCCATCATCCGACAACGTTGGAGGAAAACCAATGAGTCACGTGAGAGATAAAACTCCGTCAATCGGGTCAGATTATTCGATTTCGTGCCTTACCCTGCTGTGAAATTGTCCAAACCTTATCGGCCACACCACGGCGATTCAGGTGTACACCACAGATCTTCCTTGGCGCGTAGGAAGTCGTCCGAAGTCGTTGGAGGAAATCCAGAGCCAGCCTAAATACTCCAATAGGTTCTGGTTAAATGAGGAATGAGTAATTGACATCACGGCGTGTACTTCGACTATGTACCACCAACGACTGACACACCACCTGTTACAGTGACCAGCTATCTAAGCCTTTCATTATACTCCTGATCCATAACTCAACTAATGCTGTTATTCTAGTGTGTAAATACCAAAGTTTAATACTGTAGTACCCTAATCTCATGAGATGTGACGAAACTAGTGAGAATAGCCTCGACGCTCTAGGGACGCAAAGACCTACTGTTTAATAATATTGAAATGACATTCACCTGAAATGAACCTCAATTAATCATACAACCGATTATCAGACTCACCACTAACACTCTCCACCGTTAGTGCGGCTATATACTTCCCCACGAGACCCCTGTCCGGTGCTTCAATGGATATCGCTAAATAGCCGAGAACCAACCCGAGTATGGTCATATGTAATGATACGGTCACATCGTAGCCACAGCTTTGCACATCAGCCATAGGATAATGAGAATCCAGGTTTGAGATATCACGTGTTTCTCTGTCTGCCTTCCTCACCGGAGCAGGTGTGATTTTAGCACCTTACGTGCTTGGCAGGCTACCTACATTCGTTTACGGGCGATTGCTACTTAATAGCGGCCACGCCCCCCATTTTAATGAGGAGACAAGTTTCGCCGCCATACCCTTCTTCCCACTAAAACCACACAGGGTAGTGTGCACGTGATTTTCTTGCCGTTGTGATCTGCTCTCTGCTAGCGTCTTTGAGAAAGTCTGCAACAACAAACTGCGAACGACGCTTTCTCACACTTTCACTGGTGAAACAGGCCTCCCCGGGGACCCATGGATTTGATGTGAACTTTTGGCCAGGAGCGAAGGTCAAGTACTGTAACAGTAGTCTCTCAAAGAGTTTGCACGATCCGCATTACAATGTTGGGGTGGAGGGATGATTGGCTTGGTAATTCGTGTCGGATGTGTGGGAGAGAGTGGCCATAACTTTCTGTGGAACTTTTGAGAAAGACGTGGAATATTAGTTCAGGCCTCGCAAATCGGTAGGAATTGGGGCTGCCAGCGTGATGCCGTGGCTAGTAAGCTGATTTACATTCCCGCCTCAGAGTTTCCCACCTGTTATCGTGGCAGCCAAGGCGCCTGGGAATTGGTCTGCTGGTGCCTAGGAGCTTGAACTGCTCCTGGGACCCTGCATTACAGCGCACAGATTGGTAGACTTCTTGAAGCTCACATAGCGAACTTCAGATTTCAAATGGAAGATCGGGATAATCAGCATCGAGCCGAAATCGAAAACCGTGACAACCAGCATCGAGCCGATATGGAAAATCGGGACAACCAGCGTCGAGCACAGATGGACATGACTCTCCAAACAATCGATAATCTAAGAGCAACCTTCGCTCCATACGCCAATGCAAGGATGGTTGTTTGGACAAGTAAGGAAGCCAAGGCGAGAGACAATATCAGGAGAAGACAGTACCAGAGACGACTGGGTCCCGCTGCTAATCAAAGAGGCTAGTAGCATAATGTTCCGGACCAGGTCAAGAAGGTGGTCAGACGTGGGGATAGTGGGGTGACGCGAGACAGGTACGCCGAAGGTCACACGCCACACTAGTTAGGTAAGCGAGGCTGAATCAGGTAACAAGGCTGCAATGGTATGTTGATATGTTAGTATGCTAATAACAACATATCAATATATCAAGCCCTACGGGATCGATGGCGTTATACATACACGCTCCTTACCTTAGATGGGACTACTCGTAGTCAAATTCGTTAATAATCCCACACCTACATTTAGGATAATCTAGAACTGAGTTCTCTTTGTTTACCAATTACTTCACCATCGCCTATTCACTCATCAAGGAACCCACCTTGGTTAGATCTGTTCGTAGTTCAGATCATAACACATGACTCTCGACAATGCACAAGAAAATGCACTCCAGTAGATACAGTCGAGGCCAAGAAATCCGTCTGCGGTTTAGGCAGTGCTCCCGTTTCGGGCATGGCCACGGACAAGCCACGCCGTTTTCAACAGCTATGAAGTACTCCGTACCCTCCTCCTCGTCCCAGCCCAATTCTCCTTCTATTGACTTGTCGAGCTGTTTTATTTTTCACCTCCTGTCGCAAGTTCACGTTAAGAGCCCTTTGAATCTTTCACTACTCTCCTTAGTTTTTACTTACAAACCGCTTCGAGTTTACACCTAAGTAAAATGCACCTCAGTAGCTGCACCCATATCGCCCATATAGCCCATATAGAATACCTACTTATTCTCCTTTGTAAATCGATGCTTCACGTCTCCATTTCCGTCGCACGTGTGACTCCTGCAACGGCCTGATGGTTCGAACCCCCAATCGGTGCTCCACATTCCGGACAGCGAGCCTGTTCCATCGGCATCCCGCACTCGCCAATTGCGAACTGTTAAAAGTTTGTCAGCAACGTTGGGTATATCAATGTAGAGAGTAACATCTAATAGTGTTCTGAAAAGTGAAAGAAATGAAAGAAAAGTAAGACAAAAACAGCTCAATGCGTACCGGATGTCCATTGCTGCAGTGATACCAGTGACCCGAGTGCGTTGCGAGCCCCCTCGACCCACTCACCATCGCCCGCTTGATGGCAGCGAGCTCTTCGGGCGTGACTGCTTCGTACCATTCTTTTCCTAGAAACTTGATACTCTCCTCGGCCGCCTTCTTCAATTGATCGGCGTTCTCAAAAGGCTGCTGGCATAGTTCAAGCGCCTTTTCTAGCAAATCCCTTGCCTCGTTGATGTACTCAGTGGCCTTCGCGGTGTCTTGTGTTTCGTCATCTATGTTGTTAGACAGACCCGAATTGCGGTAATGTCGAGCCACTCTGGTGTAGTAAAGTGAAGCTTCAACTGCGAGCTTGGGGAGGTTTTCAGCGTTGCAGTCCTTGATGAATATCGCGCAGATCTGGAGGAACGGCTTGGTGAGTCTCTTCGGCGAACCACCAGGGATTGTGAAGTTTACTGCTGCAGCAGAGCTACTCTCGGCGGACAGCCGGGTTGAAGCAGAATTTATGATCGCTGCAACGCTGAATTTGTCTTCGAGAACGACACACTCGGCCTTTATTTGGACCATTCGCCCTCCCAGCGTAATCCGGCGGTCACGCTCGACAGGACGAATTGACTCTTGTGGCTCCCCAATGCTTAGAGACGCTAGCGCTGCGTCCAGTGATTTCGACTTGCTTTCCAAAGTGCTGATGGCGTGGACCGTGGCCTCGTGAAGCTTGTGGGCGGGTTGATGGCGGTCAGCGACTTTTCGGAGGAATCGGTTGATCTCTCTGTTCAGTTCGCGAGATTTTTTATATCGAGTTTCGATCTTCTTAAGGACGTCGTAAAGAAACAATGATATTCTGCCTTCACTCTCGCGATAACTCCTCGTGCGGTCCGTGAGTTGCGATATGGAGGTCTCCAACTCATTCTCAAGCTCATCAACCTGGAGTTCAAGGCCCCTCAACTCCATCTTGCCGTTGACGAGGAACCGCTTTGACATCTCGTCGATCACAGCTCGGTTGATCAATCGGTTGTATCGCTGCGTCACATATTGCCTTACTGGGCATTGACAATCAGGGCACTGAGGAACCTTACTGGCGAGGCCCCCAGAGATATCCAAAAGCCCCGTGAACCGCCCAGATTCATCGGAGGTGTAGACTTCATTTAACCCTACCACACCGTCGAGACTCTCTCCGGTGAAGAAGTGACCGCACCCGAGGACAACAATGGGTGTCTCGTTGACGTCAATTTCGGCGTATGTCTTCATTTCAAGGAGGTCGACTCGAGTATCCTGCTTGCTGGTACATTGATGGCAGTACTCTTCAGGGCACAACTCGCCGCAAAGTCCAGGACACTGGTGACCACAGGGAAGTCCTTTAGAACAGCGTTGATCGCATGGTAACTTATTACAGGGAGCGGAACAGGGCATGGTGCAAGTTCCTTGGTGCTCACAAGCCCACGCACACCGTTCGATGCATGGAGTACATGCCTCGTGACAAAGTAGCTTGCACTTTGAATGTTGGCAGCGGACCTCGCAGGGAGATAGACAGGGACCACATTCATTTCCATGATGGCACGGTTTGCGACAGGTATGGCGGCATGTTCCGAAAGGTCTCCCACAGACTTTCCGGCATTTTTGGTGAGAGATCGAAGGTGTCTCCATTTCGTTCTTGGTATTGCACTGCCCGCACGCACCTGGGCAGGGGTGACCACAATCAAGAAGTGTTGCACAAGGCGTAGGACATCGGAAACGATCCAAAGTGATGTCCAACCAGCATGCCACTTCCACCGTATGACCACAACTAGAGACCTTTTTGGGCACTGGAATGTTGCAACGGATGTCAGCTGGGCGTTGTGCTATATGACACAATATCTCATCTTTGGTATGGCCACAAGGTAGCTGTATATCCTTCAACTTAAGGTGACACTTTCCACAGTCTTCTCCACAGGTTTGTTTCTGGCATGCATGGTTGCATGGCTCATGAAGGCGTTGGCATGGTTGTGGGCAAGAAAAGACATTGTGCATGCTTTCTGAATGACATCTAGCCTGGCACATGTGGCCGCAATCAGGAAGACGCCAGGTGCACGCCAACCGGCATCCACCTTCTGGACTCTGCCTTGGGAAATCATCCGGCTCTGAGACTTGGATGGGAGTTTCTTCATGCCTCGGGCAACAGAGACCCAAATAGTTACCGACTGCGTCCGATGCCCGGAGCATATCAATGACTTTCTGCCACATCGGGATATTCGAATAAGTATCCGAGTTACCAATGAGATACATACCATGCTGGGCACGGCTAAGGAGGACATTAATTCGGTTCGTCGTCTTTAGAAACCCCACCTTTCTCTCGGTATTACTCCTGACCAAAGACACAATGATTAATTTGGCCTCTTCACCCTGGAAGTTATCGATAGTGGCAATTCGCAAAAGGTCACTGAGTCTCTTCCTCTTCAAAGGGGCCTTTCTAAGCTGTTCGAATTCGCCGTCCGATCCCTGTTCCACAACACTGCTCACAAGACGGCTGAGAATGCCGCTGATGGTATCGTCAAATCCGTCCTTCTCCAGCGCTTCTTGGTCCCGGTCACTAATCACAATCTCGAAGTCGTTCTGCATTGCTGTGCGAAGTTTTTGAAGCTGGCCGGTGTATGGTGTCAAGACAGCAATATCACTGCTCTTATACGCGCCTTGGCGGACGATATGGCGGACTAACGCGTGTACCATTTCCACCTCCCAGATATTGGAATGTGACTTGTGGTGCATCTCGGAGTGCTGGCCCTCTTCCAAATGACCGTGGTCTAGCCAAAAGACATTCTTTCGCATACCAACAACGTCGGGAAGATTGCCCGTGCAAGGGTGATCAACTAGCATGGGATATATGGTCTCCCGAATCAGTTTTGAGATCTCAGGACGCATTCGCCGCTGGACATTCAATTGGGCCACTTGCATCTTTGCCCTTCCAGGCTCCCCAACAGAAAGTCTTTCGAATTGACTGCGGTCGAGTTTGTACAGACTGCCCTGCCTGCTCTCCAGTGACAAGCTGATGAAATTGTTAATTTGGGGACGGAGTTGCTCGTGGTCACCGATTTGGATGAAATGCTCGACTGTTGGGAGCAACGCGGATAGCATGTGCGCTTCCATTACCTCGCCTGCTTCCTCACATATCACAACCTTGCTTCTGACACGCTTCAAGGTGGAAATTCGCTTGGCTAGGCCCGTTGTGGTGATGCCGATAACATCTGCAGACTGCAGGACCCGTCTATCAACTTCGTCGTGTATTTTTATCTCCTGTTGGTAATCGCCGATCCCCTTCAATCTTTCGAATAGGTCATTCGAAGCATAGTCATGAATCTCTTGGCTCCACAGTTGCACAAGCCTATATATTTCTTCCGGCGATAACAAGTAAACGCTCTTCTCTGCTTTCTGAAGCAGAACACTGTCAACGAGCTTGTGTGGCACAATCAACTTGTGTCCGTCCGTACCCACTGGGATCACGAAAGACTGCCCAGCTGCCGCCCACCGTTCAAAGGGATGTCGGCCAACGCTCTCATACCCTTCTTCATCAATCTCTCGAAACTGAGCGTGGATTCGGGGATACTGTCGCTGGAGGTGATGTTGAAAACGTGGCCAGTTCTCTCGCCCGCGTATACTATGCAAACTCCCCAGGTCTCCTTTGATGCGTTTTGTTTCCTCATCTAAAGAACTGTATTGTAGAGCAAGAAGATAATTCTCGTTCGTAGTCTTCATCTCTGCTTGAGATATATTTCGAAGATTATGGTCTTCCAGCAGGGTAGATTGACTTTGGCCTCCAATGCGAATGATTTTTTTGATGCCAGCTGCGAGTAGATGTTCCAGGAACTGATCCAATGCGTGATTTGTATAACACCTCCTTTTCGTTAGCAACATCCTGCACATGAGAATAAAAACTTACACGATTACCACAGGTCCCAAATTTGCCTTTCTCTTACAATGGAGCAGAATTTTCATCAATTGAATACCAAGATAGGTCTTTCCGGTCCCCGGTGGACCTTGTATGAAAGCATACTCCCGGGTCAAGGCCGCAAGTAATCCCTTGCACTGGCCGCGGTCCAGGTCAGTTCGTGCTTCCATCTCGTCAAGAATAGCTGGCTCGCTTAATAGCGAAGCCGGATGGATGAACATATCCCCAACGAATAGCGGGTTCGGCTTGAGGAGTGGCTCCAACGAAAACTTGAAACCAGGTTCTCGAGCATACAGAGGTGACGATAGTCCACTTTCCCGACCACTCTGCAACTGACATAGCTCGAGCTTTATCAGACGCAGCATTCGAAGTGCAGAGTGTGCAGACCGAAGATGAATCTGGCCATGTTATCTACGAGCAAGATTTAGTCCAGACCCATCAAGAATGGTTGGAGCAGGCTGCTCAGATGTTGAGCGAACAAGCATCAACTCTGTCGCGGCACCAGACGGCAGGACATCATGAATCACGAGACGATGCCGGCTGCCAACTTGATGAGAAGCATTTAGACCACTGTGTTCTTTGTCAAAAGGCGAACGAAAAAGCCGAGACATCTCAGGATGTTATCGTGACCATCCCTGAGGCGCAAAAGTTTACAGCCACTCTCAGTATCACTGGGATGACTTGCGCGGCATGCATCCTCTCCATTAATGAAGGGGTGCAGGGACTCCAATTCTTGACGGATGTCAGCGTCAGTTTACTTACCAATAGCGCAACTGTCGCCTTTACCGGCCCGAAGGACAACATCGATCAGATTGTGGAGAGAATTGAAGACAGAGGATACGACTGCCACATCGAGAGCATCGTTGAAGTTGGACAACCACAGCAAACAAAAGAGCTGGTGGAAAGGACAATCATGATTAGAATAGCAGGCATGTTCTGCGATCAATGCCCACGACGGGTTATTGAAGCTTTGTCATCACCGTTTCAGGGACGACTTGCTATTGACAAACCGCCGTCGTACGATGACCCCATCATCATGATGACATATCGTCCCCAACCCGGCATCATTACTATCAGAAGTATCCTTGCTACTATACATGGCGTCAGCGACCAACTCAGAGCCACAATATACCATCCTCCCACGATCGAAGAGCGCTCTCGAACTATGCAGCTCCGCGAACGGCGTCGTCTACTCCTGCGGCTTCTCCTTAGCTTCATCGTCGCCATTCCAACCTTCCTTATCAGTGTGGTCTGGATGAGCCTTGTTCCCTCGACCAACCGCGTACGAATATTCTTCCAACAAAATATGTGGACTGGTGCCGACACTCGCGCCGAGTGGGCGCTTTTCTTCCTTGCGACGCCTGTGATGTTCCTCGCTGCCGACGTCTTCCACACCAGGGCAATCAAGGAGATCCGAGCACTGTGGAGCCGGAATAGCAAAGTCCCCGTTCTTCGAAGATTTTACCGTTTCGGAAGCATGAACCTGCTCATGTCCGCTGGAACGTCGGTGGCGTACTTCCCTTCGATCGCCGTACTTGCTCTAGAAGCGCAAAAAACTGGACAACACAACAGGCGACTATCGACATACTTCGACACGGTTGTGTTCTTGACGATGTTCATTCTCGCTGGACGCTACTTGGAAGCGTACAGTAAATCTAAGGCAGGTGATGCTGTCACAATGCTCGGAAAGCTCCGGCCAACCGAAGCTCTGCTTGTGAGATCTAATCCGGAATCGGAAGATAGCGAGTTATCTCTTCCGATAACCAATTGCGAGAGAATCAATGTCAATGTTCTGGAAGTCGGAGATATTGTCCGAGTACTTTATGGCGTATCTCCACCAGCCGATGGCACAATCGTCCTGGGCGATTCCACCTTCGATGAGAGCTCTTTGACCGGAGAGTCTCGGCCTATTACCAAGTCTACTGGCGATCAAGTCTTTGCTGGAACAATCAACACGGGCAAACCGATTAATGTCCGAGTCACTGAAGTCTCAGGAACATCTATGCTTGACCAAATCGTCAAAGTTGTTCGTGAAGGCCAGGCAAAAAGAGCGCCAGTGGAGAGAGTGGCTGACATCTTGACGGGATACTTCGTTCCAGTGATTACCCTCATTGCCGTATCGACGTTTGTTGTCTGGTTTGGACTCGGTCAGGGCGGGGCACTGCCAGAAACTTGGCTTGATGTCGACACAGGTGGCTGGGCTTTCTGGGCATTACAGTTTGCCATTGCAGTCTTTGTCGGTGCGTGCCCCTGCGGCATTGCCCTTGCGGCCCCAACAGCTTTATTCGTGGGTTCTGGACTAGCGGCGCAACACGGAATATTGGTCAAAGGTGGCGGAGAAGCGTTTCAAGAAGCTTCGGATCTGGATGTGGTTGTCTTTGACAAAACCGGCACGCTCACCGAAGGCGGAAACCCGACTGTTACAAACTATGATATCATGGCTTCTGGTGAGGAGGAGACGAAGGCCATCTGGGCAATCGCGCAAGCCCTAGAGGAGTCTTCAAGTCACCCAATAGCAAAAGCAATTGCTGCGCTCTGCGGAGGACAAAGCCGCACTACCATCGCCGACTCTGCTATTGAAGAACTCCCTGGTCGCGGCCTCAAAGGCACATTTACCATCCATACATCCACCAATGACACCCGGTACGAGGCTGCCATCGGCAGTGAAACTTTCGTCTCCTCCCTTGGCACCCCTATAACCACAGACCAGTCCAACATTATGTCGACATGGAAATCCGCTGGGAAAAGCGTCGCACTTCTGGCTTTGCGTCCATTGTCACTCTCAGACGGGAATGAAACCACGTTTAAACTTGTTGCACAGTTTGCAACCACAGATTCTCTCCGTCCTGAAGCTGCTTCCGTCCTTTCTGCTCTACGTGAGCAAGGGTTAAGCATCTGGATGATCTCAGGCGACAATGCCATGACCGCTATTGCAGTTGGGCATCAGCTAGGTATCCCGGCGACCAATATCATTGCCGGTGTTCTCCCTTCGGAAAAGGCTGAGCGGATCCGTTGGCTACAAAACTCCGCCCCTAAACGCAACGGCAAGGCGGGAAGAGCAATGGTGGCTATGGTTGGGGATGGCATCAATGACTCTCCAGCACTCACTGCCGCGGACGCCGGAATTGCCATCGGCTCTGGCTCAGATGTTGCTATATCAAGTGCCAAATTCGTGCTAGTGTCCTCAAACCTGCACTCCTTGTTGACTCTTATCACACTCTCCCGCACGGTTTTCCGGAGAGTCAAGTTCAACTTTGCGTGGGCATTGGTGTACAACGTGGCCTTGGTGCCAATTGCGGCAGGAGTGATTTATCCGGCACCTGGACACCCGAAGTTGAACCCTGTGTGGGCGAGTCTGGCTATGGCGTTGAGCTCTCTGAGCGTCGTATCCTCAAGTCTGGTTATGAGGACAGGTATTCCTATCATTGGGTTTAGAGCATCCAGGAAGACATAGTAGGGATAGAGCCCAGCAGTGTCACGGGATGACCTGTCTGCGACCAGGTGGGACGATGGGAGTGGAAGGTCAGACGAAGAGAGAAGAACAGGGACAGCCTGACACGTGACTGGACTGTGTGGACTGCGACGACCGGTGGCAGGACCACTACAGTCCAGAGAGGCACGTGACTGGACTAGTTGTGGATTGCGTGGACTGCTGGAGTCCAGGGGCAGTCCTCACAGTCCAGACGGATCTCTTATGTCCATATAGCGACGACTCACGACTCCTCTAGTTAAATAGTTCCTTCTTCCGTAGTCAACTCATGTTTTCAACTGCACCATACTGTTGTGACTTTGAACCCTCTTGGAGCTAATACCTCCGCTTCCCAGATCTGTCCGAAAGTACCTTATGCTTGCCCTCCCGAAGACCAATAACCCCGAGTTCCACCTTGTGATACCCTTGACCTTGGCAGTTCTCAACAAGCAGGACTTTCAAATCCAGTCAGGCAGAGATCGCAGCTGGAGAAGACTTGTGATATTTACCTCAGGATGATTGTTATCGGTTGTAGAGGGTATATAAACGAGAGGAGAATATATCTAGCACAAGGGCTGCAGTAACCCATGACATCTTAAACGGCCGAAGGCATTCAGCCAAAGTGATACTTAGATAGCTAGGTGTGAAGCGTTGCCTCGAGCGTAACCTAAGACGAAAGGAGACATCTGTTGAGACAAACATCACCCAGAGGCCGGAAATCCAGCTACAAAACGTTGTTCGGAGTATTCTGTCATACCACGTGCCAGAGGTGTGGTAATTTTAGGCAAAAACAGCATGGATGGCATTTCCAGTGTCCTCTTAATACGTACATGGATATATTTCGATTAATAGATTTCACCCTGATAGCGGACTGGGAGATGTGTGGAATAAAAGTATGTCCATGCCCGGGGCATTTCCGGGATGCATATTATCGCTTTTTATTAGACTAATGAACCCTTATAGATAGCACCCGTAGGCAAGTAGTTTTAGGTGTGATAGGCATTTCACAATTACCTCCGATATCTCCGGGGAGCGTTGTTCAGGGCAACTGCGCAGAAAACTTCTTGTCTTTTAAAGAAGGCGTCATTCATTACTAGCGTCGACAGACATTTTTGGTGCATGCCTCCGTAGAGTCACGCCGCAGTTGGCCGCCTCGGCACCGCGAGGACGATGGTTCGTTTTAGCTAATCCCCCCTCGTCAAATTGCGTGAATTTATTTCTTATCCGCGACGGGTCATCTTCTATACACAGTAAACTCCAGGACTATGAATGCAATGTATAATACCAGCAGCACCCCACCAACCCACCGCTTTGATCCCAAGAACACAATCGGGCAAAACAGCGCAGATGACGCCCAAGTAACAAGCAGCTCGAACGGTACCATAGAGCCTGCGAGCTCTCTCTGATTCCCAGCTACGAACGTGATCCCAAGACACAAAGTCAAAAGGAAGATATTGCTTCCCGCTGTACTCGCAACAACGATACCGCTATGTCCCCGAGCACCACTAATGACAGCAACAAATTTCTCAGGCAATGTAGTAGCAAATGACAAGACCGTTATGCCAAGGATGGTGCCGGAAAGGTCGAACGCATCAGCGATTGAAGCTGCGCTGTGTGAGAGGATGTAGCCCGACATTGACAGTGCAATAAAGCCGAGGATGAGTTGAACAATGTGATAGAAAAGACCACGTTCTTGACTGTGTGTAGGATGCTCTCCACTGGCTTTCTTAGGGAGCAATGGTGATATTTCAGCTGGGGGGTGATCATGCTGTGTCTCTTCGTTGTTGCAATCACTGCTTTGACGATCGTCGCTGTCGTCGTTATCCGAGTCTTCCGGAGCACCCAACATGCCCCTGTAAATCCCATAGCCAATTGACACCAGATATACAGCGAATGCGGCAATGAAAATGCCTCCCGCGATCCTGCCGAGGCTTTTCGTCAGAGCGACAACTGTGAAGATCGTGGTAACGAGAAAGAGCAAGGCTGCGTATATTTTCGCGCTTCGATCAAATGTCGTGTAGCCAGGATGGAAGAGGAGACCTAGGGAGAATGCTCCCAGAATATTTGAGATTGAGGAGCCGATGACATTGCCTAGTGCGAGAGAGGAGCGATTTTGAAGGATGGATGCCACGATGACAGCAAGCTATATCAATCAGCCTAATTCTACGCTTGCATTGTTGCATGAAGGCGTACCTCTTCCCATTCTGCACCTGCTGTGAGCAAGGCTACCAATGTCTGTGAAACTCGAAGCCGACACGCGACAATCGCTGTGGAGTCGATGAAACGATCAGCACCGAATTGGAGGAGAAACAGGCCGGCTGCAAATGCGCTGGCATTAAAGCAGATGCTATCCCAACTCATATTTTCGTAGTAGACGGATTTCTGTGCCTTAGCTCGCATAGGTAGCAAAAAGTTTGACGTGGAAGCAAGAGGTGATAGACGCTGAGGATTGTGAACGAGCGCAGAGTATGAAGGCGAAAAGTGCCATTTATGTTCCGCTGACACGAAGATTGAAAAGAGTTGTTTCGTGTGTCTGTGATTCTACGGAGAACCGCAGTTACACTGTCGCGCGAGGCTGACCTCGCTTTTGGGGCCCCCAAATATATTTTCACGTGGGATTTCTGGAAGTCCTTTGTTGCAGGGGCTGGGGGTTTGGCCGATTTGCCAAGCCACGATCGGCACCAGTAGATTTCCTTATCATCGCCCGTGTATGCAGCCTCAAATGGTATTGGTGCGCGAATTATGTCCAGAAGCGGTGGCCTAAATCCCCGCCTAATTCTGCTACAGTTTGACGCCCCAATTATTCACGGGCATCCGTACGGAGTGTAATTGTCCCTTCGGCCAATTAGTTACGGCGATTTTTCTTGCGGGCGTCACGAAACAGCACTAAAGTTACCCCGCATACCGTACCTCCTCAATTGGTAGTTGGGCATCATGCGCCTATACGCTCAACGAAAGATACCTCGAAACAGATAATCGAGTCCAAAAGACTAGACAGGTGATGTCTCGCAATGCGTAATCGAATCTCTCGTCGAGACGGCACAGCTCTTCAGGGTTGCAGTATTGTAATGGGTTTACCGATAATACAATGGCCCTTGATCTCCAGGGTCAGAGCCAGCACTGCAAAGGTATAGGCGCGTCGTCATCCACCTTTGTATCCAAGGCCTGCCAAGTTACTTTCAAACGACCACTCTAGGACAAGCCAACTGACATGGACTAACATAGGACAGACCAATGAACTCGCATTGTGATTTGTGGTGGATCGGACCCCTCCTGGGGTTCAGGCAAGTGGTCACTACCTTTCAAGCAAGAAGGTTCCTATAATCTTTGAAATAAAAAAAGCGCCAAAATCACCTCCCTGTATGGCATCGAACGATTCGGCATACAAGTAGACGAGGAGCCAAGTCGTAAGGGGATTCAATCATCAATCATTGTACATGTCATGATCGTTCTGTTGTGGGCCAAATGCTTTCCGGGCAATTGTGTGTTCAGTATTTCTAAAATTGTCACAGCTTTAATTTTTGGCCTGGATTTTGTCCGTCGTCGATCGTAGCAGAGTTGACAAGGCATTTCTACCGTCCCAATTGCGAATCGTCCAGACCTCGACTGCTTTCCCATCAACCATTTTCGCACTCGACTTCAAGGGTTCACCGAGCGCTGCTTCCTCGGCTTCATGAAGCCAGTCATTCCAAGCTGGAGTTCTGGGCGCCCAACCGGCATCTTTGACCCAGTTGCTAGTTCCTGTGACGGCAATTGCTTTCCACAAAGCTTCTGTGTAGGTCGGTGAGTAATTGTCGACCCTTGCGTTTCTAGGGGGAGTGCCCCCGGAAACTTCAATGTGTTCGACCTCGAACCGGGAAAGGTCCCAGTGTTGAGCAGGAGGCAAAGCAGCGCCAATCCAGTAGAAGATGCTAATAAGCATATAGGACCCAGCAAATGCCGTCTGTGTTTCGATGCGAGCATTGCCCAAGCAAATAACTCCACCCATGAGTAACAAGGTTGAAATCAAAGAGAGTCCTCTGTAGATGGCCGTACTCTTGACAGAATAAATGCATCGCTCGCTAGAGTTGAAATAGAGGTAGCGGGCGGTTCGCTCCTGGCACGACACCACGATAAAGGCTCCCTGGGGATATTTGATGACAACGTTCCCAGGCGGGGAATGAGGGTCGGGCTTGGGGTCATTTGGTGTCGGTTTCCACTTGTTGGCAACACCAGTAACGGTACTCAGAGCAGAAAGCAGAAGAGTAGCCAACAATGACATGCTGTTCAACAAGGGTAAATAAGGCTATGAAGCAGTAAAGTATTCCACTTACCCGTCCTCGTAGTGAATCGACAGCCCCAACAAGGCACAAGTCAATGCCGTTCCCAAAATGGCCAGGAATGCTAATGGACCAAATCTGTTGATCGATGGACGAGGCTTGTCATTTTCCTTCACCCGGATACAGCTGACAGTGTTGGCGTTCAACTTGTCTCCGCGGTGCAAGGCGTGGGCGACATGGTGAATATCTTCTCCAGTATTACCCGAATGGACACCGATTACTTTTGCACCAGCAGTGGTCTGAAATTTCTCCGGCCGCGAAGGTCTAATGAAGATCTGCGGCGCAGGAATGAGGCGAGGGAGGTAGATGAGATAGCTTAGCGTAGCGACTTGGGCAATTGTATCTACGGAACCTTCTCCTAGGATAGCGAGGAAGCCTGAAAGGAGAAATGTCAGAAGTGGTCTGCGTTGTCACACCTTCGGTATGTTATCAAACTGTACTCACCGACGACGCCAAGCCGGAGGCCTTGATTGTTGGACACGTACGATTCGATAAATTGCATCTTATTTCAGCCGACTTTACCAGTGGTTTGTTCACAGGCAAGCTTCCGCAACGTTGGGTGACCAGCCGAAGAACAATGAACGCAGTTGGTCACGTGACTATTGCTTGGCGTCACAATCAATTTGCATTGGCCTTTTAGTCAGCTGAAAGCTTGGATTGAATCTGCTTCAGTTACTTGCCGTCGCCAAATCAGCTCGCCAAGTCTGTGCTGACGCGTCCTTCACGCCAAGCTGGAACGTGGCTAATGCCAGCGGCGCTCAAAGGGACCCAAACCTATGTCCCTGGTGCCCCGTGGTGCAGTCTTTGTGAATGGCAACCGCTGTGTGGGAAGAGGCGAGGCAGCAAGGTGAGTACGCTAAGCATAGCCGGATTAATATTAATCCATGGTTTGATGGGCTGTCTGGCGTACATACAGAGTAGGGTTGGCGAAATACTCGATAGTTTTCACCTGTACAAGCCGTCTACGAGGTTCAAATATAGATAGACCTAGGAAATAGATTCAAACTTGCTCAAACTTGCTCAAGTGAGCACCTTACCTGACTAGCGCCGGATCAACATTTTGAGCCAAATTCCTCAACCTTTTCGTCGCCGGCATCTGCTCACTTTTGATTCGTGGCCAGAGTGGATCTGAGAGTTTTATTCTCTTCCATTTTAAAGATTTTAGCTTCTGCCGGCGCTTGGGGTCCACCCATGATTGGCATGTCGATCTTCGGCAAACTCAGAGGCATTTTCCCTTGTCCTGGAGTGAGTCACTGATCGTTACTCATTGGTTGGTATCAGGATAGCAGAGAGGGCTCCGCAAATTCTCGCATTGCCACGCGCCCCTTAACCGTGGACTTTCCGTACTGTACATATACTAACTTGGTCAACTCATTGTCGGTTTTCTGTTTTCCAACCCTCAAAGCATTATTTTGTCCTACGCAGACTTAATCTAAATGGCGGCACTTGACAGGCTTACTCTTCCCCCTTGCTGGACTTGCGTTCCTTCGCTGGTCAACCCTGAGAGCAGTGCTACGGCTCGTCCTTGCTGTGATGGTATGGTGCCCAATGAGTTCGATTGCTCGTACAGATTTGACCATTCAATTATACAGAGAGTTGCATTGAGAAGGTAGCATTACGAGAGTGCGCGCTGCAATGTGGGGAAGCAGAGAATCCGAGTTGGAGCGGCGATAAATGCCACACCTTGTGCGACGAGACCGTACCGCCTGGTTCAAGCTCCACACGAGTAGGAGCATACCCTTATGGTCAGCCTGGGTTTCCGGCCCTTCCGAATCCAAGCCGCAAACGGAAACGCGAAGCTTGCATCGCCCATTCACGCAGTGTCCGCAACCGCTACAGTACAGTCCTCGCAAGAATAGGCTGTATCTGTAAGGAACTCGTTGCGAAGCAGCTCGAGCCTTGTTGTAAGGAGGGCCGCCCTGTCGGAAAGCGCAGCTCTGTAGAGCAGGATGGCTGCTGCGATAAAGAACCAGGAAATTGTTATGAGACAACAACGGAAAAGTCGGCTCAGATTACTAGTTGCAGTGATTGCTGCGACCTCGAGAACAGTTGTGTCGCAGTCAAGAACGGATATTCTGGTCCTCGCAGGAATGGTAGTTGTGGAGGGAGAGGAAAGGCCTCTCGCAGCTGTGCTGAAACCTCCCCCACTAATGAATGCAGGGAGGGCCATTCTGGTTCGAGTTATGGTCCTGGGGCCTCCAATGCTGTCTGCTCTTCAAAGGGTGACTGTTGTTCTGGTCCTGGAAGCCGCGATCAGCTCAATATTCTCCCCTCGAAAAACCTCGACATCAAACCTGCAGCGGACTTGGACCTCGAACAGATCCCATCGAATCTCGAGCATGTCATTTTGGACGTGCAAGGACTCACATGCACGGGTTGCGAAACGAAGTTGTTCAGATCTTTGCACGCCATTCCAGGTATTTTCCATCTTCAGACCAGTCTAGTACTTTCACAGGCCGAGTTCGACCTTAACGAAAAGGCCGGTTCCATAGACGAAGTCATCAAGTCCGTCGAAAAGGCCACTGGATTTGCTTGTCAGCGGATAAACAACGAAGGCCAAGAAGTTGATGTTGTTGTCGACGGCGATGCAAAGGTTTTCGTTGCCCAAAAATATCCTCACGGCGTCCTCCAAATGACTGCTATCGGGCATCAATTGGTGCGCATCTCGTATGATGGCAGGATCATCGGAGCAAGAGTATTGCTAAGGGAATGCTTTGACAGTCCTCTGAAGCTTGGCGCTCCTCGGCGCTCCTCTGAACTGGAGAGTGGGAAACGGCATGTTTGGAATATGGCCTGGATTACGTTGCTCTCCACCATTCTTACAATTCCAGTACTTGTCATGGCATGGGCTCCCCTTCCTCATCGACCTATTGCCTATGGAAGCGCCTCCCTAGCACTGGCCACGATCGTGCAGGTTGTCGTTGCCGGACCATTTTATCCTAGTGCTTTGCGGGCGTTGCTGTTCACCCGAGTGATCGAGATAGACCTACTCATCGTCCTCAGCACGTCCACAGCTTACATCTTTTCGATAGTCTTGTTCGCCTACGTAGTGGTTGGGCAACCACTATCGATCGAGCAATTCTTCGAGACCAGCACGCTGTTGATCACATTGATTGTCCTTGGACGACTGGTGAGTGCCTTCGCGCGACAAAGGGCAGTCGAGTCCGTCTCCATCAGGTCTCTCCAGGAAGAAACGGCTACGCTTTGTACCACTAGTGGCCTTAACGACGAACCGATTGATGTCCGTCTTCTCCAGTATGGCGACTGTTTTAAGGTTCAACCAGATTCGCGCATTACGACAGATGGTGTGGTAGTCTCTGGCACGACGGAAGTCGACGAGTCCATGGTCACTGGTGAATCCCTACCAGTTGAGAAGTACCCAGGCTCCCCAGTCATCGCCGGATCGTTGAATGGGTCTGGCGTCATCGTGGTACGACTGACACATCTTCCTGGCGACAATACTATAAGCACGATTGCGACCATGGTAGACCAAGCCAAGTTCTCTAAACCCAAGACCCAGGAGATTGTGGATGTTGTTGCTGGTTATTTCGTCCCCGTTGTCTTGGTCCTCACCATCATCACTTTCGCTATTTGGGTTGCTATCGGTGTTGCAGTGCGTCACCAAAGGAGCGGCCCTGCTGCCGTGAACGCAATCACCTACTCTCTGTCAGTTCTTATCATTTCCTGTCCATGCGCAATTGGTCTGGCCGTTCCCATGGTCGTCGTTATTGCCGGAGGTGTAGCAGCAAAACATGGTGTTATCTTCAAGTCCGCCACGACGATTGAAGTGGCACGCAATATTTCTCATGTTGTCTTCGATAAGACCGGAACTCTCACCCAAGGTCGACTTGCGGTCATGGAAGAGCTATACCTCTCTGAAGACCAGGCTCTCGCAGCTGCCGTTACTTTGGGCTTAACCCGCGACAACAAACACCCTGTTTCCACCGCTCTTGCCTCGTGCCTTAACGAGAAGGGTGTCGACGCTGTCAGCGTGGAAGATACCAAGTCGATCACTGGCAAGGGAGTCCAAGGGACATTTAGAGGTGTTGAAGTGCGTTGTGGCAATACTCGCTGGCTCTCCGCGAACAAACGCCCTGAAGTCCAAGATCTTCTGGTGAAGGGTCTTACAGTTGTTGGTGTGACCATGGCTGAGGAGCTTGTCGCCATCTTTGGTCTTTGCGACTCACTCCGCCCAGAATCTCAATTTGTCGTCGCTGAGCTCCAGAAGCGCAACATTGGTGTATCTATCGTCAGTGGCGACGATGCTGGAGCTGTTGACGCTGTGGCCGCCAAACTCGACATTCCGGTTAGCCACGTTAGGTCTAGATGCACACCCGGCGATAAGCAGGAGTACCTCAAACGACTCAAAGCTGATGAAGGAAAGAAAGTTCTCTTCTGTGGCGACGGTACCAATGATGCAGTGGCACTGGCTCAAGCTGATATTGGCGTACACATCAATACTGGTAGCGACGTCGCCCAGACCGCTGCTGATGTTGTGCTTGTGCGTCCATATCTGTCTGGGGTCTTGATCTTGCTGGATTTGTCAAAGGCCGCTTTCTACCGCATTTTCTTCAACTTTGCGTGGGCATTCGTGTACAACGTATTCGCTGTACTGCTGGCTGCTGGGGCCTTTGTTAATGCTCGGATCGAACCTCAGTACGCTGGGTTAGGAGAGCTCGTCAGTGTCCTACCCGTCATCTTGATTGCCCTGCAACTCAAGTTTTTCAGGCGACAGTATTGAGACTTGGGCAGAAGGCTTTATTATGGTCGATGCATTGAAGAGTGGTGGTTCCCCGAAGACCTTTTTGAGTTTCTTTCTGGGTCGTGTCGCTGCGGGCTGATCGTGAAGGTGTTCGTGTGAATCCGCGGCAGCCTACTTGCGACACGCAAACAAGGGCACGCCGGTTTTGAGATCCTCTGTAATGAGAAGGTGGGTCAGATACTGCTGGATGTGGGGGCAGGATATCAATGCTCAAGGAGGACAGTATGGCAATGCACTGCAAACACCAGCATGAGTGTCACTGATTCGCCTCGATTGGCTGGAGGGATGCCACGTGATTAAAATCCTAAGCAGGCAACCAAGTATCATTAAAAGCGTTACAGGACCAGATTTGCTATGGACATATCTCGCTAGCAAAACGTCTCGAATTTCGGGGCATGTGCGGTAATTGCCATACAGACTTTTATGGTTCACCGTAATAGGAGCACAATCTGCTGGAAGATCTGCAGCACAGAAGATTCGAGAAATGTCGACCTAAAAGAAGACACGTGTTCTTAGCACCCCAGCAACAAAGGCGGGCGACATGGGGGCAACCCATGTGTGGCGGCACCGTTCCTGCATGCCTGCGGGCTGCGCCTATAGAATGGCAACCCAGCATCGCAACCATGCTCGGAGGGCCACCTCGGAACGGGCAAGGTAGGGCAAGCAATAGTGGAATCAATCGTGAAGCCTGTCAGAGCTGCTCCTTTCGACTAAGCCCGTAAGGGTATAGGTCTCCAGTCACAGGTCTTCTTGAACAACAGGTGGTTGGTATGAGACAAGCAAGTATGGCAGTGGGGTAACTAGGGTAAGAACTCAACCACATCCTCTTAATGCGGTTATCACGTGATCTTCTGTTTTTGACCCGATTCTGTCTCTGCCACTTGAGCAGGATGTGTCGTACGGTCTGTCGTCCACAGCCACATGGGCATTCGTCGGTGTAGGCATTCTTGATGGCATGGAGGTGCGCGAGCAGGCCGACTTTGCCTGTGCGCACCTGTGTGATGATCGAGCTGATCGCTCAGTGGGTGCCCATGTGTGTGGTCAGGGTCCCTTTTCCGGGCCGGACCCCAAGTCGGAAAAGTTCTCGGCTGTGCTTGGCTGATTCCCAGTTCTGGTCCCATTCAACCTTCATGACCTCGCGGATGGTGGATTTGGTCGTGGCTATGAGGGTTCGGAGTGATTCTGGTTCCATCGGCGATCCTTCATGCGTCTGTGCATCGGCATGATGTCAGGCGGCTTCTTTGGCTGCTCGGTCGGCGGCTTCGTTGCAGTTGAAAATGTGATTCTTCAAGTGTATCTATTAACCTATAAGCTTCTATGTACTTATATACTTGGTAGGCTTGGTCTGCCTATCTAGGCAGCCAAGCCACAGACTTCATAGTGGCGTATATGCCTAGTAGGCAGATACTCCACCTCGTCACGTGCTGTTCAGAAACAACTGTTGCCAGGAACCCCGACATGTGTGGGAATCCAGCGCAGCTGAACCTCCCATCCTTGGTTACGGAGCTCGTCCAGTGCTCGGACCGCCTGAGCTAGGATATATTGTCCAGAGGGGCATTTGGGGTTGGCCATCGCTTGAATGGCGGCTTGATTGTCAGTGAAGACTATGCACCTCCCGGCGGCGTTGGTCTTTGCGTGGACCGTCGAGTACGATCTGGAATGCCAGCTCCATTCCCCCTCAGCTCTGCCGCGTACACGGTGGAGGTGGTTGATGTGCCCATGTATTCCATTCTCTTCGCTCGAATACCCTGGATTGCCAGCATCGGTGCTACCACCGCAGCCCTAACATGGCCGTCGATGCCACTTTCATCAGTGTGTAAACGCATAGCGTAGATGGATCGGTAGCGTCGTGTTCCTTGAGTGCGATCTCTGGCGACTCAGCGATGTGGGTGAATGGTGGGGTCCACCATGGAGGTACGACGTGTGGTGCGCGTTTCTCTAACTGGTTGAGCTGGATGTCGTACTTCCTTTCGAGGATGTTTTGAAAATCGATCGAGAGGGCTCGGGTCCTTGTTGTTGCTTCCGCAGAGCGTCATTTCCGCGTGGAGTGGTGTGGTGCTGATCCACATGGTGGCTTCGAGAGCCGTTTGTTCGAGCTGTTGCATCACTGGACGCAAGTGTGTCCTCGACGTCTAATGCAGCTCCCGCCGTGGTTCGAAAGGGCCCAGTGATGATCTGCGCCGCACGTCGTAGCATTTACAATAAATGCCCTCAGTGACAAAGATAGCGTTAACCCATGCATCCACTAGTTACGGGAACGCGCAGAGCGCAAAAGGCAAGTTGCGCTAGTGTCACTATGGTTGACCGAGATTCCCCCAATCGCGAGCGAGGCGAGGTAGAAAAAACAAATTTCGCTGGGGCATCGGAAAGACACTGAATGCACCATGGAAGGCTGTGGTCAAATTCTCCTTTGCACAACCGTTCTCCTTACAGCGAAAACGATCCTAGAAGAGGGCCCGTTCCGGCTCTACCATGACCTGTGGTTCTGGCTTACGTCGTTGGATTGGGGAAGTTTCTCGAGGGCCCCTTTTTGGGCTCTAACATTCCCATTCACTTCCAGAGAAAACGGTTCTATACTATCGGATTTGCCATTGCCTCCTAAATCGGTGACCTGTATGAGGGAAGGCAATGGCCTATTTCTCGTCCCCTCTGAAAGAGAGGATATCAGGGCCACGACAAATGAAATCCTTAATACCTGCGGGACGATCGTCGCCGTCTATGCGAAAGATACCTCCTAAACTTACGTCGCCACAATCGCCCTCGAGTGATGATGTCTTCAGTCTCCGCAGCTCATGCGACCTTGCAAGCTTTTGAAAAGCGAGATAAAAGAGAAGGAAGCATCAAAAAAAAGAGTGGTGGGCGAAGAGCGAACGAGAATTTCGAAAAACGCAAACGCAGTCTCCTTAGAAAATGCAATGAGACTGTTGAATTATATGACGCAGATCTATATATCGTTGTTCGCCGGAAGGGGAAGTGTACGGTGTATTCAAGTTATTTCGTTTCCAGTTGGCCTCCTCATCAAGAAGATATGGTGAGCTTTTACCCTCTACATCCCATGTCCTAACTAAGTATATTGTAGGATACTTACTATCCAGTTCCTGTTGTGATGACTCCGGAAGATTTTCGAAGAGAGACTACGGACGACAAGGAAGTTAGCAGTTTGGGTGAGAAAGGTGGCTTCTTTGACGAGCCGACCTCGTCAAGGCCCGCCGCAAAATCGTCGGTAGTCGGAGTGGGACTCAAAGGACCTTGAAAGCTGTCGGGCGTAGATAGGATGGGGGATGGTCAGACTTGAGTGTTTGGATGAGCGGCACAGGCAATATCAGTTATCACACCAGCAACTTGAGTAGTGTTCTCAAAACCTCTCTTCCCTTCTATAGCCACAGGTCCTGGTACATCAACCTCATCGTCGATGGTTTGGCCGACCAGACGTCGGTGTCGACGTCCCAGATTGGCCATCTCGATTGTGTAGTGCTTCTGCAGTATCTTAATGTAGTGGCCGAGCGGGCTCACCCAAACTTGAGTCCATCTAGGCACAGAGGCAAACAGTGGACGAGTCTCAGTCCCTAGCCTTAGTTACGTCTATCAGTGCTCGTGTCAAAGCCCGTGGAAAAAGGAATATGGGTCGGCGAATATGGGTAGAAGAACTAGGTACGTGCCTTTGAGGCACGTGGTTAGCGAAATATAGGGATGTCCCCCTTGGAAAGCGCACCTTGGAAAGCGCACCTTGGAAAACGTACCTGGGTGCGTGCCGCGAGACTTCATTGGGGGCACGTGTTTATCGACGCAGGTAGGGAAATATAGGGATGTGCCCCTTAGAAAGCGTACCTCAGAAAGCGTACCTCAGAAAGCGTACCTCAGAAAGCGTACCTGGGTACGCGCCAAGACTCTGCATTAGGGGGGCACTGGGGGGTATAGAGGCACGTGGTAACGTTACCCAGGTAGGCGGACCCAAGTAGGCGGACCCAAGTAGGCGGACCCAAGTAGGCGGACCCAAGTAGGCGGACCCAAGTAGGCGGACCTAAGTAGGCGGACATAGGTAGGCGGACCTGGGTATGTACTATAGGGGCCCTCCCCAGCCTTCAACGGAGCAGGGAAAAGTTCACCACCTAGGTCTGCCTACTTAGGTCTGCCTACTTGGGTCCACCCACCTAAGTCCGCTTACTCAGAGGATAACCCCTTACTCATCATGTTTTTTCTCTATTCGGGCGTTTGAGCCATCCTCTCCTCATTTGGACGCTTCTCTGTGTCGACTTTCTATTACGGGATCCTGGTGGCCTGCCCCTAGGTCGCTTCTTGGGTTGGTTTTTCCTTGGAAAGCCTACCTGGGTACGCGCCAAGACCATTCATTAGGAGGCACGTATTGAGGCACGTGGTTTATAGACGCAGGTAGGGAAATATAGGGGGGCGTACCTTAGAAAGCGTACCTGGGTGCGCGCCAAAATCCTTCATTGAGTATAGGTTGAGGCACGTGAGCAGAGGAATCTAAGCACGTGGACGCATCTAGATCCGGGCACCTAAATCGGCTCTAGAGCCCGAATTGATAGGGGCGGCGCCGATTTGGGTACCCCTTTGCCCCATCTGTAGCACCGATTGTAAATGTGGTGTGCTGACTCATCTGGCAGAGGGAGAATCAAAAGACAGAACCGACCAACATCCACAATCCGCCATGGCTTATACTGTATCTCAGTGTCTTGATATCCATTCTCCTCTATTTGGCCGGCCGATTTACAGGTTCTGCTGACTCCCACGATGTACAACAATCTCGATCCGTTGGCCTTCCATGATCAGTCAATAAGACTCGCCAAAAGTTACAGTGTAAAACTCATGTGAGCCCGGCCTTGTCGGAAAGATGAGAGCTGCCAAAAGAGATTCGTGTGCCTGGCTCAGTAACTCCACAAGGCCTATTTCTGGGAACTCTCGAGCAGTCAGCTTGGCCGCTGTCCCGGGGAATTCTTGAGCTCATATCGGCTCACCAGTACGGAATTGTACCTTCAGAGAATCCGAAACACTCAAATAAACACCGATTCATATTCACAGCCGTCCTTCCAAATGAATCGACTCTGAATCCTGTGACAAGATTCACACGCAGCCAACCACCGGGTTCAATGGAAAGTGGCCCAACGCGGTAATAGTGAACTCGGGAATAATGCCATCTGGATCAATCTAGAAAACAAGTTGGTCTTAGATCATGGTTAACCTCTAGCGACACCAATACGAATTCAAGTTGTAGGCTTTAGAAACGGTCTATTATCGATGTCAGCCCGTGTGCGGCACTAGAAGCAGGCGACGGCCCATAAAGCCCCAAATTGTCCAAACCCAGCGTCGAAGACGTGCGGTCGTTGACAACTTATTGTCGTCAGTAAGTCAGCTCTTTGCAGGGTAAGGACTAACCCCTTTGCAGTATTGTTCTGTCAGTTGCAAGAACCTCCACTGGACAACGCGTAAATCCGACTGCAAATATAACGTAGCATTATCCTCATGGTTTCCCAAATCTGCTCAGTGACGGCCACGCTCCGGGTTTTCGTAAGCGCCGGTCCTCCTTATGACCCTTATTCCCGGATGTTCGTCCAGGAATACACAGACACATCCGAATTGTCAAAGCGCGGTGATCAGCTGAATGTCCGAAAGATATCGTAATTATGCATACGCGCTTCATGGTTCTTGAAGTGCATGTGTCCACGGAGGACGACAGCGGAGGCTTGACATTCGGGGTCCAGGCATGGGATGTCATCGTTTTCCTTAAATTGTTTGAGATGGAGTTCGACATGATCCCGAGTTTTGTACACTGTTGAGAAGTTGTGCAGTCGGACTTCGCATGGCTCTCTTGTGTTCCAGAAGCAGAAGACGCACTGCGTGGTTGTCGGAGCCTTGGGAAAGGGCTGACGGTCTGACGATTCAATTTTCGCTTGAACTCCCCATGTTCGATCCGGTTTGTGCCGCAGCGGGATGTCCTTCTTTTGGCACAAGGCGACGAGAGCGTTCGCGGTACGGATCCTGTGACAGAACTTGTCCTGATCACCAAGCTGGCAAGTATCCTGGCAGATAAGGTCCGCAACCACTCGCCGTTCTTCCAAATGGTGTTCCACCTTTTCGGGCACCCAGTCGCCCTCCTCGAGATCGAGCATAGAGAGATCAAGCTGCTTGTTGATCTCAATTGTGCTAATTGTGTCGAAAAACTGCTGTCGCGCGGCTTTCTTCGCCGACTTGAGTGCTGTCCATTTTGTAGAACGAAGCGCTCGGTCGGCCTCCTTGTACATCCGGTAGATCTTAGTCCCTTCAGCTTCCGCCTGCTTCAGAGTTCCAGATTCTTTGCGCGCTTCGTTGGTCAATCGGTCTCTCAGCTCTCGAAGCTGAACAATGGCCGGGTCGGCCTTAAGACCATCAATTTCACGTGAAGCGAGCCCTGTTGGTGCTCGTGGGTCGGCGTGTCGACTCATATGTGTGACTGCTTTAAACAGAGCCCTGGACGAAGGCTGGCCAAGGAAAGCAGCCTGTACGTCACACTGGACACGTTGATTGATGTATGCTTGATAGATACCAGCATCCCTATGACACATAACTTGCTGAAGCTGAGGTTGAGTTGCAACAGCTATAGGATGTCAGTATCAAACCCATCGTTCTGTATGGCCAGTGTCACATACCTTCAACGGCCTCACCAGCTCCTCTCCGGATGACATAGGCTCCCAGGATTTGCATGAGTCCTGCTTGGAGACCCAATCGCTGAAGATAGTAGAGATAGGTGTGGTAACGTAACGCTTTCGTCGGCGACGTTTGAATGCCAGTGGAAGTGCGTTCAGCTTGGCGGAAGATTGGCTTTTTCATCATCTCCGCACGCCATCTAAATTCCAAACTGCGTCGTGGCGGACGGACTCGAATCCGCAATATATCCTCCATTGATGTTACCTTGGACTCGAAAGCATCGTCGAGGATGGCGACAATAATCATCAATAGGATCGCATCAAAAACAAGAGTATCAACCTCAGTAAGGATGTACGTTTTCCTGCCGAAAATGTCAGTAGGGCATCACATACATGATTTCGAGCAAACACTAACGGATTTGGTTTTTTCTTCCATCCCTTAGTATACTTCAGCGTTACCTCCATCGCGAGAAGATCTCGTTTTCCTTCAGGGTTCGGAAGCATAAGAAGCGTCACATCTTCATAGCAGAGAGTCTTGATATCTTCCCAATCCAGTTCCATTTTACCATTATCGTTGTCCTCATCATTCTCCCATCCAAGGTAGTGTTCTCTTTGTTTGATTGGATCGGTCACTTTGTACACCAAAGCGGCCGGCCTCGTTGCTGTGTACGCGGAAAGAAGAATCAAGAAAGCGAGCTGGAGTCGTTGTCGTTCATCCGGGAAGACCGATGTGTCCAGAACCCAGAGATGATGGAGGACAAGATACACGTCGTCAACGTCCATAACTGGCTTTTCCCGCACGGATGTGTCGAGGTTATACTCAATGGTCAAGTATCCATCAATGTACTACCTCAGATTAGTCATTGCTCCAGAAGAATAAACACATCTTGGTTCTTACGTCACGGACCTCCTCCATGACTTTAGCATGTAAACTCTTCCCCACGGACTTTCGGTACAGCATGCACCATACTCTCCAGTATTCGTCCAAAGTGCTTCTTTTCCGGACTCTGGAATAAACGTCCAATATCCATTTGAGGAAGGTCATAATATCTTCTTTAGTGGCGTGTACGAGGAAGTGAAGCCTGTCTTCTCCTAGAAAATCGCAATGACTGGTTTTGCTGTCAGCAACTTCTCCCCTCGGTAGGTCCTAAACCGTGTACACCCTTACCGTATCCATTTTTTCATCACTCCAAAAATATTTTCTTTTGTGGAGTCTGCATGGGACTTCTTCACAGTGCCCTTCTCAGCAAGTCGTTGACGATGTCTTCGATAATGTTCGGCCGAGTATTGGGCCGCTGGCCTCTGGTTAAGCGGCTGTAGGGTCATACCGCCTCTGGGAAGATCTTTCTTTCCCAAACTCCTTCCGTCTACCGATAGTGTTGGATGATGCGAAGTAGTCGCTGGCAAGTAGGGGAGGAAGGTCGGAAGAGAAATTCCTCATGGAATGCAGAATAGTAAGAATCTCGGGATCCGGTCGAGACATCAAAATTGGGTAGAGCCGCAGGAATGCACGAGGAGATGGGAGATGGGAACGTAGTTCGAGTCGAGTTTACGAACGCCCTCTCTCTGTGTGGCAGTGTCAGGAAATCCACGGGGACCGTCCCTCCAGGTCCTCGAGGCGCCATGGCCAGGGTGGTGCAGTCAAAGGCGCCCATCTTTTCGAAGAGTTGGATGGAGCCCGTTCTGTTTCTGAAAGTGGACTGTTTCTGGTCCCAACGATGGTTGCGAAGTGCATGAGAAGGGAACTTTGATTGACGACCAAGGGAAGGTAGACCGAGGAGGGTGCAGCCTGACGTAGGAACTGACCAGGGGGGCGATCTTGGCGTCGAGGGAAGAAAGCCTCCAAAAGCGGCGGCGCTGACCGCCAAATTCGGCGGGAAATTTCCCTGCACCCTTCGTTGACCTGTAATATCATGTTCGGTGGCATCAATTGACCTGCCGCCAGATCCTGGCCATGCTTCTAACAAAATTCGAAGCTTGTAGGCTTCATAGCTCGCTGCCTGTGCAAGAGCTGGCTGTCAGGAAGGGGAAGAAAAGCAATACATCCAATAAGTCCCGCATTCACCAATTTCCTTCCATGATCTTGATCATATCATCTGTGGCATTAGCCTCTTCCACTTCATCATCAGTATCTGAGCCATCCTGGAAAAAACCGTATCCCTCGTCGAAATCGAACTCTTCTTCGAAGAAGCAGACTAGTTCGCTTGATGAATCTGAACGGCTATCAAAGAAATTGGTTGGGTCGGATGGGTCGGTTGTGACTTGAAATTATTAGTTGACTCTGTTGCAGTACAGTATTTGGCTCACAGCTTAGACTTACGAGAAAGCCCGGTAAAGAGGTCCGACAAGTGTTCTGCCTCAACCAGTTTCCGATTGCGCAGAAAAGCAGGAATGACGATCTCTTCATACCAATTCTCATTTTGAACTAAGTCTTCCCATTGCCAATGGCCCACTATCTCCTTATTTGTAACCTCCCACAAGCAAATATAGTGATCTTTATAGTATTCGTTGGTTTTGTTGTACGGGTCAGCGACATCATAGTATTCCATCTCATCACTGACATGCAGAACGGGGAGGCCGTTTCGAATTCGATAATTGGGATCCACAGCCGTTAGAGTAGATGGTCCTCGATGCCGTTGAGCCCTCAAGTTAGCGAGATCTTCAACTTTGGAAGGTGCGGTTGTGAATGAGACATAAGGAGTTGGAATCCAGACTCTGTGGTTAATATGAACAGTTAATGATTCCTTCCGAGAATTGAACGTATCAAGTCGTCCACGCGTCGCTCTTGCTCTCATATAACCGTCTTTATCTGGTTGGCTTCCTGAATTATGGTCCCAAAGCCTGAGCAATGGCCGACTAAAGATCGGGAACTGCGCCCGCCACGGATGCTGATGCTCTTCTGCTTGGAACACACTTGCTGATAGAGGGTTTAGTAGGCTCCGAACGGTATCACGGTCAAGGGAGACCCCGTCCTCCATTGCTAAGATGGACACTTGATGGCATCGGTGCATGGATCTTGACTGCGATGGGCGATGACCCCCGCCTCCCGAAACGCGGGGAGCCGCCTTGGCAAGGGGAACTACGAGATGCACCCAGACGCCCGTAATAACTCTCTACGACTGTAGAAATACTCCTTCAATCGTACTCGTTCAAACTTTACCATTTACCTGCATATCTGTTTCCTTATATGCAATGAACGCAATCCTTGGGAGTCAAGTCTGTCGCATCTAGGTGTGCGTGATGGTCAGAAGGCCATGTGCAATTAATGTAATCGTAACCGCTGAAATCAGGAGAAGCATGGTCATTGGAAGGGCGAATGAAGAACGAATGGTGTGCCCGCCGCTAGACTTTCCCTCATGAAGAAAAATACAGGAGGTATGGTTTAAACCAATAGTCTTGGGGTTAACCCGATCTTTGACTGGTTCAGACCTTATTGTGGATGGGCTGAACCGTCTCATTTGTGATCCAAACCATGGGTCTTTGGGTTTGAACCCGAAAACATAGGGTCTAAACCCAAAGAATTTGGGCTTGAACCCCTTGATATGCGGGTTAGAACATACAACTCTTCATCCTGAGGAAGGTCTAGCGGGTGGTTACGATTACGTCAATTGCATGCTTTCTGACTTACCAACGCCCAAAGGAAGGTCGGGCATGTTCTAGATGTAAGACGTCACGTGAGGATGTCGAAGTCAGCCCTTTTGGTACTCTCACCAACACAACCAAGGACCGATTTTACGAGTCTCCGTCCGTACACACCTAATAGTCCGCATTGAATGCCACGAAATTAAACGGGAACAAAGCCACGAACCTTCTACGACCCTTTCTATATTGAATGCCGCGCGAATGGTGCGCTCATTGAACGAGGTCTTGACGGCCAAATCCTCCACACGCTTCCATACTACATGTCTTGCGACTTTTTAACCTAAAAGCCAAGTTCTCCCAACCCAGGTATACTCTCAGGAATTGTAGATGTAGACGAAGTACAGGTCTATCCGCAGAAGAATCAGAAAGGACGTCTTGTAAAAGTTGAGTTATCTCTGCTGATCTAGAAGAGAGCCAGAGGGCGTTATCCTAGGTCTGGAAGTAGTAGGGTTTATGCGGGTCTGAGGCAAGGCCCTTCATAACACCCATGTTTTATCAAAGATCCGTTCGCCGACGCTTCAGAACTCAATCAGATATGGAATTATCGTCATAGAGAAGCATCAATGGCCGGAATCTATCAAGACACTCGAGCAAGTCTTGGAAAACCTCCTCGCTCAAGCTTCCCTCCATAGTCTTAATTCCCCCAGTACCAAAACAAGTCTAAAGAACACGACAGACAAGATTCCGAGGAGGGTTCAGCCAACATCTACTCGGATGGATGAATCACGAAAGCACTGATGCAGCTATTAGGATTGATCGACTTGTCTGGGTTTGAGAAAAAGTATTCTTGCGGGTCTGTGCTCGTCTGTGCTCGTCCACAAAGACCACCACCACTCCAGGGAAGTATTCTCTTATTGGAGATAGTACTTGCATTTCCGGCTCTTCTTCTCTCCTACGTTCGAAACTAGAGCAGCCGCTTCATTCTCTATCTCTTTGGCACGATGGCAAGCGTGCTTGCGGCTGCTACCTGGGATCCATTACGATATTGCAGCTCAAAGGAGTTGTCTCGACTCGATGAGAGATTTGATTTCGCACTGCAAGATGTGACTTGTCTTGTTTTTTGGACCGGCGTGCCGCCTGAGCTTGCCCGACGATGGGCAGAGGAACACGATTTGCCGACACTGACCCTCGCAATGGGTCCCTTATACAGCGATCGCAATGCAGGTAGTGTGAGATATGGCAAGAGCTCGAAAGCTTGGTCCAGGTATATGAAGGCGGCTTCTGGTCGATTTGCAGAGTACGCATGCCGTGGTGGCCGTCAGGCCGTTGTCCTCACAAAACCCCCTCCAAGTATCTACAGCACCAGAAAGCGATCGAACTATCGATAACTAGAAGAACCGATTCTGAAAGGGCTCGTCGGCGGACCTGGTACCGTCCGAATCGAATATGCACATCCTACAGTGGCGGACGGAGCCGCTTTTCAGTATCAAATCTGGCCCCTTGATAAATCGAACACGTGGCAAACATTCATCGCGAAACTACTCGCAAGGGGACGTATCACTCGTGATTATACATCTGCGGAGCATGATGTTGCTATGGGAATGGTGCAAATATGTAGAAACGGTTGTCCAATTGCAGAATATCACACAAACCAATGGTGAACAATGCAAAGCAGAGACGGCGTCACACAAGGTTCAGGAAACGAAAGAGAATATGCGAAAGCAAGCTGAATTGGAACAGCGAATAGCGCTGGAAAAGAAAGAGGCTAAGCGACAGAAGAGTGAATCCGAGCGACAGCAAGCATTTGAGAAGAGAGAGATTAAACGAAAGCGGGTGGAGCTTGAGCAGCAGAGAGCACTTGAGAAGAAAGAGGCAAAGCAAAATAAGGTGATATTGGAGCAACAGAAAGCACTAGAGAAGAGAGAGATCAAGCGAAAGCGGCTGGAGCTAGAGGAACAGATAGCACTCGAAAGGAAACAAGCAAAGCGAAAGGCAACTTGAACTGGAACGACGAAAGGCTGAGGGGAAGCAAGACCGGTACAGCCGTCCTCTGCCTAGACCATGCCCGATCTGGTCTGGTTTCCATCGGCCTACCTTCCTTCCTTTGGAGCAGTGTCTGTCTCATCTGTGCGTTTGAAGGCTCCAGCCAACGACCAATTTATAATCATCAGCATCCGCGCTGGAGTCAATCTAAATAAATAAGAGTTCTCTAGAAGGAAGAGGTGAGCACCACAGGCACTTATCCATCCAAGGCATCGAGCTCCCATTAGCAATACTGATAACGTTCCATTGAGTCTTAGTCAATGAGCCACTTTATGGTCTTCTGATACCCATCTCTGTCGGTCTGATCTGCCTCGGGGTTTTTCATCTGCAAATAAGGTCTGTGAAGCTGGTACCAAAGCTGGGAACGGTATCTTGACAACCACCTCTTTCTCGTTGGGCTTAATTACCGTTAAGGCCTTGTTACAGCTGCCCTCGCCCGGATTTCACCTCTCGAACTAGTTCGCTCGGTTGGCCAAAATGTTGGAGAGGGCCTGCCAGGGTCGGAGCTCCCTTCGTTTTGCCGTCCTCAGAGGCCTGTCGGCGGAACGTCATATGGCACATGACACGCCTCGCCTTTGTAAATCTTAGAAATCTTTGCAAGCCTCAAGGGTCACTCGAGCACTGACTAGCAAGTTTCCGGCCCCCTGATAAAGTGAGGGATTTGGTCTTGAACAGTCACGGTGCCTCTACCAGAGTCTGCCTTGCTGGATCAGCAGCAACCCCACGCGCTGGTGCGACAACAAGAAGTCAATGCCGGGATCAGGGTCCGTTGACAGCAAATCATGGCTCAGAGCTATCTGATCTCCATGGAATGGTGACGAACGGGTAGACGGAAGGGTTGAATATCGCTTGGCTTTGGCTGGTCATCAGCATTCTTCTCCTCGACGGGGGTAGACCACGGTACGCTTCGTTTAGATCCTGGCGAGTCTCATGATTGTCACCGTGGAACTTCTGTTCTTGTGAGATGGAGAGCGCTGCACGGCTGAGAACTGTGCTGTCATCGGTCACCTGCCAGCGCCGCATACGTCTAGAGTCCTTTCACAAGTCGTTTGGGAATCCTGGGATTCCCAAAGGACATCCCACAGTCGTATTAAATCATCTCATCCACCCTTTCCTGTTCGTCCTCCCTGCTCTCTTCTTTAGCACCTTAGCCTTTGATCTTGTGTACATCAACTTGACAATCCGTCTTTTCTTTCCCATCTGCACCGCTGATGATGGCTTCCAGTAACTCTGACTCTGGCTCTGAGTACGAATCTGAGAACCGTCAATTGACAAGCACTGAAGAGGAAGTGATCGCGCTGTTTCGGAGGCTGCTCCATTTGGTGGCTTCGGACGCAACGATTGATCTCGGAAATTTAGAGGAGGTACGTGCGTTAGTACTCGTTGTTCTTGGTATTGGGCACTGACGATGAGCTGAGGCAGTTTTCCGTCATAATTCGACAACTGTGTGAAGAGGGCCCCGAGATTGTGGATGTGTTGGCAACGACGATCCAGGAGGAGAGGAGCACCATCGACTCTCTTCAGCAGGAACAAGACAAGGTGGAAAAGAGCATCAGCCACAATACGAAGCGCACCCGCCTGTCGAGTAAGGATCTGACCTACCGACCCCCAAAGTCTACCAAGGACAAAACAAAAAACCCTTGTCCCTTGAGCGATTCTGGCCTCCCCCAGACCTCTAAACTTCGCCCCTCGGTCGAAGACTCTACTGCCAATAAGACCCAAAGGTCGTCAGTCCAAAACACGGGGGTCAATCTGGACAGGTCCAGCGAGGACGACAATTCACCTCGACTTGAGAAAACGCCACCGCCGAATCACCAACAAGGTGTCACTCAGGATGTGCTTGTCCGGGACGACGGCACCGCAGACGGTCGAGGGACCGCCGTCGAAGCAAGCAACGATACGAACGCGACAATTGAGACAACGGAAGAAGCACAGAACCATGCTGAGAACACGAAGGGGGGTGTCTTGTCTCGACCGTCGATGCCTCTCGCAAAATCTGACCCAGCAGTGCTCACTCCCACGAAACCAGTTGAGGGCACATCGATCTCACCACAAACGGAAGAGATTTACCGAGAGAGAATGTTGACACCGCTTGAAAGCATTGCGTCACCTGCGGGATTGCAATCAGCATTGTTCTCGCACGAGACAAATTCATTCATGGACCTCATCATTGAGGCAGTTGGGGTCATCCATCAGCTCAAGAAGTACCCGGACGCAGTGTCGGCGGATGTCCATTCTAGAATCCTCCAGACGCACCGGAGAAACAATCAAGAGACAGCTTCCCGGTTGAACTTGGGTCAAAGGTGGTCTGATGGGTCAATGTGGATCCGCATACTCGAGAATGGGTCGGCACGGAACCAGAAGGGTACGATCCTCAGTATGATAGAATATATGGGGTTCTGGGAGTGGTATGATGAACAGATTCAGCTTGCGATGAAGACGATTCGCACCCGGAAGGGTAAGTTAGTGGATCATAAAGGCGCAGCTACATATGTACTGGACTCCATGCAGAACATGTCATCCGGAGCCGCAACTCGAGGGAAATGGATCAGCGGCGTGGGCAGGGTGACAATTGAGAATGAAGGGAACACCGCTGATATTTCCACTGAGAAGAGCGAGGGGGTTATCGCCACGAAGGATCAACAACTTCGAAGGCAAACAAAGGTACAACTCAGCAGGGGTCAAAAATTGAGCAAGAAGCTTGTTAAAGAGCTTAGCCTAGGGATTCTTTTCAGCCCGAAAATCTGGTAAGTCTTACCACGCGTTGACACTGTCCATGATCTGAACGCCCTGTCACAGGGAATACACCAAGATGGAGGGAAAGCAGCTCGACGAGTTGATCAGGTGCATTCAGGCGGATCAGCGGCGGATGCAACTGCTTGGAATGCTTGGGACACAGCTAGAGCGGTTGGTCGGCGAAGGACAACCTGACCTCCACGCCTTGTACGATGGACTGCGCCAACAGAAGCTCGTATCACAGAAAGAGCTCGAGCACCTTCGCGTGGCCTTCGCTTTAGATTCAGTGAGTGATCGAAATCTCCCAGAGACCCCATCAACTAAGACCAGACTTCTCGCGCAGGATCCGATGCCGAAAGGTATCTTAGATGTGGCGGTCCGCAGGTTGATCGGAGACGTCAGTATGAAGGTACTAGGGAAGCATAAGCTCGAAAACATCGACGCTGTGGCAGTGAACAACACACCGGTGACTTGTGACACATTCGACAGACTTCGGTACGGAGAATGGTTGAATGACGAAATGATCAACCTCGCTATGAATATATCAGATAAGCCCGACTTCGTCAAGCACGGCTACAGTGTCCCGCTGGACAAAGTCGGGAAGACCAGAATGACAACACCTATCAATAGACCACTCGCGGCTTGGGCTCGGCGGATCAAACGCCTTCGTGAAGGAGAGAGAAACGGGTTACAAAGGACGACTCCGTTGGTGTACTTCTGCCCATTGAACCATCGCGGTGCACACTTCACGCTACTTGAGATCAACGATCAGGAGAGGGTAATCCGTCACTATGACTCAATGGCGGATCGAGCCACGATCAATGGTAGTGGAAAGCAGACAAGAGTCGCTCGGCTGGTAGAGGTGAGATCTTCCTTGTTGTTTGAGAAACGACAGCTGTCCTGAAACGAATACAGGAAGAGTTCACAGACTTGAAATATTCCTACATTGAAGCGGTGAGTGTCACTCTCCCCGAGTAAATTACTTTCATTGTTCCGGGAGTAACGTTCATATGGCGGGTAGCCCACACCGCAGCAGGCCGAAACCTGGAGCTGTGGTATCAGGGTTATCTGGAATTTCAAGTTGTTGTCAAATGGTCTCTCCATTGGAGGATGGGATATTGTGCTGGATCCCGAGCGCATTAAGATGGAGCTTGTGGAAGGCTTTCACACTTCTGTACAAGAGGGGGTTATGAGCAAATACATGAATGAGTGCGGTGAACCTTCCAGCGATTCGGAGCAAAGTTGCGCCAAGCAGTCAAAGAAGCGCTGCAGGATGAATTCGTCGGCAATCGATCAACGGCCAACTCGAAAAACCGCCAATAAGTGACTTATTATATTCTAGTTAAGGTCAGATATACAGTGATGTGCAGAATTGCCGTCTCTCAAATAAACATAGAATCATTGAAAGAGAAGTGGACCTGGTCCACCATGACTCATGCCTTGCCTACCACGGTTTAGGTCAAACAGCCAGGCTCACCAATCACGTCGAACTTGCGTTTCTGGTGTAATATACATAAAATTCTGTACGCTCTCGCTCTCCGTCATTACATAGAATTAATGATGTTCTTAGCAAGAGTGTGGTATGGTCACGTGCTTATGGTGGCTTGGTTGACTTTGAACTGTGTTCGTGCGCGAGGCCTCTACTGGCTACGCTACCACAAGACTTCATGCGAGCTGTTCCCTTTCCCATAATAATCTTTGGTGGGTGTAGCTAGAATAGTCACTTTTTAATCGATCTGAGCCTACCGAATCAGCTCGCATCTCAAAATGCAGTATATAGTGGAAATTTATGATTCACTTCGGCTGGATAGAGTGCCACAACGCCACTCCCGTGTGGCGTTGTGGGAGGACCACACAGCAATACGGCGAACTTTAGACATCTTGGCGGCAATAGGCTCCTCACACCCGCGTGGGGGAGTTCCTGTCACGTGCTGGCTGCGGCGAGGGAGAGTTGTGATACCAGCTCTTTTCACTGTTGTGTCCAGCACCTAACCTCGCGACCTATGTACACTCTGAACATGTTTTCGAGCCCGCCTTCGAAGCCTATTTCAATAAATCAACATAACGAGTCCGTTGCCCAATGTCAAAGTTGCGTGCATGAGGCTGTAACGCCACAAGGCCAGAGCGGTCTGGATCTCTCCAGCCTGATCTCAGCCGCATTGCTCTGGAAACGTACATGACTGCTCTCCCACAGCCTTCCTGCACCACGGTGACTGACACTTTGGAACTTCCAAGACTATATACCAAGTATTTCTCCATTGTGAAGAAGCGAGCAATATCTCTGTCTGCCTCCTAGAGGAAACGTGTCACGTAATTCCTGAGCCTGCACCTAATCTCGTTCCGACTGCACCAGCAACCAGAATGATGGCAGTCCATTCAAATATGAAACAACTTACCTATGATGATTACACCGTGGGGATTATATGTCCACTGGAGGTCGAAATGACGGCTCTGCGATACATGCTGGATGAAGAACACATCAGGCTACCGGGCAGGGATGGTGATCGCAACAGATACATACTGGGAAAGATGGGGAAGCACAATGTCGCCGTTGGTTATTTGCCTCAGGGATCGCAGGGTATTGGTGCCGCGGCCACCGTGGCGACAGATATGAGAAGAACCTTCTCTTCGATCTACCTGCGCTTACTGGTGGGAATCGGAGGAGGAATTCCCAGTCAAAAGAATGAAATTCGTCTCGGTGATGTGGTTGTGGGTATGCCAGATGGTATCCACGGTGGTGTGGTACAATACGATCTGGGAAAGAGGACGGGTGATGGATTCGAACGTAAGGGGTTCCTCTGTCCCCCACCCGACGAATGGAGAACCGCTGTTGTGGAAATGAAGTCGGATCATGAAGCGAAGCCTAACAAAATTGCCGGATTCGTATCACAAATGTTAGGAGCGTTTCCTAAATTGCAGAAGTACTCTCGACCGGCTACGAACCATGACATCCTCTTTCCGGCCGACACTAAACATATTCGCGACAAGCTAACATGTGACCAGTGCGACAAGAGTCAGATCATTCCTCCTCGAGGCTCGACCGGCCCTGAGATATTTTATGGAACAATTGCGTCAGGCGACACTGTCATCAAGGATGCCAAGGTCAGGGACGACTTGAGTAAGGTATCTGGAGGGGCACTCTGCTTTGAGATGGAGGCGGCGGGGTTATCTAATGGATTTCCTTGTGTCGTCATCCGGGGTATTTGTGACTACGCTGATTCTCACAAAAATGACTTGTGGCATCCTTATGCTGCAGCGACGGCAGCGGCTTGCGCGAAGGAGCTCCTCACTTATATGGATGTGGTTCCTGGTACGTCAGTCTCATGAAAAACTCCTCATATATACCTCTACAATCTACAATGTATTAATCATGTCCTCTTACTCAATTGTTCCATTGTGTGCACATCGAGAGACACTGACTAGCATGTATAGCACCAAAGCCGGTTAAAGCGAAGTCGTACTTTTTAGTGCCAAGACTGCGGGTGAAGAACTTCTTTGGCCGCGAAGAACAGCTTAAGCAGGTCACGTCCTACTTCAAAGGCGATGTGGAGCGACCTCGCCTCTTAGTGCTCCATGCACTGGGAGGCCAGGGAAAGAGTCAAATTGCCCTTGAATATTGTCAACAAGCGCGAAAAACATACCAAGGGGTCTTCTGGGTCAACAGCAGCTCTAAATCTACCCTGACGCAAGCTATTGTCAGCGTTGGACGCGAAATCAATGCAGCAGCAACGGAGGCATTGGGTGACGACGATGCGAAGATCGCTTTTACTCTCCGTACACTCGAACAATGGGAGGAGCGTTGGCTGATGGTGTTTGATAATTGTGATGATCCGACCACTTTCTCAGATATCGAGCAGTTTATCCCTCAAGGTATGTCGTCTGAGGAGGTCACTTATATCGATGCTAACTTCGACAGGTGGCCGAGGGGATGTTCTCTTCACCAGTCGTCATCGGGGTCTGGGAGAGTTAGGGCGTATCATCGATATCCCACCTATGCCGGACAAGGCCGGTGTCGAGTTGCTTCTGCATCGATATACCGGCATCGATGTGAACCAATATTTATCTGAAGGCTCTACCATCGTGAGACGGCTGGGGGGTCTGGCCTTGGCCATCGACCAAGCATCCGCCTATATGGCGTATCAGCAACTACCAGTCGACCAGTTGAGTGATTTCTTAGCGCGCTTTGAGGCGGAGCGGAAGAAGGTACTTCAGCATACGGCTGAACACTTTTGGCGATACATGAAGATTGACGATGAGAATGGGCGGGGGAAAGCCATTAATGCATTCACCACGTGGGAAATGTCGTTCCACCAGTTCCTATCGGCCTATAATCCGCCCCAGCTCGTGAAGCACTTTCTTACTCTCGCGGCGTTCTTGGGTCCTACTCGAGTCAGCGAGTCTCTGTTTAAGTTTCACCGAGAGCTGGAGGACCCTCCACCGGACTGGTGCGACATTTTCACGACTTCCTGTCGCTCAGAGGATGACAGCTCTTCCAGCGACGCTGAGGAAGAAATTGACCGCGAAGAGCAAATAACCCGTGACCGAACCGCGGAGGCTCAAAACACGGGCCCAGAAGGTTCGAAGAAGATGTGGGTCGCTGAACATTTTTGGCGTCTCATCCAGCAGGCGCACCAGATGTCGCTCTTACAAGATATCATACCATCGCCACCGTCCAAAGAAGCCAGCTTTCTGCTACATCCGCTGATTCGTGACTGGCTGCAGTTACGATTACGCTCGAAAGAGCGGCAGACGTATACTCGCGAGGCTGTCGATGTGGTTGTTAGTTCTATTCGAACTTATCGAAACCGGGTTAGCGATGCCACGATTAAGCGGTCGATTCTCCTGCACATGGATGCCACTCTCTTGACGATGAGAGACTTCCTTAAAGATGGTGCTCGACTGGGCCAAGATATTACGAACAGCGACAACGCGGATTGGTTTGCTTTATTCTATCGAGACCAGGGCCATTTCAATACCAGTCTCAATCTATATCGTACAGTTATTATAACGAGAGAGAGGGTGCAGGGGAAGGAGCATCCATCGACGCTGACGAGCATGAACAACCTTGCTTTAGTGCTGAGGGATCAGGGAAAGTATGAGGCGGCGGAGCAGTTGCATCGAGAGGAACTGGAAGTGAGGGAGAGGGTGCAGGGGAAGGAGCATCCATCAACGCTGACGAGCATGAACAACCTCGCTTTAGTGCTGAGTGATCAGGGAAAGTATGAGGCGGCGGAGAAGATACATCGAGAGGTGGTGGAAGTGAGGGAGCGGGTGCTGGGGAAGGAGCATCCATCGACGCTGATGAGCATAGGCAACCTCGCTTTAGTGCTAAGCGATCAGGGAAAGTATGAGGCGGCGGAGCAGATGCATCGAGAGGTGGTGGAAGTGAGGGAGCGGGTGCTGGGGAAGGAGCATCCAGACACGCTGACGAGCATACACAACCTCGCAACTGTGCTGTGTGATCAAGGCAAGTACAAGGACGCAGAGCAAATTCAAGCCGTGGTTGTTGTGGGAATGTTGAGAGTCTTCGGGGTCGACCATCCTAACAGCCAAACTAGCATGAGCATCATGCTCGACATATGGGAACACCAAAGCATGGATGAACGTGCTAGAGAACATGCGCTTCTTACACTCCTTAATGGGGTGACAGGGGGAACCAATCCACTGGAACAGGAGGCTCGATGAAGTATGGTCACAGCATGAGAACTTCTACATACACCGTAACATACGGTCATACATGTATAGCTGTACCGGCCATGCAGTATGGCTAGGGGACTGAACCAGAAAGGAAACTCTCTCGAGACTCTCTCCTAAATTGCCGGCTACTTATAATGACATTTTAATCTTAGTCACGGGACAACGCGCCTCGCGGTGTGATGACCTGCAGTATGGCGCCTTTTCTGTAATGCCAAGCTGTCCATTAGTAGCTGCCTTCCCTATTGGATGGAGAGAATAAATTCAAATGACTCAATTATCATTCCTCATACCACTACATTTCTAAGCTCAAAGTTAAAGTCTCCAATCATTGGCCCATGCCAGGGTCTAAAGCTTAACTGTAAGTGGTAAGACTAGGCTGCAGTGATGGGTACTGACATGGGTTTCCACAGATTCTTTGCTTATCCAGGGTGACGACAATTCTGCACATCTCTGTACGTCACGTCAGAGGTAATACAGCAGATCACTGTAAAACGAAGAGACTTTTTCGACAAATTATCTTCTGAAGTGTATTTGGGCCTGTGTCAGACGCGTCGCGGGAGACTTAGAGCCCTGACGCGTCCGACGCGCGCTAGCGCCGGCAGCTCCCGATTGGAAGATGCCGACTGCACGCAGTGTAACAGCGCCGGTGACACCAAAGCGACAACGAGCCCCCTCGAACAGAGTGAGAAAGCCCAGTGCTAAGGCGCTTCAACAAGACAGAGACGATGATTCAGACTTGGAGACAATTACCGTGGCCGCCGAGGAAGACGCATCCTGGACGCCACGACACAGAAGAGAAGAGACCAACAGCACACCACCACAAGCAGAATTCAGGAGGTTCACCAGAGAGTATGGAAAACAAAGGAACGACAACACCATCTTCAAAGACCATGAAGAGAGCGCCAGATTTGAGATTACCGGTGGAGGTGAAGGAAGAGGCACGAAAGTCGACAAGCTCGTGAGACTCATCCTGAACCTAGAGAAGACCATCACGCAGCAGACCAACCTCATCGAGAAGCAGAACAACACCATCGAGGTCATCCGAAGTGACCTTGCAGAAATTAAGGAAGAGCAGCAGAATCTCACGAGACAAAATGCCGACCTCCAGGAGCAAGTCCACTTCCTACAATCCCAAGTCAGCACCATCACCGCCTCCCCGCCTCCTCCGCGATCATGGGCATCAGTCGTGGGATACCAAGACAGAGCAGGGGCCACGCAACGGACACAGGATGCGAAGGCCTCCACCGATAACAATCACGCGAGACGGCTCTTCGGCCCCCCGGCCACTACGGATGCGCTGTACTGCGTTATCGACACCTCGAGAGTGGCGGAAGAAGACGCCGACAAGACCTCACCCAGCGCGATCAGAGCGGCCGTAGAAAAAGAGATCCGAATTACGAATGGACAAGACAACTGGCGCTGCCGAGCAGTGACCAGAGACGCGAAAAACACGAGCCGGGTTAGAATCGCGTGCAGGGATGAGACCGAACAACAAATGGTCAAGCAAGCGGCAGAGACGAAGACAGCACCGGGCATCAGAGTCCTGAGAGACGAACTCTACCCGATCAAAGTGGACAATGTCAATCGGCTGGCGGTCCTGGATGAACATGGAGAGATCCGCACCGGAGCAGCAGAGGCCTTCGGCCGAGAGAACGAGACAACCGTGGCTAAGCTGTCATGGCTGAGCAAGAAAAGCGTGGCAAAGGCGTATGGGTCCATGGTGGTATACCTCACGAAAGGCAGCGACGCAAGCCGCCTCCTGAGGGAGGGCTTCTTCCACGTCGCGGGAGAGTCTGGATATACTGGAATATTCGAACGCCGGCCTCGACCTGAACAATGCTTCAACTGTCAAGAGCTCGGTCACAAAGCATTTCAGTGCAAGAACGCCCAGAGATGTGCGAGGTGTGCCGGTACAGGCCATCGTCATAGTGAATGTATCGAGACCGTCTTAAAATGTGTCCCATGTGGGGGTCCACATGAGTCATTTAGTAGGAACTGCCGAAAGCTCTACCCATCGCGACATGAGTAGAACATTTCGCATGATCCAGCTCAATGTGAGAAAGCAAGGTGAGGTGCACGATAGTCTAATGAACGACGAGGAGATACAAGAGGCGGCGGTCCTAGCAATTCAAGAACCCCACGCACGGAAAATCCAAGGCCGACTCTTAACGACTCCTATGAGTCACCACAAGTGGACCAAGATGGTTCCCTCGGTGTGTAGAGAAGGCAGATGGCCAATCCGGAGTATGCTATGGGTCAACAAAGAGGTGGAAGCGGAGCAGGTACGGATTGAGTCCCCGGACATGACGGCAGCGGTGGTCAGGCTCCCGGACCGGCTGATCCTGGTGGCATCGGTCTACGTACCAGGAGATGACCCTCAGGCTCTTCGGGAGACATGTGACAGCCTGCGCAAGGCTGTGAGGGATGTAAGGAGAGGCTCAGGCGCCGTGGTGGAGGTGGTGTTTGCAGGAGACTTCAATCGACATGACCAACTTTGGGGAGGAGACGAAGTATCCCTGGAAAAGCAGGGAGAAGCCGACTCGATCATCGACCTGATGAGCGACCTCGCCCTCAGCAGCCTGCTCCCGCGCGGGACGAAGACGTGGCGAGGAGGAGGACATGAAACCACGATTGACCTGGTCCTGGCCTCGGAGGAACTGGCGGCATCAACCATCAAGTGCGCGATCCATGGAACCGAACATGGGTCTGACCACCGGGCGATAGAGACGGCATTTGATGTTTCAGTCCCAACACCAAAGTCACAGGAACGACTGCTGCTCAAGAATGCACCATGGAAGGACATCAATGCCAGAATCACAAAGACGCTGGGTGCGAGGCCATTCGAAGGAACAGTGCAGCAAAAGACCGATACGCTCATGTCAGCGGTGTTGGAGGCGGTACACGCTCTAACACCGAAGGCTCGGCCATGCAAATACACAAAACGATGGTGGACGTCTGACTTGACACAGTTGAGGCGCATCTACACCTACTGGAGAAACCGTGCCCGGAGCGAGCGTCGGGCCGGGTGGATCATCGCCAGCCTGGAGGAGACGGCCAGAGCAGCTGCAAAGCAATACCACGACGCCATCCGACAACAAAAGAAGAAGCACTGGAACGAATTTCTAGCCGATAACGACAATATCTGGAAAGCGGCAAAGTACCTAAAATCGGGTGACGAAACCGCATTTGGGAGAGTCCCGCAGCTAGTCAGGCAGGATGAAACATTCACACGTCACCAAGAAGAACAGGCTGAAGAGCTACTGAGCACCTTCTTCCCTCCTCTACCCGAAGACATCGAAGACGAGGGCTCCAGGCCACAGAGAGCCCCTGTACCGATGCCCACTATAACCATGGACGAAGTGGAGCGACAACTGTTGGCCGCCAAATCGTGGAAGGCACCTGGAGAGGACGGCCTACCAGCGGTCGTCTGGAAGCAGGTGTGGCCCGCTGTCAAGCACCACGTGCTGGCGCTCTTTCGAGCATCTCTCGACGAGGGAAAGCTGCCCAGTCAGTGGAAACATGCGAAGATTATACCGTTGAAGAAGCCTGACAAGGACAACTACACGCTCGCCAAGACATGGAGACCGATCTCACTGCTGGCGACGTTAGGCAAGATCTTGGAGTCGGTCATTGCGGAAAGGATCTCGTACGCGGTCGAAACCTACGGTCTTCTCCCGACGAACCACTTTGGGGCACGGAAACAGCGATCTGCCGAACAAGCCCTCCTACTGTTACAAGAACAAATCCTCACTGCCTGGCGAGGAAGAAAGGTACTGAGCCTGGTCAGCTTTGATGTCAAAGGGGCCTACAATGGAGTCTGCAAAGAAAGATTGATTCAGAGGATGAAGGCACGAGGCATACCGGAGAAAGTCCTGCGGTGGGTGGAGGCGTTCTGCTCCGAGCGCACAGCAACGATCCAGATCAATGGGCAATCTTCCGAGGTTCGGAATCTACCACAGGCGGGCCTGCCTCAAGGAGTTGTTCCTGAACAGCACGTGACGAGGTAGCGTGTATGCCTACTAGGCATATACGCCACGGTGGAGTCTGTGGCTTGGCTGCCTGTATAGGCAGACCAAGCCTACAAGTATATAAGTACCTAGAATCTCATAGGTTAATAGGATACACTTGAAGAATCACATTTACAAGTGGTTATGAGCCCGGTTGTGCTGCTGCACCCGGTCAGTGATAGTCCGAATCCGGTCTTCAAGAAGTCAAACATTTGCAGCCATGGCTAGCATCAAACTCACCAACGAATCCGTTGAAGCACGGGTCGAAGTACTTCAAGGCCAGGAAAATTACCTTGCATGGAAGCGCGACCTGAAGTTCATCGCCGAGGCAAATAATGTCTGGAACATCCTCACCGGAGAAGAGATTATCCAGGACAAGCCAACGCGACCAACCCTTTCTGGCGTTTCGACTCAAGCCAAACCCGCTAAGAAGTCGAACGGCAAAGACGCTGACCCAATCGGCGGCAGTGTGGAGGCTCAGACAAGCGATCAGCTGAGTCTCATTATCCAGTTCTACAAGCTCGATCTTGACGAATACGAAAAACAGCAAAAACGCCTTCGATATGCACGAGGCCTCCTCTCCACCACCATCAACATAGCCCTTCGAGGATGCATCAAAGATGAAGAGAATCCACAACTGGCAATGGAGAAGCTCAAGGGACTCTGCAAGATGAATGACGCTCGCGCCCTGGACATGACTCTGGGAAAAATCGAACAACTCAAGTTCAAGGGATCAGTATCTGATCTTATCAACACTCTCAAAACCCTGCAACAAGACATCATCGACCTCCACGGCACTTTCAGTGACGAACAACTCATGTCAAAAGTCGTACGCTCCCTGCCGAACCGTTTCAACAGATTCCTAGATACCTGGAATCTCTTGGCCGGAACAGCTGCTCTTCCGCGCGACCTGGTAACTCTCCACGGACATCTTCTAGGAGTGGAGGCACAGCTGGCATCAGAAAAGGACAACAAAGAGAG